GGGGAGGGGGAAAAGGCCTTGCCTCCTCTCCTCCCTCAGCAAAAAAAAAGAGAGAGGGAGAGAAAGGGAGAGAGAGAAGGAAGGTCGGGGAAGGGAAAGAGGAGAGAAAGTGAAATAAAATAAAGAGGAAGAAGAAAAGAAAAGGGGGAAAATATATGCTTTTGCACTCCTCTCGCCCCCCTCCCTCCCCCCCCCCCCCCCCCCCCCCCCCCCCCCCAACGAGACCAAGCGCCAGATACGCCACTGGACACTACTGGCGTACTCCCCCAAACAAGAATAAAACGAGGTTGATTTTTAATTCGATTTCAGTGTTTTACAAATGTTGTAAAATGACATAGTTTTTTAGTAAATGTTTTATGAGTTTGTTGGAAAATTCCCAAAGTAACAGTCAGGCGAGAAGTATGCTTATTTAGAGGTCTACATGTCATGGCTCGCGGAACGGCGGGGCTCGGGGGCATGGGTCCCCCACTATTTTGAAAAAGTATATTCAAGAGAAGAAGGGAAAAAAGAGAGAAAAATAAATTGTGACCTGCCAGTGTCATAATGAGGTCTCAAAATATGATAAACTGACCGTAGTTAAATGCCTAAAACACCTGACTTTCCGGAGGCTCCACCCCTTGACCCCACCGAGGGCCCTAAGGCGTGCTCCTGAATACTTATCTGACCGTTATAAAATGCCTAAAAATCCCTGAGTTTCCGGGGTATTAAAATATGTTCATCTGAACGTTAATGAATGCCCCGATAGCCCCTGAGTTTCTTGGGGCTCAGCCCCTGGACTTTACGCCAATTTATGTTCCGCGAGCCTTGACGTGCAGACCTCTAAATAAGCATATTTGTCGCCTGACTGTAACTTTGGGAATTCGTCATTTTCCAACAAACTCATAAAACAGTATAATTTACTAAAAAATTATATCATTTTACAACATTTGTAAATCACTGAAATCGAATTAGAAATGAACCATTTAAGGGGGAGGCTGCCCCCTTCCAATTAGTACGCCAGTGGTGTCTAGTGGCGTATCTGGCGCTTGGTCTCGTTAGGGGGAGGCGAGATGAGCGCAAAAGCATTATATCTTTTCCCTCTTTCCTTTTTTTCTTCCTTTCTTTCTTTCTTTCTTTCTTTCTATTTCTTTTTAATATACTTTTTCAAAATAGTGGGGAGGGGAGAAATCTCAGTCTCCCGAGCCCCGCCGTTCCGCGGGCCTGGACATGAAGGCCTCTATTAAAATAAGCATACTTCTCGCCTGACTGTATCTTTGGGAAATTAGTCATTTTCCAACAAACTCATAAAGTATAATTTAATAAAAATTATGTCATTTCACAACATTTGTAAATCACTGAAATCGAATTAGAAATAAACCTAGTTTTATTCTTGTTTGGGGGAGTACGCCAGTAGTGTCCAGTGGTGTATCTGGCGGTGGTCCTATTGGGGGGGGGGGGGGGGGGGGCGAGAGGAGCGCAAAAGCATATCTTTCCCCTTTTCTTTTCTTCTTACTCTTTATTTTCTTTCCCTTTCTCTCCTCTTTCCCATTCCCTCCCTCCCTCCCTTCTCTCTCTCTCTCTCTCTCTCTCTCTTTTGCTGAGGGGGGAGGGGGAGGCAAGGGCCTTTCACCCCCGATTCACACCTTGTTGGCGGGAAAAATCGCAACTGATCTCCCCTACCTTTCTTCTTCCTCTATTTTTTCTCTTTCCCTTCCCCTTCCCTTCCTTCTCTCTTTTTAAAGTTTGCGGGGGGGGGGGGGCAATGGCCTTTCACCCCTACCCGAACCACATGTTGTTGGCTGGATTAATTGCATCTGACCCCCCTCCCTTTCTTTTCTTCTTTCCCTTTTTTGTTCCCTTTTAGCTCTCCTCTTTCCTTTTCCCTTCCTACTCTTTTTTTTTGTCCCCCCCCCCCTGAGGATCAACAAATTGCTGGCGAGAAAATCGTTACTGATATTCCCCTTCATTACCTTTCTTATTCCTTTCCCCCTTCCTTTGTCTCCTCTTCTCCTTTTTTTTTTATTTCCCTTTCCTTCTCTCTTTTTGGGGGAGAGGTGGGGGGGGGGGGGGCAACAGCCTCAGAGGCAAGGCCCTCAGTCGCCCCCCCCCCCCCGCCCAACCGATCTCTTTTGCCCCTTTCTTTTTTTCTTCCTTTTCTTTCTTTCCTTTCTCTCCTCTTTCCCCTTCCTTTCTGTTCCTTCTCTCTCTTGCTCTCTCTCTCTCTCTGGCGGGGGAGGGGAGACCCCTTCGGCCCTCCCCCTGGATCCGTGCCTGGCCGTAGGTGTGTCCCCCATCCAATATGTACTGACCTAAGCAGTTTTGTAACAGCGAGCAGGCCCCGTACGCACAGGGCTGAGCAGCTTTGTAACAGCGGACTTGATTGGTTGCCTTAAAAACCAATTTACGAGCATACTGCGCATCCGTTTGGAAAAGGGCACACGTGTGCTAACAAACTAGCAGGCGTGTGCTATCGCACCTTGCACACGTCTCCTAAATAACAGGCGGTGATTGGTCAATTTAGCAGACGTGTGCCGCGTTCCATACGTCTGGGGTACGTGAATAAAGTCACCAACGGCTTTCCATAGTGGTGGTGATAAAGCAACCTCAACTTACGCCTCAGCGGCTGTTTAAATGGTGCGACACAAACAGGCTACATTGACGGCTAAGCTTAAGCGTGTCGGAGTAAATGGAGACAACCAGCTTCGCTTAAAGCAAGTGAACGAATGTCCGCTATATAAAATGCCCGTCAGGGCCTTGCCTGACATAGCGCGCATTCGTAAAGACTACTTTTCGAGCATGAATGCACATCCTTCTGAACTAAGTATAATAATCAAGTTTAGGATAGAACAATAAAACATACATGAGAAAATATCATAATTTCATTACGGTCCATTTAACTTTACCTACAAACAATTTATAGATAAATAATCAAGGGACTACTTTGTCCTTAACGTAAGTACACAGACCCACGTGACCATTAAAGTAATGAGGCTTCGGGTCTGACACGTATGTTTTAAATTAGACACACCCAATATGCTGTACGGTGTTCTTAAATAAAAAACCAAGTTTTGAAATGGTAAAACGAGTTTAGTCACTACAGTGTAACAAAGATAATTGAGTGCAAATGTTAAAACTACAATAATCAAGGAACGGCAAAAATTAACGTTCTAGCACATGTCTCTTTTGTGATAAAATACAGAGATGAATTTAAATTACATCATTCGTAATACTATTTACAACTGTTTTTATTTTTTCCTTTATTCCTATTTTTCTCTTTCCCTCTTTTTAAATTAAAGGGAGAATAAAAAAAACATGAAAAAAAAAACACACACAACAGAATATGATAGTATGACACTGTATTTGTTTGTATGTATGTGTGTATGTGTGTGTTCAAATTCAATTTCGAATTTAATTATGTTGCTTAAGATCCAAGCGTGTATAGCGTCATTCTCGATATTTTGTTAACGAATGATAATGACAATCAAGGGTATCGTTTATAGTTAACAAACATGTTAGAGTACATGTGTCAAATTACATCAAACAGAAATGGCCTCGAAAACATACGTACGACCACGGGCCTCTTTAGGAATACGATACACTGCTGCACACAAAGCTGAAACAATTTATGTGTTCTCCTTCCCCAACCCCTCCCCACGAGATGATTCCGACAATACGACGCAATCCCGACAGATACTGTTCATAATATTATCTCAAAGGTTCATTGATCCATAAAGTTTGATCGATAAAACCCCGAGAAAAAAAACATTACCATCTGCCAAGAAAAAATCACACTGCCACAATCACCACATGAAACGAGAGAGAGAAAGAAAATCGAACCCTGTGGGAGACAGTGAACATGGAATGACAATAATTTTTTCTTTGACCAATGCTTGTTACAATGCTAAATTTCAGCGAGGTCAATAATATGGTATTGATCAATATTTCATACGTCGATAGAAAAAAACACACCCAACAACAACACCAACAAAACAAATAATAATCTACTAATCTCGTATAGTCGTTCCTCTATCTTACAAAAAACTTGATATTGCAAAGTCAAAATATTAATAGTACGAAGATAAAAAAGCAACGAAAATGAGCAAAGGTAAGAAAATACAAGGCCAACAAACAAATCTTGAACTTTATATACATTCTGATTGACATAGATACGACCAATTGGATTAGAATACCAACATATGACAGCTATATCTAACTTCGTTTATTCTTTTTTTAACGGAGGGGGGGGGGGGATATTATGTTTATTTTCGTGTAGATTTATTATTTTTAAGTAGGTCTATTCGTTTCTATTCGCTTATTCCAAATATCATCATTGCCGCGGTTAACCGGTTTCGTCATTGGATATCATAGTTTAAATTTCTCACCGTCGGTTAGGTTTTGAAAAGGTAATATTTTGCGTTTGGTGTCGGGTATGGTCGAAGCTATGACTTTGGTTGTTATACATTGACTGAGGAGCACTTGGGGTCGGAGCATGTTTCATTGAACCAAAGCACATTAGCTAGTCGAGCCTAACGACTGATTGGTAACTGCATGATTACCACCGTCTCTGGATTTATTGGGCAGGCCCAATGGAGTATTATGAATCATAAAGATGTTAACATAAACATTAGGTGTTAACCCAAACTTAATTTGTTGATAAAACAGGGCGTTCCATAGGTCAACGGCTATGCATTGAATATAATGCTATAATTTTTATAAAAACATATACAAACTTGGATATATATATTTATAATATATACCAAGTGGTAATTGTTCTCCCCGTAAATCATACTGTTCCTTATGTTTCACCCTAGAAGACGTAAGGTGAAGAACACACCTTGAAGGATGGACCGTGAGAGAGGTGGACATCGGGTCGGCTACCAAGGTGGCAGAGGAAGAGGGGGTCGAGGAGGCTACCGGGGAGGACGAGGAAGGGGTGGAGGAGGAGATGACTGGGGAGGATGGAGAGACAGGGACGAACATGGAGGACGTCGAGATGGTAGAATTGAAGAAAGAGGAGGAAGGAGAGACGGAAGGGGTGGCAGAGGAGGTGACCGTGGAGCAGAGGGATGGAGGAGGGATAGAGAGGAAGAGGGAGGAGATCGCCATTGGAGAGGAGGAGAAAGGGGAGGAGGAGGAATAGGCAACCGTCCAAGAGGAGAAGAACAGGAACATGACGATGCTGGAGCTCAGGGAAATGGGTGAGCCGCTATTTTAAATGACCTCTGATACCTTAGTTACACTGACAAGACCGACTCCAGACGAACAATAGAACAACAATACTATGATAGACGAATATAGAAAGCATACTACACTGAGTGGTCATGAACTTAATTGTTTAAAGTCGGTTGCGGACGGTTTGACCAAGGTATAAATGAAGCATAAACCATAGACCTTATAAAATAACGATGATTTCATAAAGAACTTTTGGGACAATTGTGGACATTGTTATTCCCACGTCACAGAAATAAACTTAAAGTTTGCGATACTTTGTTCAACCAAAGCATATTACTGATTATTTCTTGGTAGTGTTATTTTTTCTGAAATGATCAAATGTTTATAGAAAATATATATTTATATGGGATAATATGTAAATGGATTAATGTTGCACCATTTTATACTTCATATTTCATGAATATCACAAGGGTCCAATGCTACAAAGTTGTTATCATTTTTGTGAAGTGAACCAATTTGTAACTGTTAGAAGTTTAGCGCGTTGAATTGCACAAGTGCAAATTGTTCCTGAACATTTCCTGGCTAGCTCTCTAAATGACTTCAATTCTCGTTACAAAAGTGTTGTCTATAGATTTATAATTAATGTAATTTATGCAGGCATTACGGTCACTGCTTACGTCATAGTGATCGAAATATGATTAAGCTAAAGTTAGTAAGAAAGTTGTTTGCACCAAAAACTTCTTGGAATATTTTTCTTTTGTTTCTTGTACTTAGGATATATTTCAAACTCATATTTATGACAATTGGCGAATGCTATATTTTAAATCTGGAATGCTTCAGTGGTGATTTCATCATGAGATTATGAGTTAGACTGACTTGCAGACGCGAAATGTATACGTTTATTGTAACATTTGGAAATTGGTGTTTCTTACCAAAACAAATACAACTTTTCAGTCGTACCATAAATCCTTGTGAAATTCACATCGGGTTCAGTATAGCTTCTTAAATTCCATTAAGGATGGCTACCGGTATGTACTTTTGATATGTTACCAATATATCTCTTCGCATTTGTTTGGGTACACCCCGTTTGATATTAAGGAACGGGAAATAAAGGAGGAAAACAAGAAGCTAATTTCAAAGAAAAAGGTGACGTTGTTCACACGTCTTTTATGAATAACAAGATTAAAACTCAAGCAGTGAGAAGTTTGCATTTTGAATGGAATTGAAATATAAATAAACGACTAATATTTTCTCATAAACAAAAATTGGAGATGATATACAATTGACTCTTCATTATTCTAATTACCTAGAATATAAACTTTGATGATTACTTACGTTTGCTCTTTATCAAATTGTCAAAAATGTAGGGATCGGCACGGCGAACCTCACCACAACCAAGCAAGGGGTCCTCGTGTAGTTCGTCCTCTAGGCTATAAAACATTGGAACAGCTTCTGTCAAAAGACCCCGACGACGCAGTACAAGAGTTAGGTTCTCTCAAGCAAGGTCTGGGCAAGCTTCTAGAAATGACGGATATACGCTATGACCTGATATCGCTATTGTTTCAGGTCTATCACCATGTCTGCCAGGCGCAGGTGTCCAATGAAACTATCAACATGCTGCTAGATATGCTTGGAAGAAACAACTTCATCAACAGACATCTCACCCGCCATCTTATTGTAATGAGGACCGAGAAAAACCAGAGCAAACTACGGGTCATGCCTAGATGCATTCAGGATATCGCAATTGTCCTGTCAGAGTTACAGCAACGCCTTCCAAGATACTTGACAGATGTTGAAGTTGCTGTGACACTTCTTGAAGATGCTGTCATATACGCAGAGAAGAGGAACATACTTGTTGATGAGACAATTCAAGAAGAGGTACGCCAACTTATGAAATTTCATGAGACAATCCAACAGGAAAAGCTAAAGAAGACACGTACGGACATCGAACCCACAACACCCCCTCCAGATAATTTCCGTGAGCTCAGTGTGTTTCCAACCTCTAATGAACTTACAGATAATTCTCTTCGTCTTTACCTTCGAAAACACATTAAGAAGGGAAAGTATGAAAGTGTCGAACATTATCTTGACGTCCAATTTCGTCTTCTTCGAGAAGACTTTGTCCGCCCACTTAGAGAAGGCATTAGTGAGTATAAAATAGCAACAGCTCGACCAGGAAAACGTGACAAACGCTTCCAAGACATTCGTCTATACTATGATGTAACACTAGACGAACCACTGTACTCACAAAGTGGAGTTACGTTCAGGATTCACTTCGATGAGACTAAACTCAAAGGCGTTCGTTGGCAATCGTCGAAGCGGCTAATCTATGGTTCACTCGTCATCTTGTCACCTGATGATTTCAAGACCCTCGTCTTCGGCACAGTTGCAAACCGAAAGCCTGAGGATTTGGCTAAAGGCTTCATTGAAATCAAGCTCGAGAGGGACGAGGAAATTGCAGAGATCTTCACTGAAAAGACATTCATCATGGCAGAATCTTCAGCATACTTCGAAGCTTACCGGCATGTCCTGAGCCGCATCAAAAATGTCACTGAGCAGTCAATGCCCCTAACTGATTACATCATATCAGCATCAACAAAAGCTAGTCCACCTGCCTACATCCGGAACGATCGCTCCATTGAATATGACCTATCATCCATCGTCTCTGATAAAGTTCCAAATGCAAAGCACACAGCAATGCGTATGAAGACCGTGAGGATTCTCGATGGTCATGAATGGACAAGACTAGGGAACACTGGTCTTGACGAGTCCCAGCTTCGAGCCGTGCAAGCAGCACTTACTCAAGAGATGACGGTCATACAAGGCCCACCTGGTACTGGAAAAACCTACATCGGGTTGAAGATAGTTCACACTCTTCTCGATAACAAGCGTATTTGGAAAGAAGCTCAAGTTCTAGGACTGGCCGGACCCGCAGGCCGTGCGAACAAACCAATCCTACTCGTCTGCTATACAAACCATGCTTTAGATCAGTTTCTGGAAGGAGTTGCAGAGTATAATAGTGAAGGTATCGTGAGAGTTGGTGGTCGAAGTTCTAGCGAGGCTCTGAAGCGGTTCAACCTCAATTCACTCAGGAGCTCAAAGCTTCGAGAAGAGACACCTCGACACGTGAGACGTAGAATCGGAGAGGTTCGTGGCGAAATCGAAGGTCTCGGGAGAGAAGTCAAAGGCCTTCAGGACAAGATTAACCATACGAGGAAGGGATTACTTCATGAAAGAGTACTCATGAAGCACATGACTGACGCACAAGAAAGAAGCCTCAACCAAGGAAATGTCTATGCAGTAGATGGCCAGTCCCTTCTCGTCCATTGGCTCCTTGGTGATATTCAGATGAGACTTCTACCTGAGGAGCTTGATGTTCCAGAAGATAACGGACCACCAAATGAAGACGAAAATGACGAAGGAGAAGAAGAGCTTGATATCTTAGAGGAGGCAGATCTCCTTGACGAGATGAGGCGCCTGGACGTTGACGACCAACGAAATAGAATATTCACAGGCGATGCGAATGCCAACTTCGATGATGACACTTTGGCTTTCCGACTTAATGATCTTGACAACTTGGAAGCAGGAGGGTGGCAACAAGACCGACGGCAGCTCAGAAATAGGAAGCACAACTTAGAGAGAAAGCTCAGGAGTAATGAAAGAATGTCGGATCAAGAGGCAAACACCGTTAGGAACGTTTGGGGTCTTGAAGAAGGAAACCGATGGAGGTTATACCGCTATTGGGCTCATTTACATCGCCATGAATCTCTTCGTCAGCTCGTGGATATGCAACGGCAATTCACAAATGTTTGTCAGGAGCTTCGCGAGGCACGCAGTCAAGAAGATTTTGAAATCCTCAAGAATGCCTCGGTCGTTGGAATGACAACAACTGGAGCTGCAAAGTTCCATATGTTACTTCAGAGAATCCAGCCGAGAATTATGGTGGTCGAGGAAGCTGCAGAGGTCTTAGAAGCCCATATTGTGACTGCATTGACTGAGTCATGTCAACATCTCATATTGATTGGAGATCACCAACAACTTCGGCCAAGTCCTACGGTCTTCAAATTAGCTACGCAGTATAACCTGGACATATCTCTGTTTGAACGTATGATCAACAATGAAGTACCTTATCAGCAACTGGTTCTTCAACATAGGATGAGGCCTGAAATTTCTCGACTCATGAGGATGGAAAGATTGTACCCATATCTCCAAGATGACGTCTCTGTGAAGAAGTTCGACGATATCCATGGGGTTACAAAGAACATCTTCTTCCTTCATCATGAAATGGAAGAAGATTCTGTGGATGAAATGAAGAGTCACTCCAACATTCACGAGGCAAAGTTCTTGGTAGGACTTTGCAGGTACTTCTTGCAGCAGGGCTACCTTCCAGAGCAGATCACGATCTTGACTACCTATTCCGGTCAACTCTTTGCCTTTAAGAGGTTGATGAAAAAGAGTGACTTTGAAGGTGTCAGAGTTGCTACAGTTGACAACTTCCAAGGAGAGGAAAACGACATAATTCTACTCTCTCTCGTTCGCAGCAACAAACAGGGAAGTGCTGGCTTCTTGAAGATCGACAACAGAATCTGCGTAGCGCTCTCGAGAGCAAGAAAGGGTCTGTACTGCATCGGAAATTTCAAACTCCTTGCACAACAAAACCCAACTGGGCCAAGCTTGTGGAGGGAAATCGTGAAGGACGCTCAAATCTATGGCACCATCGGAAAATCCCTTAAGCTCCAGTGTAGAAATCACACTGGGACACAAAATGAGGTTTCAAGTGAAACGGATTTTTCAAAAGTCCCAGAAGGCGGTTGTTCCGTACCATGTGAGGCACGTCTTACCTGTGGTCATGTTTGCCGAATGCCATGCCACCCCACCGACATGAAACATGAAAACTACAAGTGCCGTCAAAAGTGTACTCAGACAATTTGCCCCTTAGGTCATCGATGCATGAAGCAGTGCTATCAGCCTTGTGACACGCAGTGCAAAAAACCTGTCGACAAGACACTGCCTTGTGGTCACGTCCAGAAGGTGCCTTGCTACAAAAGCAGCTCAGAAGTAATCTGCGAATCTCCATGCCGCAGGAGACTGGATTGCGGGCATCAATGCAAGGAGCTGTGTGGAAAGAGCTGTACAATGATCTGCGAGGAAATGATTCGTCGGTCTGACTGGCCTTGTGGCCATAATGTCCTCGTCAAATGTTCTGCTGGACCCGAGTCCTGTTCGAAACCATGTGATACGACTCTGAGTTGTGAACATCCGTGCAAGGGTTCATGCGGCGAGTGCCGCCAAGGACGTCTTCATGCATTCTGCCGAGAAAAATGTGATCGTACACTCGTTTGCGGTCACCCATGCCGGTCGACATGTGCTGCGGATTGTCCACCTTGTTCAAGGAAGTGCGAAAACAGATGTCAACATAGCAAATGCAAGAAAAATTGTGGAGAACCTTGTGTCCCGTGTGCAGAGAGGTGCATCTGGCGATGTCAACATTTTCGCTGTAGGGCACAATGTGGAAAACCATGCGACAGACGTGCGTGTGATGACCCTTGTACACTCCTGCTGAAGTGTGGCCACCCTTGCATCGGACTCTGTGGTGAACCATGCCCCAAGAAGTGCAGAATCTGTGATAAGGAGGAAGTAACTAGGATCCTCTTTGGCGACGAAGAGGACGATGATGCTCGGTGAGATTTAATTTTGCTTTTTCGCAAATACATTAAAAGAGATTGTAAGGAGGTTGGGTCGTAAATATGTCATATATCTTTAGAGTTATGTTCATATATAAAAGAAAGTATAAAATATCTTGTCATAAAGTTTTACTTACGAAAAGAAAAGAATGAAATGCTAATTCGAAGAATGGAGTGCAAATGCTGGACAGTTTCGATAAGCAAAAAAAAGGAGAAGAAGAAAACAAAGAAAAGAATGAGAATTACTAATGACGATATGATACAGAAATCTTACCTTTACTCTTTAATTACGTGTGCCATCAATTAACATATTTTAACGATTTAACAATAATATTCTTTCTCAAGTGTGATGAACGGAAATAGATAAATCACGCAAATACGACATTCCGCCCATATCATCTCTCCTGTTCAGGTTTGTGGAGTTAGAGGACTGTAAGCACGTGATTGAAGTGGATGCCCTGGACCAATGGATGAAGACGGATAGTGGAAGCAAGGACACGTCAGAGGCGACCTCCATTAAGGTATCCAATAATTGTTTGTCGTTATAATTTTGTTATACAGTTCCTTCGATGGCCTATGTTATCGTGGTGGAAAACAATTGACCTTTTTCTTTTGCTAATTTTTTCATTTCGACTTTTCATTTCGATTTTTGAATAATTAGAGGTTGCCTCTCAACGATAAAGTTGAGTTCAGGTCGTGTGATTGCATTGTGAGAGAAAGGGTGTGAAATTGATCAGATAAAGTTGATCATTTAGCATATAAGTATTGGTGCGTACTGCAAGGTTCTTGGAGTCTCGGTAAAGTAATAAAGCACTGTACGCAGAAAGGTGTATATGGGACTATATAAACGTGGGGCATAAAAATCGAGCCTCATATTTAAAACTGTTTTCATACTTAGAATATAAAGGCATTTGAAGAACCAGGCTTTTCATGGAACATTTTTCCCCTGATGTTCTTCCACACTTGCATCTTAACAATGATAACGCTCACAAATTATTTTTCACCGCTCCCCAGAACTCAACCTTCTCTTTAAGTCTAAAATATTTCCACGTGATCTAACCAATCATTTTTTCATTACCCTAAATAAAATAGAAAGAAATACAAAAAAAAATTGAAGATGAAAATGCCAATCTCGACTCATTTTTCAAAACGAATGCTTCCCCATACTAGGCCATTTACGAACTTTTTTGTTTCCTTTGATAGCTGAAAGAGTGTCCATGGTGCAAAACTCCGATTAGACGCAATCTGCGATACGGAAACCTCATAAAACAAGCACTGAATGATATAAATGCTGTTAAAAGAACCATCTTCGGCAACGAAAGCACAATCCACTATCTCCGTCAGAACCTACAAGAAAAATTTCGTCGAGAAGTTGAGAACATGGATATGTTAGCCATCGCAATGGTTAAGAAACTGTTCCTTCGAAAGATGGATGCCCGGCGTTTCCACGACATGGTCAGTTCGACGTCTGCGTTGAGCCATGGACAAATCACCGCTTTGGAAAATAGAGTCCGTTTTCTGGAGGAAATGAGAGACGTGGCTGAAGCATTGCAATCGCTGCGATCTCCATCCCTAAATCAGCAGTACGTTAAGCAGATGAAGAGTGAGATAGGTGTCCTGCAGACATGGTTGTGCCAGGAACCCATCAACAGGATGTCCCATCAGCAGACTGATGACGCCAACAGAGAAGCAAAGAGACTCCATCTAGCCCTGATTCTCTTTCGGACCCTGGTCGAGAAACCAGCTGCTCGTGACAAAGCCAGCCAAGAGGTAAAAGCCGCCGAGCTTCAACTCTTCGATGGAAAGGCTTTGAATGACCAGCGAGCAGATGAAGTCAAAAGTCTACTCAAGAAGATCGTTTCCAAGTCCGGTGGGTTGGGAATTAGCGATGAAGAGAGGAAGGATATAGTCGCCGCCATGGGTCTGGCCAAAGGTCATTGGTTTAAATGCCCCAAAGGACATGTCTACGCTATTGGGAATTGTGGTGGTGCCCAACAGGCGAGCAGTTGCCCTGAGTGTGGTCTAGGAATTGGGGGCACCCAATACCGACTGAGAGAGGGCAATAGGCTTGCGTCAGAGATGGATGGGGCGCAACAGGCAGCATTTCCGCCGCGATAGCATCGCGAATTTCGACCTGATTAATTAGCATTACAAATAATACTCGATAACATTTGGTTAGAATGTAGGCTGTACTAATATTCTACGTCTCGTAGACAGCTTTATTTTCCTTCTTTCTTCGATATTCCTATCATTCAGTTTAAATATTTAAGATGTTCGGCATTTTTACAAGTAACCGTCGAAATTTAAGTGAAGTAGAAATCGAATACTCCTTCTCGTGACGTGATTTCTCATGAAATTTTCAATAGAGATTTTGTCGATGTGATTTTAGTTATTTGAAGTCATCTTATTCATGTGTGTGTGTTTTCATCCTCGATTATCCCAACCGAGAATCCAGAATACAGTTTAAAGTGAGAAAATAAAAAATATTGTTACTTGAACATACGAAACAATCGAGCATTTAAAACAAAATGTATATATGTGTGTGTGTATATATATATATATATATATACGGGACTTTCTTGTAAATTTATCGACAGAACTGCAAGTTGTATCATTTATACATACTTCTTATTATGATATTTCACATCCATTTGTCAAAACTTGTTGTGCATTACATCTTACTTAACGAGTAAATAAAAACATGTATATTATTTGATTATCAGTTGGTAAACTGCAATTATTGTACGTGTGACATATTTTCTTAACGATATGAACAAATACTTAAGTTTAGTATAATTTCGGCGACCATCACATAAATATGCAAGTGTTTGCAAATGATTGTGAAAAAGATTTGTTATATTTGTCAACTGCTAGATAAAATATGACATTACTTTATAAATAGCGCATCACAGCGTTTCCGTTATCCTCATAGAGACGTTATACTTATCACTTATCAAATATATAAGTCATTTCAAAACCAATTTGTATATTTTATTGCAGTTATCGATTGTTAGTCTTAAATCCTGAAGTTATTGTTCATGTACGTGCAGAGATGTCTAATTTATCACATTGCATGTTTTGCAAGGTTATGAAAACTGTAAACGGGAAAAAGCTTCGTTGAATTTGAAATTAAAACAAGAATAAGTTATATTGTTATATCTGAATTAAATTTGGAAATCAAAGATTGAAAAACTCATTGCATAGTTATCGAGTACGTTCCACTTTCTCAAACAGTGTGTCACAGAGTTGCGTTTTATCGATTAAAATTAATACATCATTCCTGTTTTTTATCATTATTATTATAATTTTTTGCTTTTGATAAACCACTGTGCATGTAAAATCATAGTACACTTTCCCTTTACGATAGACGCAGGAAGGCAACAAATTAAAAAAGAAGGAGAGATTTAGAGATGAAGACGCATTGGAACGATTTTCAGTAATGCATACAATGTTACCAATAAAGTTGGAATATTTTTCTTCACCTCCTTTTATTAAAAATAACTGTTACACTTATTCTTGATAACGTTTCTATCTTCTAAAAGCTTTATTGATCAATCTCTATGACCCTTTAGATCTATAAAAGTATGAGAATATATAAATTTTATCTTCATCTACAAATAATAAATCATGTTATCACAATTATTTCATCAGAAGAGGTCGAGAAAAAGTATTCCAACTTCATGGGTAACAGTGTACAGGTGTATTTCTATTCTATGTCATTGACAAACAGTGACAGGCTATGTGTACGTCTGTTCAAGTGTGAGTCTAGGATTTTCACGCATGTGTGTGTGTGTAAGAGATAGAAGATGCGTGTATATGTGTGTGTATGAGAGAGGAAAAGAGAGAGAAGGTGGTGGGTGTGCGTGTGTGTGTATATATATGAGAGAGGGAGAGAGAGAGAGAGAGAAAAGGTGTGTATGTTGTTGGTGAGAGAAAGAAAGAGAAGAGGTGTATATGTATGAGATAGAGAAATATAAAATGTGTGTTTGATGTGTGCGTGCGTGTATGTGTGTGTTGAGAGAGAGAGAGAGAGAGAGAGATAAAAGGTGCGTGTAGGTGGGGGGGGGGGGGGGTAGGGGTGTAAAACAGGCAACAATGGCATTTCACAAATTGTATGCGAACGCTTGTTATTATTTTGCAATACCCGGTTATGTGCAATTTCCCCAGAGAGATGTTGCGCAATAGCATGTAGACAATGTCAGAGCAGTTTTTGTTTATTTACCAATACCATATAAAGGCCTAGACAGGAGCAACGATTTTCTTTTCATGACCGGGGGGGGGGGGGGGGAGAGAAATGCGAGGGGCGAGGGAGCATAGCGTAAACTGTACTTGCGTGATACTAATGAAAGACAGATTTTCTACAATACTTACTTGTAGGCCTACATTTAGAAGGATATTATGCGAGGGAGCGTAGCGACCGAGCGAGAATTTTGTTTGCATTTTTATTAATCTTAATGCTGCACTCTTGGGCCCTCCAACTCCGAACAAGTTTGACATAGTCTTTATAGTCAGTATTTGCTATACATTTTTTTGCACTTTTTCAAATTTTCCGGGGGGGGGGGACGAGTTCCCCGTCCCCCGGGATAGCCGCCCCTGGGCCAAGGCATACATTATTTGAACATAGCGATTGTATTTCAGGAATTCATGAAAATAATTTACGTTATGATGAATCGGATGCGATTAAGAAATTAACACAATCGATACAAATTATCTTCTTTATATAGAATGTCGATCCGTTTGAAGGCAACAAAATCATTAATATTTTAAATATCATTCATCATAAATAGTGCGATAGCAAAATTTCATTTCCATGAGAGAATTAGGCTACATAGAGTTTAAATGAAATAATTTTACTTCTCAGCTTGAGAGAAGGGTGTTCATGATTTTTCACTTTGTAAGTGTACGCTATAATTATGAGAGAGACTTTTACATTATGCTTGTACATGCGCCATTATTGCATAATCCTGAAAAGTATACTGTATTATGTTTACTTTGTTCTGTAAACTGTGTAAGCAGTGAATTCCCTGGTGTAAGGAAGGCTATACTGTATTCTGATCAAAGCATAGTATCAATAAATTCAGCCTCGATGCCAGCACATGTTGATGATGACATTTAAGCGAACTATTCGCGAAAGGTCACGGTCTTTCGATTCCGGGTGAATCGTGTCAGACATCACGCGACACACGGGGATCCCCGCTCTCGTAATAACATAATACTACTGTAGGGCGTGCTTTGTTGGAATACCAGATAATGATTACGCGTAAAAGAAGAATACAAGCATACTTGTAAATTTTTATTGTTGTATAGTTTTCAATTGCAATCATGAAACCGCGCTGTGCATTTTTACTTAAATGCATTGGAGCAGCTTTGTGGAAAAACTGATCAAGGTATCGATGAAAGGCAGTTGAGCCAGGGAGGGGGTGCACAATGCCCAAAATTAACTGCACCCATTGTTAAAAGAAATGAAAGTGCCCAATGTCAACTCAATCAAATATCCCTTCTCTAAAGTCATTTTGATAATATATTTTTACACTAAACCGTAAAATGTTTGTCATTCCAAACTATTATGACATAATTCTACTCAACTGCTAAAAGAGGCATCATCATCTTTTAAACCATAGGACCTTTTGAATTACATTTAATGCCAAGAATAAAAAGAGAGACACTTGATAATATTTGATTGGGTCACTGAACCCGTGTCATAAAATGACAGATCACTATTGATGATAAAGATTTAGACAAACTCAGGGCTACTGAATTAAAATTAATAAATATCAATCCTGTTTTTTTTAAAGGGTGTTTACAATAAATGCTACGAGAAGATGGTTTTGCCACCCTTTGGCTTTCCTAGCCTCCGATGTGTCCCTAATTTCAAGCGGCTATAAGTGAGCAAATTTTTCTCGATTTTCAAAGTTCACTAGCTTGAATTTACAGTAATCGAATCGTTCTGTCATTATACTTAAAACCCTGTCAAGAAATGGTCTTTTCTTTTTAATACAATCATGTAAGATCAAATCGGACGCAACCTAAAACATATTTATGTGTGTGCGAGTCATCATGCCACTAAACGCAAATGTATTATGTTGATGCTAAAGCAATATCTTGGACCGCGTTAAGATAGAAACAAGACAATATTGAAGATGATCCTATGATAAAATTGAGGAGGCGCGATAGCTCAGTCGGTAGAGCAGTGGTCTCGTAATCCGGTGACCCGGGTTTCGAAACCAAGGCGATGCGCTATATAGTGCCCGTCCCCCGGAGAGGTTCTAAAGCCGTCGGCCGTCTCGTTGCTTACTTACAAGCATTTATGTTTTCTTAGCAGTCAGGTAAAATAACAACCACCACCAACTACCAAAAAATTGCTTTCAGATAAGTGGCAGAAGTACAGAGCCTATTGTAGTTTCATGGTGTGGACACTGTTATATACGCACAACGACTTACGAAGGTTTGTGCATAGCCCCTGGTCGGTGCATAAATTAATAATTATATTACTTTCATAAACACGTATTTTATATGTAATTCATCTCGATGTATTTTACCGTTTTAGATTAATGGCCTGACTTGCTCTTATATTGCACATAATGTACGAGATGGCTAATTCCTCACGATTATGTTGTGTCACATTTTATTCCAAACTTCCAAAGGGCTATGTATTGTGTTGTGGCTGTTGATAAATAATACAGTAATTGCGTTAATCGATCTAAATGTGTAAGTAATCACAAGAACCACACTTAAGGAGAAAGTGATAATGCATGCAGAATTTTTTTGTTTTTATTATTGAAAGAAACTGTAATATTCACTCCAAATCATTTGACATAAATGTAAGTTGAAACAAAGATAAATGTAAATGATTCGTCAATGTTAAACGATAGACACAAAGTTTGATCGTAGAAAGAAATAATTTAGTAGGGAAATTCTGTAACATCATATTAAAATTATTCCCCTTTACTACAACACACGTACATTGAAATAACGCAATCTTGTAGAGAGAGAGAGAAAGAGAGGGAGAGAGAGAGAGAGAGAGGACGAACCAATATCATATGTTTTCTACTTGATTTCATTGTCATGGCACTATAACTATGGCTCTATCATTACTGTAAACAAACAAACAAATAGACACAAAGATACAGTGGTTTCATGTTAAAGAACTTCCCACTTAAGGCATATACTTGTGGTGTATAGCCTCATAACAATCAGGATTTGGCACAATAAGTAAATCCAAAAGTAGGATTTCAGAAATTTGTTTCTACATTTTAGCTCGCCTCTAATATGAATGTCTATTTAAACGCTAACATTATTTAAGTGAGAATAATCACTATTTGTAGACTGTTTAAAGCAGACTACTTGGTCGGGTTTAAAATTATACGGTTGTAAAAAATAATTACAGTGAGACTACATATATTCATTTTCTCTCTATCATTCTCCCTCTCTCTCACCCGTGCGTGGATTGATTCTACGATCTCAAATCAGATAATGCTCACAGCACATTATTAATTAAGATTAATTAATTAAATGGAATGAACCCAACAAAATTTTTTAATATCTTACCTTTACGAAAACTTACAACATAAAAATTATAACAGACGACGGATCTACCAGTTGACTGCTATACTTAAACCAAAGACAAAAATGATATTCTACCTTATTGTAAACATAAACAGTGGAAACTATCAATATTACTATCAATGATCAAAGTAATGATAAATTTGACTTAAAGGTATACTTTACTTATACTGACAACTTATTGATAATAATGATGACATAGTTAAGTCAATACAATGAACTAATTAGTAAGCTCAACTTAAAACTTAAATTATCATGAACCTATAATATACAAGCACTGCTTTTCAATAGGTTCCTCACATTCTACTTAATATTTCATTAGAATTGAGTATCATTGAGACGTGCTCATACTACATGTAATATACAATTTCTACTATTATGTCTGTCTATATTTTTTTTGTAAAATGGGGAACAAATGAACTTGAACTTGAAACTTGAAAAGAAACTTGAAAAGAAAATCTTAGTCTAGATTGTAACTAATGTATTACAAATACTTCAGTCAGTCGATTAATGTTTTCGAATTAATGAATCATGAACTCAACTCTAAATAATAACCGACGAAATATAAATCCTTATGATAATATTTTCAGTTTTCAGCTGTCATCGCGGCTTGTACCAGGTCAATGAAGCTGGATACACGAGTGAATCCATTGGGAATATAAGGTGCACCACAGATCTCGACCCAGCTAGAGATCCCGACCAGTGTCCAACGACCATTGATCTCCTGCACGATCGGACCACCACTGTCACCCTGTAGTAGGCAGAACAAAAACACAAAATAGATAGATGTACAGAAACCTCAATCGCGAGCACTTTCAACAAAATCAATCTAAAATCAATCTAAAGCACACTTTTACTAAAGCCTTGTGTATCAGCTCTTGACAGCCGAAAGGGAATTTGCCCATAAATGAAATGAACATAACAGGCTCACATTTTAGCAGACTTAAAAATGCCTTTAAATCTTTTTATTCCCCTCGACTATAGAGTGGTGAAGTGTGACGTCATCAACAATCTAATTTTAGATTTTCTCAATTTTTTCTTTATTTTCCGAAAGAGCATCACAAATAATGTCAAAATGTCGAAAACCAATTGAATATGTTAAGTATTGGCTGAGATATGACCATCTGAATAAATATATGTCCTATGGGAACTCAGTGTGATATGCTCTGGCTCCTAATGGTTACGAGCCAGGGCATTTTGTGTGTTTGTGTGTGTGTGGGGGGGGGGGGAATGAAAAGTGAGCCCTTGCTCCTCTCCTTTGAATCTATGCTAATGTTGCTGACATACTTGAGTCGCATATTAACTTACAGTACAGACTCCTTGAAGACCAGTATGGTACATGGTGCAGAACATAGATGGACGAACGGATAGAAAATATGCATAGTGATCGCAGAAGTTATTGGGTATGACGGGCATCCGACCCTCTTGTAAGAAATCAGGTAGGCGATCTGTCCAAGATAAAAGCAAGAAATAAATTATAGTATTTGTGTCCGATCACTTTCTTCATTTGTCAAGTTATCTACACACAGTTAAAGAAAGCTAGAGGTCAACAACTTTGTTAATTTTCATTATCAGGTAAGTCCAAGGTTATCGGTTCTTTGGTGTCTCATACGATTGTGTAGTTTGTTTCACAAATTGACGTAAACGTATCTTTGCACTTCATATTACTAATATATGGACTGACCTTAGATCTAGTAGAGCTATTAAAACTCCATAGTCGGACTGGCCAGAGATGTGGTTGAATCTTAGAGGTGGCTGGTAACGTTTGGTATAAAATAGTTTAGACTTCCCCTTTAATTTCTCAGAGGTCCCTTATTCGACTTGGCAAATTAATGGATAGATGTGGCGCTGATTTGATAACAACAAGACAACCAATAATCTGAAAATCTGCGGCATATGAGAGTTATAAAAACTATATATTTTAAGCGTATTTGTATTTATGATATCGAATAGAATTAAAACAGCTTTGTATATATACGTACCGTTTCGTTCCCTGTAGCTGCCCCATCCTGTGAATGTCACATACTGTCCAGGCTGTGGAATCGTTTCGTCCATTGTAGGCAGGCAGATAGGCTGCACCTCGTTGGTGATGTTAAGAGGAGAAGCGAGCTTGAGGATCGCGATATCGTTAACCAACGTAAATCTGTCATAAAATGGATGCTGGATGACCTCAGCTACATCTCTGATTTGTCCACCTCCCTCGAACTTGAAGTAAGCCAAGCTACCTGCTTTGATAGTGTAATTGGAACCCGGTTCATCTCTACGGAGGAGAAAAATAGTAGATGATTAATTTTGATGACATTTCTTCCATTCAGGCTCTTGATGATACCAGTTTCCGTCAGCAGGACTATTTCAAATCTAACACCCGTTGCACACAAGGTGTCGGTACAATTTCGTTATCATTCGCGCTTATCAAACCTTTGAAGGAAATCACGATACGTCATAAATTCAAGGGAGCAAGCTCTCAACTTCAGTCAAAAGGTTACACTTACTTATGAGGTGATAGTAGCATATACTTCCAATAATTGAGGAGAATATTAAAAATCTATACTTACAAAAAAGTACCATGGTAACCATGTTTTTTGTCCAATTTACCATCCACCATGGTAACCATGGTAATCGTGGTACCAAACAATGAAATACATTGTTTGATGACCCTATGTTTATCATTGTTTGATGGTAATTTGGACAAAAAACCATGGTTACCATACTTACACGCAATGTGCAGCAGTGAGGATCCAATCGGGAGTAATGACGCTTCCTCCACAGGTGAAGCTGCCACTTGTTCTGTAGAGTGCGATCTGCCATGGCCATTCCCCAAGCCCAGTCACGTCCTCGCCATGGGTGACCCGATGGATATCAAGAGCTGGTCGTAGTCCACAAGCCTCGTATGGAATGACTGCAAAATATATCGCAAGGACTTACATAATCAATCTAAGGCGATTCAGTAACTTTGTGTATCACCTTTGGAAATACCGAACAGAATAATGATTTATTACGTTATCCTAACATGACGTCTGTAGACAATACAAATAAGTAATAACATTGGCCTTAAGCTGTCTTCTTGAAAGTGTATGCCATCGTCTAATTATAACTTTTTGTAGTTTGCAAGTATATATTCTGGTCTATCATTATGCTTTGCTGTATGTGATGATCATCAGGATAATAATAACTAAAGGATTTTTTTCTTCTTCAAATGCTTCAACAAAAAGAAGTTGCTTGGGATCTCTAAGATTATTGTAGTTTTCGAAACGACATCAAAAAGCAACAATCAAACCATTGTATAAAATCGAGTCTGTTTTAGTGATAATGTCATTTATGTTTCGCTCTTTCATCCATTGTCATTATAGTTTAATTAATGGATAAATTATATCAATAAAATATAAATTGCAAATAAGAAAGTATTTGAGGAAAGACGACCAAAATGGAAGGCAGAGATGAAACCCTAAAACTAATCTACGACTGATTTATTATTTTACTATTTTACATGACAATCAGACGGACCGTCACTCACATGACAATGGTGTTGTTTGTCTTGTTGGCGTGGTTGATTCAGTAGGCTCTATGACAGGTTCGGTAGTATTATCGGACCACGGACAGTTTAACTCGTCACTCCCATCCTTACAATCTTGATTAAAATTGCAAATCGAGTATGGGCTCAGGCAAGACGAAAAGTCAGGGCACTGGTGGTAATTTCCAGGACAATCTAGAGGAAGAAAGAATTTATAGGACATTGTAGATCGCGAGATACAGTTATGTAGGTACGGGGAGGGAGGAGCCCGTAACTCCCTTTGGACTACTCAAAAACAAAAAGAGAGTAAGAAATAGACTGAGTAAATGAGTAAATGAGTAAAATAGTAAAAGAGAAAAAGAGGTGGCAGGGAATGGGAGCGGAAAAACATTAAAAGAAGATGATGCAATCCCCTCCAACATCCCCCTACCCCTGATGGGCTTGCTCTCTGACTAGCATTTCATCGATCCTGTTAGACTGGTTCGTCCGTGCCACTGCAGCGGCTGGACTAATGACTGTAACAATGGTATGCCACTACTCTGGTAGGATGTATGCATACTCCAACTTTCTCAAGAGTTATCACAGCTTCATTGCTCAGTACCACACCTCATTGTTGTTTTCAAGTTAAAGGAGAAGCTTTCAAGAGGCATAAAAGCCCAAACTAATTTCATTCTAATGGTTTTAAAACATCATATAGCTAAAGACTCTTAAATTAGTCACCCGAAGAATCAAAAGTGTTTTGAATTGATGCAAAATTCATATCATTGCGAAGGAGAAGCCTTACTGAACAAATATAACAACTTCCCTCTTCAAAATATGTTTGAGACCCGCAGTAATCATCTCTCAAAATGTTAATTTTGAAATCCATATTTTTTGCGTTTTTTAGCGGTCCTCCTTAGTACGTCGAGATTCGTGACGTCACATGCGAGACACAGCTAGCCACAAAGCATTTTACGCCTTATCATAAATGATCCGTGTTTTTGAAGAGAAAATCTTTCAATCCATTCATAATTTGTCCATAATTATCAGTTGTCGTGAATTTTCTTCGGGTGACTACCTTAGGCTTTTTTTTGGGTAACTTCTAGAGGATCTCTGTTGCATGTGAGAAAGGTATCTCAGCCGGGAGTGGGATGATCTGTGCAGGCGTAATTTGAGGCCTGTAAAATCCAGTAAGAGGATCATGTAGGTTGAAATTTCATGAAGAGGATGTTTTTGCGTTGGCTTAAATGAGGTAAAAAGTCTGTAGGTCTGAGTTTGAAAGACACGGTCATCAAGTTATAAATCCGACTTCTCTGTATGCTTTTACACTACACCAAACAGGATATTTTGAAATAACATTTCTTTTCGAACATGAAACGAACATAATAGTTTTTGAAGTTCACTGGAATCAGTCACACTCCTTTACCGAACAATTTCATTAACTAATCAGTATCAACTGATTACTTAACCAGTGTCTCGTAATGTGATGTCTGTATATTACACCATTGATATAAAATAATTCACGTTCCTCTAGTATGAATATGATAGAAATAAAAAAACGTTACATCTGCAGTTGTCTTGGCGTTCCTCTGATCCATCACTACAGTCAAAGTCGCCGTCACAAAGGGTCCAGTAGGGCACGCACTCCCCGTTATCACACTGGAACTCAAAGCTCTTGCATGCTAGGGAAACATGGATATGAAAGAGACGATTAACAAATATAACAGCTATTGGTATACATATCGAAGCTTTTCGTTTTGCACCCAACTTATTCGATTCGTTCTGACGTTTTATTTTGATAGTTCATTCTCATGTTTAACTGTGATGATTATAAGGTGAAAAACTTCACTATGTCTGTATTTAAAGCTAAGTATGGGACGAAATTATTATATCCCCCGATTGCCTAAACTACTTGAAAATATCATGCATATGAAACAATTTTCAGTGGTTGAGTTTGATTACAAGAAAAGACCAAGAAATAGAAGCAGAAGTTGAAAAGAAATAACCTCTTATTAGCTATCAATACAAAAATGTTTTGTTTAAAACTTGAATGCTTGTGTTGAAATTAAATGCCGCAAGGGATATTACAAACGATTTTAGTCACATGTCTCTCGCAAAAAAAAGGTTGAAATAACGAACCTCACATAGGTTTAGAACTAATAATATTATCAATGCATTTCACAAATCATATGTCATTCTTATAAATTTGAATAACCCATTTTTATATTACCATTTTTAAATGATGAAGAATCAAAACTCCTCGACGTGTAACATGTTATTCTATGGAACTGGTTGTTTTGCTTTAAGATTAGAAATCGTGCTTCTGTGTTGCACCTCTGGTGAATGTTGACAATATATTTACCAGACATGAATTGACTTGGCTTTTAAGTGAAATGTCATATGCCCCATCAGAAGATGTAATGCATATATATATATATATGTGTGTATGCATTTATATGAATATAAGGAAACCTTTGCAAAGAATGCCCCATTTTTGCAACTATCATTCACAGGCTAATTTACCGTTAAATTGCTTTGCTCACTCATGCGTAAAAGGTATGAAATAGAGGATTATATATATATATATATCTACTTTCTTTTTTGCTGAGTAGGAATATATATATGTATGTATGTATATTTCCACTCAGCAAAAATTATAAAGGACAAAACCTCACACATTTATTCAATTACTAGATGGCTGCACAGTTCAACAGCGGTGATGTTTAGAATTGTGTGCCCATGGAAATTGTGTAAAAACAAACAAACGAACAAAAAAAGAGAGACTTACTGCAATTTGCCTCATCAGCACCATTGGCACAGTCTACATAGTCATTACAAACGTCATTCGTAGAAATACATCTTTCTCCGCAGTCGAACTGATTTGACGCACACTCTGTTTTAACAAAAAAATATTTAGATGATGGAGGAAAATTGTTGTCTTCGAAAGCGATAAAAAAAAAATCCTTTAATAGTCGGGTTTTCGAAGCATTATCCTAAGTTGGCAGCATCATCATTGTCATCGCTACCATCATTTGTCTACTGCAACTATTTTTGTAAGTTTGTAATATGTTCATTAACTCGTAAAATGTCAAATTATCCTTCTATACATGGGTAATAAATATCGAATCGAATTTGACATTGTTTTGTTGCACAAGTAGCTTGAACGAAGCTGCCTCTTCTTGTAAAAATGATTTAATCGACAAATATTTCTGCCAAGGATGAAATTTTTTATGAAATCTGGACAACTATTAAAGAGTAAAATGAAAAAATGTCCTTACGGAGATTCGACATTTGCTCCAGTAACAGTGACAATTTCTCCGGGCTTTAGTTCGTAACAAGTACAGGGTCAGGGTTAGGGTTAGGTTTAGGGATGCACTCGTCATTCAGGTTATAATTGTTGTTAGGATTGTGGTTAATCATAATGCTTTATCCAGATGTGAAATTAAGAAGTCGGTTATTGCGCGTAATCGGCGGCGGAGAAAGTGTCGCTGGCGCGTGCGTCGTACGACCCATGGTACGACCGTACTTACCACAGTCTTGAAGTTCGTCTGTAAAATCCCCGCAGTCGTTGTAACCATCGCAGATGAATAGTTCATGAACAATATGACCATTATCACACACAAAGGCTAGAATGAAATTATAATTAGTGTAAAGGCAATTAGAGTAAAATGAATAGCTGCTAAAATACACATCAATTATCACAGGTGGTACGTACTTTAAATGTTGCTAATCAAAGTGCTTACAGTTTTAGAACATGAAACACAATACGGCACACATTGCATCAAATCTCAACATTAAAGGTAAGAAATACTTCCTGCAGTTACTCTGCAATATTGAAGGAAAAAATATAATGGTAAATTTAGAATCGCTTGTTTTCTTACACGATCTTTGAAAAACGCACATTTGGCATGAAATAGCGTTCCAAGAAATAACGATAAATTTGCCATAAAGTATCAATTTATTTAAGCTGCCGAAAGGAATATATATAGAACAGTTAATCTGATTGAAACTACACTATACATTTCTTGATAAAGTCAAAATAATACTCCACTGCACCAAGTATGAAGTTCCACTGTACTTACTGCATTTGCTTTCATCATCTCCACAATCTACTCTACCGTCGCAAAAGTTCCTTCGATGTACGCAGGTGTTGATAATGCCACATCTTACATCCAGGATACCAGGACATTCTGGTGAATACAACCAACATAGTGCGAAACGATTGTACTTCATGTAGGTTATATTGATATAGAGTAGATATTAGTTAGGTCAGTACTAAGATATAAAACAGATTTTGTGATTATATCTAGTCATCCTAAATGCACACATTGTGATAATCAAAAACAACAAATAGAAAATTACAAATTGAAGCATACATGAGCGAGAATTTCTAACCTGTTGGCCTTGGATAAACCTTTTTCAAGGACAATTCAAAACCCTAACGCACATATCAATAGATGAGGTTTATTTTTTGAAATACTTAGCGATCATGTTTATTTTTTTCTTTCTTAAAAAAACAAACTATTTGTTGTTTTCATTTCCCGGACGTGGGAAATTACTACGAACTATCATTGCCATGTATTCCTTTGTATATTCATCATAAGCTTTGAATATTAAACCAAAGAGGACAAAAACTCCACTTGATAGTTCTCTGACTTGTTATTGATCCCAATATTTTCTTAACCGGCCATAATGCCGAAAACGTTTGCAATCTTCATCAGCCCTATAGGAAATTATGGGTAGTTCATCAGACGACTGAACAACTTACACTCGTCAAACGAGCCATTCAATTCGTCAAAGAAGACATGGACATTCTTTTTGAAAACCTGTACGGATAAAATTCCTGCTCAACTGTCATAATCACAGGCAGTTCCTGACAGAACAGGTCGCATTTACTGGAATAGCCATCGGAAGCATCAGAGCAATTTCTGACGTCTTGGAAGGATTAGCCGACCCATCTTAACTACCAGAGCAATCTTTAAAGATTCAAGTAAAACGTCGTGCACTACCCTCTACCGAATCACCAAAGCAATAACCGTTGATTTTAAGAAAAGTTGACGTTCCAGTCACACCTGCAAGAACGACCCCAGACTAACAGCAGACCGCACAAAGATTCCTCTAGCCTTGAATGGCCAATAATCGGTCGGTGTGGAGTCGGAGTGAGGTCGGTTTAGCGGTATGATTGAGTACAGCTAAAACTTACCGCAATCCTCGTCTGCACCATCAAAGCAATCATTGACGCCATCGCAGGTGCTGGCTTCGTTGTAACATCCGGGGAAAATACCTCCACAAGATAGTTGATTCGATGGACATTGCACTGAAAAATATTTGAAAATCATTACCATACTACTAGTGGTGGGTTTTTAAAGGAGTATTAAAAAAAGATCTGTCCTGCGTTGCGTGTTTAAGAACATGAAAATGAAAGGTCGCTTTGAGTCGAAAGAACAATTGTTTGGGTGCCACATAATTAAGAAACATTAGGACGAAATAAAAGTTTATCTTTGAAATCCACAAGGATGTCACCAAAAGCAAGTAATTTCAATACATAGAGGCAAAATTTAAAAACAACTACAAAATAATTGACATATCATCCAATGAATGACTACATTCATAATGCACAATCGCACACGGCTTGTAATTAACATGCTTAAGATATAGATGTCTTACACGATTCCTCAGTTACTGCTTCTATTCTTGCGAAAAGAACCAGTTCAGCAGGACGACTCGTAAAAGGCTTCTCTATACGGATCCACATCGAGTTCCCTGGCGGACTTATATCCCCTACTTCTGCACCAGGCCGACTAACAAACGGAATCATTTCCAGCTGAAAATCATAATAGACCAATAACTCATTTCAGGGTTTGTTTAAAAACAAAATAAACGATATTTCAATGATTGGATAGACATGTTTGATTAATTTATGCTTGATGAAAGGTTTCTTTTAACGCTTCTATGGCTTACCGCAGGTTTGCCAGACACACCAACAAGTTGAAGGTAGGTGAATTAAATAGTTAGACTAGGGGTTCTAGGGAGGAGCATGCCCATGTTAAAATAATAGTAAACAGGTTTAGTATGAATAGTGACCAAACACACTCACAGACATGCACACACGCACGAACACAATATGCGTAAAATACCGCAATGAATCTATTGTCACCTTGAATACAATACTGCTCTCATCCGTGGCATCCAAGCCGGTACCAATGGTAAGTGTGTGGGATGCTTCCGTGACAAAACGTTGGATATCCACTCGAAGTCGTGACTCAGACCCTGTGCGTATTGTCCATGTCATTCGCAGAGCTAAAGACGTTTTTAGGAGTTCTGGATAGCCAAGAGTCTCAATGGTAGCTACTTGTCCAAGGTTCAGTGCAATACTTTCCAAAGGAACTAAGGGAAATCAATTTTAAAAGGCCAAGAGACGTTTAACTATAAAATACTGATTATTATTATTAAGTATTAAATTGATTTCTGGTAATGAGAATCAGTTGTGAAAGACGCTGCCTGTAAGCTATTGGGAAGGCTGATTATGCAGTATAGCCTAAGAATAGCCTAAGTGTATACTGCATGTTTCGGAATCACGAAAATGAGAATGAAGTGACACTATCTTGCAGAAGGTATGGTGCATTGCTCACGAAAAAGGGGTATACATATGGGAATACACGCATGAGGTTTGAGAGATGTGAAGGGCAATCATCATCAGCGGACATTAGTATTATAATTATGATATTCTTCCAAGCTGACCTACATGTATAAAGAATGAGGAAGCTCATATTTATTTTTTAATCTGTACAATAAATCATCTATCATGTCTGTACAGTATAACAACAGAGGTACAGGACAGAAGTATCAAACAAAAAACTCCAGTCATACAATTTTTACCCCCATTCCACCCTCCGACTGATATGATCTTTTTTTAAACATACACTGTAATTTTACGAACTGCTGGCCTCGAAACCGATCAGCAAATGAACCATAAAGTGCTTAAATTATATTTAAAATATTCGTACATTCCTTTCAACTCAGATAATTATTGTAAGCCTTTATAAAATTATCCATTCAAAGTTCATGTATTTACCACAATCCTGCTCGTCACTGAAGTCTGGACAGTCCACAATACCATCACAAGTGTTCTTCGGGGTGATAAGTCTGTCACTTCCTTCACAACCTGTGATGTCTGCACATGAAATAATGATAATAACTCCGCTTTTATATAGCGCTCATGCAATGCATCTATGACGTCTCTAAGCGCTTTACAGTACAAGATAATTAGTTTAAAAAAAACACCATTCAAATACTATACCTGGATTAGATAAAGGTAGAGCAATAAAATACTACGTACATGGGTACAAGGACACACATTAATGATAGTCACATATAAAACTGCTGGTCTCAAAACTGATGAACGAATGAACCATACACTGCTTCATTTATATAAAAATATCAATACAATCACATTTACGTTCATAGCACAGATATTGTAAGAAAAGAAACTTATTAAACAGTGTGTAATACATCGTTTGAGGACGGGAGAATAACTTATACATCGTTTGGCAAATTCTTGGTAAGGAGGAAACAGTGTGGTGCAAATTGTATTCTTGTGTGCTTGCCCGACAAATAACAGGCGACATATTGTTTATTTACCCCCAAAACGGGATTGAAAAGCTCTCGTGTAAGAAGCAGGAAATGACTTTAGAAAAACGCCTGGAACTATCGTCATCTAAATCAATGATTGAAGGCATCACATACCTTGTGGAAGAACAGACATCACCTTCATGTCAAAATCTCTCGTTCCATTGAGGGATGCCTCTATGACGAGACCTCCGCTTGGGAAGACCTTATCAGCAGCCTGACTGTAATCCTGATTGAGCGGTCCATCTAAGGTCCAAACATAGTCCTCACCGCTGTCTGCCCCGATGGTTCGGAATGTGATGGAGTCACCGACCAGCAAGGAGATGTATTCGACCTTGACTACGAGAGCGAGGTCGGTGTCGGCCGATGTGACCGTCCATTCAAGGGGTGTAGGGCCGAAGTAGTCAGGGATGGAACGTGACACAAAGTTTGTGCTTTCTCCAGCAGCTAACTGGAAGGGAGCTGTAAATCAACACAGGACAAGTAGTTCAATCAATATTACTACATAATGGAACAAGAGGAGACAAAGAATGGATGGGATAGCATGCAGGAACCTAACTAAAGACTTAAGACACTAAAAATCAAGGGAGTGACGGAGAGACACACTGGGATATAGATTAGGGGAACATTAGAATTAGGATGAAAAGAAAGGATAAACTTTTGGTTTTTGAGTAAAGTTTATTTGTACATACCAGATTTTTTCAGATAGCCCAGAGAGGTAGGGTAGATCAGTGAGTTGTCACAACTCCCTGGGTAGATGGTGCACTTGTAAAAATCTTTCCTTAGGGAAGGAGAGAACAACACACACACACACACACACACAGGTACCAACGTCCACACACACATTGATGTATAGATAGATAGAATGATTTAGACTGAACGATGGACAAATGAGAGTTCAATGATAAGCAGAATAGATGAATCACAATGATGGAACGATAGAAATGGGCTTACGGCAATTTTGTTCGTCTGTTCCATCGGGACAGTCCAGCGCTCCATCACAAAAAGATGAAAGAAGTATTGCCTTACCGCTGCTATAACAACTCCTAATTTGCTCTGCGGGATATAACAGAAATAACATGTTTTACTCTCGAGTGTAAAAATCCCCGCTTCCAGGACCCATATTAGACGATTTTAGGGATCACTGTGACTTAAATCTACTCAAAATTCACCATGGAATCCATTACAATGTATCGTGTTTTTAACTACTCTTGAGAATGGACTCCAGTTTATAAAGCATGTTAAGAGTGTATGTCAACTACAAAGCGAAGTGATTTCTAATAATTACTCCACAAAGAGAGGATTTTCAGTCCCGTACATTTGGAGAGTACATTAAGATTTCAGTAACCATAGTAACATAGAATCATAGATGCTTAATCGTCTTGGGTATACTAGCTAGTACGTTTTTGGCTACTTTGTGCCATTGCAAGTCGCTTGACACTGTCTTGTTAACGACAGTAATATAATGCAAAGCTCTAAGTAAGACCAACTGTATCATAGACGGTAGCTCTCTGGCTGATAAGCTTTCTATTCCACGAAATTATTCAACTTTTATCTATTTAGCGTTTTGAGGAAATCTATAGGTTTGATCATATTAAAAATCATAACAAAGCTTTAAAGCACTACAAAGTCTGGCTGGTTTGGTCTTATTCACCAAGTAGCCATCTCCGTATTCAATACTGCTCTTCATGCGGGCCTTGCAATTATTATCAACCCAGAGTTGCCAGGTATCCATTTACACCTAGGTGGAGTGTGGCAAATGTGGATTAACGTGTTGCTAAAAGACGTAACTGCCGGGCTGGGATTTAAACCCGCAACCCCTGGATTGAGAGTCAAGTGAATGAACCGCGATACCAATGAAACTCAACAGTGGTTAGCAGGACAGGTAAAAGAAATTACCTGTATTGACTAAAACCACAATATCTTATGTATATAAATGATGTAATCATCAATACGGTGTGGTGCGTAGGGACAAGGGTCCACTTTTCCCCATCACACTCCAATTGAGAAGTCTTTTATGGCAATCGGAAGCAAACAAAAATAGGACCCACCTTCAGTATTCACCACACTTAACACAAGTCTGAATCCATAGGAGCCGATAACAGAGTCAGTTATAAACTCTAGCCACAAGTATGAACCCAAATACAAGATGTCATCAATACGCTCATCCCCAGTTAGAGAGGCGATCCTCGTGCTCTCCCCGAATGACGGCAGGAGACCCTCATACACGTTAAGGAAGTCAAAGTTTGGTTCTGTGCTGAACTCGGCGAATCGGAGGCTGACACTGTAGTTGGTAGGGGCGCGGACATACCACAACATTTCAACATTGTTTGGGTAAACTTGAGGGAAGTTTGGTGAAATTATTTCCTCCGTCTCTCCTATCTCAAAGTCAATGACTATCATCGCTGTTGAATAAGAAAAAATACTGATTTATATATGACTGAATTAAATATCTGTTGAATGTGCAGCGATATTAATGTTGATAACCTTTACGTCCTCATCAACGTGTTTAATGATACAAGATAAGATAATGCCACTCGATGATTTGTGTGTGTATGTGTGTGTGTGTGTGGGGGGGGGGGGGGGGGGTTGGCGGGGTGTTAAATTAGTTTTTTGTTCATTTGTTTTAACCAGTTAAACCAGGGTTTAAAAAAAGTGAAGAATATCCTTATCAATGTTTAGAAAATGGAGCGACGCACGAGAACTGGAGGTACCCTTCGAGTCTAATACAGTTGATTATTGCTTCTTGCACGCATACTCACCCACACGCACTCACCCACACGTACCCACATATCTCATCCCATCGTCATATCTCGCATAAATCACTGCTACAATAATGTTAAAATCTCTAAATATCAGCATTAACTAATTATTGCACGCAAACCCAGTTTATAGTGCCTTCTGTTGAAGTATACCTGGACGTATACCTGGACGTTCTGTGGAAGAGGGAGTCGATGTGGAAGACTGAAACTCGCAAAAGTCTTGGAAGTCCGAGCAGCAATCTCCTCGTGTAGAACACTCTTGATCACAGAAACAGTCACCTCGATTACAGCTTTCTGATAAATCGGTACAGCAGCTCCGTCCACAAGATCCGTTAAAAGGAATTCCTAAAGCGATAATAATGACGATGATGATGATTATTATTTTAATAACAAAATAAAATAATATTAATATCATGGCAATCATAATTATTATAGTTATTGTTCTCATTATGACAATGATCCTTAACAAAATCAGTTCTTTGTCTGAACGTTCCACCTTGTATGCCTTCTTTAGCTTAGTATAAATGCTATCATAATTCTTTCATGCGAAATTGAGAGTATTGTAGTCTACATTTGTAATCGGATCATGATGTGGGAGATAATTTCAACAACAAATATTCTCACATCTACAGGGTTACTAGATATATTCAGGGTGAGGGGGGGGGGGGGGGGGTAGTGAACATAATGTTTTTTTGTTGGTTTTAGCCCCCGTGAATTTGAAAACCGCACAGATCGTTTTTCGCTCAGTGGGGGGGGGGGGGGTAGTGTGAGCACTAACTACAAAAAATTATATAAAACCATTTCTTTTAAATATTTTTTATTTTTTATTTTTTAATAATAATAATCTTAATTAAAAAACAAAAAAGTGACCCAATCTCCCATATCTTCTGTGAATTATCTGGGTAATCATTAGGGTAGTTTGGTGCAGTTATCTTGTAGCTTTCGCCAATGCTAAGGTTGATTCTAACGAATTCAGGTTCAGCTGTTATTACGAAGATAAACGGGAAATGGTATATTCCGTTTTTAAAAGAGAATTAAACATTCATATAGTTAGTATCTGCGTTACAAACGAGCAGAAAACAATCTAATTTATAGAGCAACCGAGGATACAGGTTATAGGTTATATGTTAGAGAAGGAAAACAAAATACAATTACAAAGCTAAGACATTTCTCTACAAGCTCAGTCACCACCATTTTTTATTTTAATGACGTCATCATAGTGAAATATAGTGAATAATTTGCGTGTTATGCCTATGGAAGGTTAATTTCGTTCACATCATGAATCTACATGACATTGTTTTTTAGCAGTATGTCGCTTATTTTTGCTCTATTTTGTCTCAAAATTCAGTTGGAACAGCCCACCTATACTTGTTCCAACCAAGTATTACATGCCTAGTTATTATTATTATTATTATCAGTGTTATTTTTTTTTAATCCCAAAAGGATTCTTATTTCCGTTACAAATGCAAGTTTCGTGATTGGCTACTTTTAATCGTTTATCTTACTCCCTGTCAAGACTTCTTTGATGAATGGCCAAAACTGAGAGACTCTAGCATATATTCCTGGTTTGCCTGGGTCGGCACACCCATCACCCCAGCTGGTCGCTCCTACAAGATGCCATCTACCATCTGATCCTTCACATACCAAGGGACCTCCACTATCTCCCTGCATGGCGATTTTAAGGAGAAACCCGCCAAGGAGAAGAAAAAAAAAGATAAAATAAGGTGCTGATAAGGAGAAAAAATTAGCAATTTATACTTGCAAAATAAAATACCAAGATGCTTGAAACGTTGATGAGTTACAATGTATTAGGAATTTCCTTGGGGATATTCCAACCCCAGTATGCGCACTCCATTGCCATAAGGGAGATTCTAAATTTTCAGCACATGTAAATGTATTCTGTTAGGCTTATATCATGTATGCTGACATCCATAGCATGCAATTTTTGTTCAATTAGGCCTTAGATTTGCCGCAGATCTGCAGCAGACCTGCCGCAGACAGTCATCTTTTTCACATGCAAATTAGTTTTGCCGCAGACTTGCCGCAGACTTGCCGCATACTCTTTCAGTATGATGAAGAGTCTGCTGCAGACCTGCCGCAGACTCTTCATAATGAATATTCATATCTCATATAGACCTGCTGCAGACCTGCCGCATACTCTTTCATATCCAGTACGTGGCAATAAAGTATGCATGTAGAAGAACCAGTGATAAACTGATCGATACTTCATTTTTTTTTCTTTCTTTTTTCCTGTTATATATTTTTCTGTTTGTTAACCCTACCCTACCCGACCTCTCCCTTATCCCCACCCCCCCCCCCCTCTTAACCGGTGGACGACTGGCTCTGGGTTCCAATTGTTTGTCTAATACTCAGGTTTTCCCATTTAGAAAAATGAATAGTGAGAGTTCCCCTCATTGCTGCCAATTTCCTTTCTTCTACTTTATCCCCTATTATACTATTCTTTATTTCATTAAAAGAGGGTGGTTTTTTAAGTTCTCTATTTCTATAAATCAGATATTTAACAAGAATTAAAACATGATTCATTAATTGATATTTTCCTTTATTTCTCTCCTCTTTCCCATACAGAATTTCCTCCAAACTACAGTTATGTATTTCAAAGTCTAAAAATCTCGTGCACATTTCCCACACTGATTGTGCAAATTCACAAGTATAGAATAAATGTTTATATGTTTCTTCATCTTTTTCGCAAAATGAGCATGAGTTAGTCGAGACAAGACCAAAACGGAAGAGGTGATGGTTTGTATATAATATATTATGTATAAGTTTGAACTGAAACTCTCTTAATCGACTGTTAAGTGTACACTGTCTTAGTCTTAAAAATATGTTTTCTATTTCCTTACAGGAAAAACCATAGTTCCTTCCAATTGTCTCAAAAACCAAAGGTTTAAAATCATCTTTCTTTATTAATTGTACATAAATTTGTTTTGATTTTAAATCAGCTATATTAGTTGTTTTCTTCCCCAAAGTGAAATCAGTAATACCAATATATATCGATATTACCAATTAGGTATATTCTATTCTCAATTGTATTAACTCCATCACATAGATCATTAGAAGTGTATTCAAGAGTAACATTTAAAGTGATACAGGCTCGTACACTTATATATATATACTAAATATGTATATTGTTTCTTGGTTAGTAATCATATAATCAATATCAATCTATCAATCTATTGCTAAAACGTGAATGTAATTGTAACATGATCAGACAAAATAATCTATTGGTTAATAATGGCAAAAGGAAAAAAGAAATCACAAAAATGATGTGCATTGTCTTAATTTGCTTAACAAATCATGATAAATGTATTTTTCTGTCACACGTGTAAAGTAATAATGAATATGCATGAGATGATTGGTTTCAATTGGTTTCAATTGGCCCTATTAGACTTTAATGGGATTTCAATTGGACCAATCTGCCCCATTAGACTTTAAAAGGTTTTCAATTGGTTTCAATTGGACCAATTGAAGTCCAACTTCAGGCCAATGGGGTCCCATTAAAGTCTAATGGGGCATAGACCAATGGGGCCAATTAATGGGCCCAATTGGTCCAATAGGGACAATCTGGACCAATTGAAACCATCTGAAGTCGTATTAAGTCCCATTGAAACCTGTTAAAACCTATTGAGACCAATTGAAACCAATTGAAAATTCAATTGGTGTTCAATTAGTTTCAATTGGATTTTCGTCTTGGGTAGTTACAACAAAAAAGTGAGTTAGTGGGGCTGAAGATAAGATCACATATGGCACAACAAAAAAGTTTGAAACAGTCCGTTAATTCCTCAGTCTCCTCTTATGTAATAAATTCCTCTTATTATGCGGCAAGTCTGGAGCAAAGTTTCATCTGCCGCAGATCTGCCGCAGATCTGCCGCAGACTATTCCTGTGGCATACTAGTAAGCGGCAAGTCTGGAGCAAAGTTTCATCCTGCCGCAGATCTGCCGCAGACTGTTCCTGTGGCATACTGGTATGCGGCAAGTCTGGAGCAAAATTTCATCCTGCCGCAGATCTGCCGCAGACTGTTCCTGTGGCATACTGGTATGCGGCAAGTCTGCAGCAAAATTTCCTTCTGCCGCATACTTCGGCATACTTTTTTGCCGCAGACTAAAAGTCTGCCGCAGATCTGCGGCAGGTCTGCGGCAGGTCTGCGGCATACTTTTCACTTTCCTATGGGTATGCTCCCCATTGTGAGACGATAATTAATCTCCACCCCCTTTTTGTGCTTAACTACGAAATATTTACAATATCGTGCGATTTAATTTAAAAAAAAAAATTCTTCTTGATCAGCTATTGTCTGAATTTCTCACCTGACATGTGTCTATCCCACCTCGTTCATACCCTGCGCAGATCATCTGATCCGAGGTCCTATTCACATACAGTTCTGCGCATCTCTCATTTGTGATCAAATGTACGATTGCTTTCTGCAAAACATCTGCATCGAAACCTGTAAGATATCTCAGGAAGAAGGGAAGTATTATTCAAGACAAATTGTGATGTTGGGAAATGATCTTACAGTGGGTGGTACTATTTTGGAAATTACAAATCTGCCTTAATTGTTTACAAACAAGGTCATTACAGTCAATGATATACAGCTATTAGTAAGATAATTCTCTGTATACATGTAACAAGGTATCGTTATTTTAAAATATCACGAAATATTATCTTGAACATAGTGTATATATAGGCCTATATGCGCGCCAGCTGGGTGCTCTCGATCGATAGGAGAGGGGAATGTGAACTTGAAGCTCAGAATCGTTAGTAAATCCAATGGCCGGGGTAAAAATACACCATTCAGCGCCTAAATCTGTAAATTAAATGAAAAAGCGCTTTATATTAAACTGCTATTACTATCATTATTACTTTTGGTATCACTGTTGGCCGATTATTATCATCATCTTTATTATTATTATTATTTTTGTTTTAAAAATGATAATCACTATTATTACCATTATCATTATCCTGATTATTATCATTATTGTTATCATTATCTTTATCATAATCAGTATACCTGAACATGAAATCCTGTATAAAGATGTTTTAATAAATAATAAATATATAAATAGATAATAAATGATATTATCATTTTTGTTATTATTTTCTTATTAATCAATTTTTATTATTAATATAATTTTGATGATTATTAATATCAAAATTATTATTATTAATATTATTTGTATCCTTATTAGTATAATTATTATCATTGTTATTGCTAATATTGTTGTAACTACTCATTCACATTTAGGCCCATCTGACTCTGCCACTCATGATGTGCTTACCGGCTTCGGTGTTACCCCATCCACTGACGGTGCACCTCTTGTAGTCCTTCACCTCTTCTGAGGACTCCGCTAGACAGGCTGGCCTTACAAAAGCTGTAAAGTCCACTGGTTGCGATAATCTGATGAGAGCTAAATCCCCATTCGGAAAGTAATATCCCGGATAGGGGATAATCTCGGCAGGAGTGATGTTTAGATGATGGTTAGAGGGGGAGGAGAGAAGCAGGTCACCCAATATGATGTGATCCACGGAATATGGAATATCGACCCTGAAAGAGTTTGATAATTTATTGTATTTTCTTTGTTTATTTTTTGTGTGGGGGCGTCGACGTACCCTAGCGCCCGCTGCGTACAGTCATGATTCATTGGCTAAGCAAAGGCCTTGTTACTGTGAGCCCCCAAGATAAAAACCGTGTCGATGTGCTTTATTAGTGCCCTTTTATGAGGCATTAATCCCCATTACTGTCAGTTATGACTTAAGGACGTAGGTCCCCTAGTTGATTAGCACAGTAGCACACACAAGCTTTAGCAGTCACGCAAAACAAACACTCCCCAATTGTCATTCAATAAAATCTGAGAATGTATACTATTATCTAGATCTATTAGGAATAAATAATTGTCAAAATCATTCAATAAATTGGGGCAAAAATAATTATTCCACCAGTATGACCAACAGTGTATATAGCATGCAGAACAAATGGTGATGTTTTCCGAGATTGAAATTCTGTTCAGCGGATGATACTTACACACAGTGTGCAGCTGTGACAACCCATTCAGGACCTATCAAGGTACCGCCGCAGACTTGTCCTCTTTCATGACTGTAAAGATAAACCATCCAGGGGAACTCCCCTTCTTTAGCATCGGCCCCGCCCACCACTCGAGACTGGTCTGGGGTGTATGCTGGACGGGTGCCACAAATGGTGGTGTTTAAGTAATCTGTGTTAAAAAGACAAAAAGATGACAAAGTCACCTGTCACCCGTTTCACTGAAATTTTCAGTTTAAATCTATGCATGTCTTGATCATAATTTTATAATGAACATAATAGCAACGGAAGGTAAAAGCTAAACATGTCTGAGCTAAATCGTCAATTTATTTTAAATAATGAGCATCTAAAAATTGCATTGAGAAATGAATTCTATTTTAGCTACATCAAATAGGACGATGGCATAAAATGATATATACAAAAAACATTTCGAGGGTTCAGTGACACAAAGACGTAACACCATATTTTGCCAAAATGAGTCTTTGATATCAAAATGTTCAGAAAAATGTGGGCTTTCCAGGAAACAGCAAGACTTAACTCCACCCAACACCCCATTGAAGTCAATGGCTAGTGAAGCCCAAGTGCTCAGTGACACATAAACCTCTTTTTCTCAAAATGGCCAAAATGGAGTTACGTCTTTGTGTCACTGACCCCTCGATTTGAAAAAAATTGCAGTACACACCCCCTTGTCCTCCTAAGCAAGACCCATCGGTGTCTTGTAGCGAATCCGTGAAGTGAGTACAGTTGATTGGCCATGGTTGTCCAATCGTTTCTTGATAGCGTTGTTCACACGCATCGGTCACATCTATACAGCCTGACAAGCATGGTCTTCTGGTGGGTCCGTTGTGGATGCATTCAGGGAAGAACGTATTACATACCAGCTCCATCATGTCACTGTGGCAACTGATGATGGAGTCCTAAATCATAGGAGACGAACAAGTAAGCGGAAGGAAATCAATTCAAATGATAAGTTATACTGTAGAGGTGCCGTGGTCAAGTGGTTCAGTCGCCGGACTGTCGATCACAATGTCCGCGGTTCGAGAGCAGCGGCGGCACCACTCTCCTTTGGCAAGACATTGATCTACATTTGCCACACTCAACCCAGGTGATGTAAATGGGGACCTGGCAGGAATTTATTCTTTGAAGTGCTAGAGCGCAGTAACTTACCAGACCAGCAACCTTATCTAGAGCGTCTTCTCTCGTGTCAGCAAAGGGATTCGGGAAGTAAGTGGAGCTATACGGAACGAGGTTCTTGCACACTGGAGGTACGTCTTCACATGGTGCTGTGTCAATGAAAATAATACCAAATTAGTATAGTATTAATGACTGCTTTGAGAGAAATAGTTGTTTTTATACGCTCAAGGGAAGGTTAGAATTGTGCTATTACCCGAGGCGTGCCGAAAAAAACTTTTGTCGAAGATGGGACTCGAACCCTTGCGTATCAAAGAAGATATCATGTAAGTCGGCGCATTAAACTTCTCGGCCAGCGCACTCTGTCACTATGCGTAGTAGTTTTCTTTAATATATACATTAAAATGAATTGAAAACGGCTTCGCGTGGTCGATGCTTCGCCGCTGCTCCATTAAACAGGCCCTTCTTTTACTTTTGCAATGCAGATTGGCACGAACTTAGATCAAGATCTATCGGCAGATGTTGTTTTTTGTTTTTGGAAGTTTATTTTCGTCTTCATGTCAACAATGCAAGATAAAATTGTCGGTAAGATCGATCGAGATTCAATTGTATTGAAATTACCGACCAATTCTTCGCACACGTACGGTATCCTCGATCGCTCAGAAATTTTTTTAACATGTAAACCTATGGGGTAACCATGGAGACTGACCTATTTTCCCAATAACCATGGTTATTGGGATTTTGAACTGTTTTTTAACCATGGTTACCGGGAATTTTCACGAACAGTTAAAGTTTATGAATGCAATTTCGACCAATCAGATTGCTGGATTACTTAAGTGAGGTATATAATGACCAATATCGACCTTCCAATACTATAGCACTGTGAAAATAGTTTTATGTCGCCATTGTCCGAGCTATGCCAAAAGAGGACGTAACAACCATGACGTAACAACCATGGGGGAGAGCCCTTAAACAAAAATGAGTAATTCACAGGCATTAGTTATTGATGTTGTTCCTCTTTGTTATTATCATATATTTACATTCTCTATATATGTCATCGTCTGGTATTGTGTTTCTGGAAATAGAAGGAATTAATTAAATGAAAGAAATCTAAATTTAATATCTATGTGGCAAACAATTTTACTTTTGTGTTTATTTCAATTTTGTGTTACACCCGAAATGACCGAGTAGATAAATTATATGAAGGCACTAGTGCTTTATATCGGTTTGATCTATTAGAAACCCTTATAAGTCTGTGCAAGAGGTTGGATTCATGTAAACTTTCCAATTAAAAACTGAACCACAAATGAAATGATAACACAAAACTTGACAATGAAAATGCACATATAATTCAAGTACTTACGGCAGTAATCCTCGTCTGAAAAGTCTAGACAATCGTTGAATCCATCACATGTAGCATTTTTGGAAATGCAAATTCCGTTTGAACAATTGATCATGTCGTCATTATTGCAATCTTTGGAACGAAAAAACAAATCGAAAAGAATTACAAAAAATAGGTCTATATTTTTGCTAGGGTACTTAAACTGCAAATATTCGATCATAAAATAAAGGAATTCAAAAGGATTAAATAGTAAATTAGCTGTATAAAAGTAATTTATTCTGTCTCTCTGTGTCTCAATGTCATGTAACATGTAAGTCAATAGACTCAATACTGAAGTAAGGAACATTTAGACAAACCTATTGACTCTTCGACGGACAGTATGACGAAAAATCCACCATCTTCTATGCTCCCATCGCTTTTGAATCTCAACCACACATAAGAACCAAATGTCTTAATAGGATCTGGTAGTTGGTATCCTGTTAATGCATTGGACCGTATTCTCTCAGTGGTGTTCCCTGTAAATCCTTGATAAACGATGAGGGCGTCATACGCTACCTCTACTTCGAAGGTGATGAAGGTGATGACAATGCTGTAGCCAGCTGGAGCGATTGCGTGCCACGTCAGATCAGTGTTGCTGTAGTACTCGAGTGGATAATTGGGGCTGTAGATATTCTCAGTATCTCCCAGGCCCAACACGATTGGCACTGTTTCATTTAAGCGATCTAGAAGGAAAAAATGGACATAAGATAACCTTCTTCTCACAGAAGATCAACAATGCAATGTATTGGAACCAGTGTTTTGGGATGGGAAGCGGCTGATACCCTTACATAAAAAAGCATAATGAATATCTCAAGGAAAGTGCAATGTTCCGATAGTCGCCTTTCCATCCAGAAGATCATTGGATGGACAGAGATGAGGGTGTTGCAACGCAACGGGTATCTGGGATGTTGGTTTATGTTTTTGTTCTTTCAGTCCAATACAGTGGGTTATTGCTTCATGCACGCATACACACATACACACACTCACCCACACGTACCCACGTATCTCATCCCATCGCCACATCTCGCAAAAATCACGGCTATAATATGTTCAAATCTCTAAATATCAGCATTAACTAATTAATGTACGCAAACCCAGTTTATAGTGCCTTCTGTTGAAGTAGGGGGGGGGGGGGTGAGGTGTAGGGCCAGTGTTCAAAGTGGATCTTTGGATTTGAGCAGAGTTAAAACAATGAGACATTATTTTGAACTCGATTATAACTTATATGCCAGCCTACGTTTAACCAGACTTTACTACCCGACCTAGATCATGCTTAGTTTAAGTTAAAGCTGATTTGGGGATGTGATTTTTGAATAAAAACAAATCGGTTTAAAGGGCAGATCAAGACTGGATCTCAATCATGCTCGAGGCCGCTGTTGAAGTTATATTAGGAAGCTGTAATGAATGGAGATACCGTCTCGAAAGAATTTTCCGAGGGAAAAATATTCAAGATTTACCTGGCTTAACAAAAAGAAATGTAACCCTCTCCAACCATCATTTCCATCAACAGCTGTCCATATCAATGCACAGTCCCTCTCTGGAATTCCAAATAGTATGAAATGTTACGCAACGCCATCTGCTTCCCTAATTTCTCTATTCACTCTTTTGCAAATATATGCAAGCATCGAGTTTTGAAGCCATGCGTGGCACCGAAAAATTAAGTCATGTTCAGTGAAGATGTATTTAGCTATAACATATAAAATACAGAATTAACAACATAAGACCAATGCAACTTTATATTAGTCATCAAATGCTTTTTCCATTCTCGGATAGCTCTACTGAAGACATGGCCATTTCAACCAGCGAAATCGACCAAGGAAATCGTGAGTTAGAGCAAATGAAAGGTTTTCATCATCATGATTTTCTCATCTAATTATTGACATTTTCCGAAAATTTCCGAAATTTGTACATAGCTAGGAAGGTAGTCTAAAGGTTTATCTTCCTATAGAACTAAATGAAATTGTGTTATATGTTTGCGCATTTATTGATTGAGGGCTAGAAGTTGTCAAGTTATCACCACTATTCACCCCAAATACGGGCACACAAAGCAAAAGCCGCCGTGCTCGCTGGGCTGGGCTGTGTGTGGAAAGGGATGACCTAGTGCTACTAGGGAGCTGTACGGTTTCGGATGGGGAATAAGGGGATTACGGTAGGGGAAACAAAAGACGCGCGGTGCCACGGATGGCTTCAAAGGGGCCTCTTGGAGGGGATCTCCATTCATTACAGCTTCCTGGTTATATCAAGCTTCAGAATACGGGTCATTGATATGTATTTGGTTGAACCTAATTTACAGGATATAGTCCATTTCATAGAATTGTTCCCGCCTTTTCATCTTGTTTATTAAACAATGCCTTCCCATATATTGTCAATATCGTGTCTCATACCTGGACGTTCTGTGGAAGAGGGAGTCGATGTGGAAGACTGAAACTCGCAAAAGTTTTGGAAGTCCGAGCAGCAATCTCCTCGTGTAGAACACTCTTGATCACAGAAACAGTCACCTCGATTACAGCTTTCTGATAAATCGGTACAGCAGCTCCGTCCACAAGATCCGTTTAAAGGAATTTCTAGAGCAATAATAATGACGATGATGATGATTATTATGTAAATAAAAAATTAAAATAATATTAATATCATGGCAATCATAATTATTATAGTTATTGTTCTCATTATAACAATGATCCTTAACAAAATCAGTTCTTTCTTTGAACGTTCCACCTTGTATACCTTCTTTAGCTTAGTATAAATGCTATCATTGAATTCTTTCATGCGAAATTGAGAGTATTGTAGTCTACATTTGTAATCGGATTTTGATGTGGGAGATAATTTCAACAACAAATATTTTCACATTTACAGGATTACTAGATATATTCAGGGTGAGGGGGGGGGGGGGAGGGGGTAGTGAGCATAATGATTTTTGTTTTGTTTTTTGCCCTATGTGAATTTGAAAACCGCACAGACCATTTTTCGCTGAGTGGGGGGGGGGGGGTAGTGTGAGCACTAACTACAACAAATTATTTATATAAAAACCAATTCTTTCAAATATTTTTTGTTTTTAATTTTTTAATAATCTTAATTAAAAAACAAACAAAGTGACCTAATCTCCCATATCTTCTGTGAATTATCTGGGTAATCATTAGGGTAGTTTGGTGCAGTTATCTTGTAACTTTCGCCAATGCTAAGATTGATTCTAACGAATTCAGGTTCAGCTGCTATTACGAAGATAAACGGGAAATGGTATATTCCGTTTTTAAAAGCGAATCACACATTTATATAGTAAGTATCTGCGTAACAAACAAGGATACAGGTTATAGGTTATAGATTATATATATATGTTAGAGAGGGGAAACAAAATACGATTACAAAGCTAAGACAATTCTTTACAAGCTCAGTCACCACCATTTTTTATTTTAATGACGTCATCATAGTGAAAATTTTGATTAAAGGGCACATATCAGAAATTTCTTAATTTGCGTGTTATGCCTATGGAAGGTGAATTTCGTTCACATCATGAATCTACACGACATTGTGTTTTAGCAGTATGTCGCTTATTTTTGCTCTATTTTGTCTCAAATTTTAGTTGGAACAGCCCACCTATACTTGTTCCAAACAAGTATTACATGTCTAGTTATTATTATTATTATTATCAGTGTTATTTTTTTTTAAATCCCAAAAGGATTCTTATTTCCGTTACAAATGCAAGTTTCGTGATTGGCTACTTTTAATCGTGTATCTTACTCCCTGTCAAGACTTCTTTGATGAATGGCCAAAACTGAGAGACTCTAGCATATATTCCTGGTTTGCCTGGGTCGGCACACCCATCACCCCAGCTGGTCGCTCCTACAAGATGCCATCTACCATCTGATCCTTCACATACCAAGGGACCTCCACTATCTCCCTGCATGGCGATTTTAAGGAGAAACCCGCCAAGGAGAAGGAAAAAAGATAAGATAAGGTGCTGATAGGGAGAAAAATTTAGCAGTATATACTTGCACAATAAGATCCCAAGATGCTTACAAATTTGATGGTTAGAAAAAAAATGAGTTACAATGTAATAGGAATTTCCTTTGGGATATTCCAACCCCAGTATGCGCACTCTATTGCCATAAGGGAGATTCTGGATTTTTAGCACATGTATTGTGTTAGGCTTATGATCATGTACATGATTGCTTACATCAATAGCATGCAATTTTTGTTCCGTCAATTAGTCCTATCTCTGAGGAAAATGTTATGTTCGCAATTACAAAATATTAGATCTTAATCCAGTAAAGTATCTGTTAATACTGGCAGAATGAGGGGACACTTCCGGCCCTTGCCTCCCCCATCGAACGTGTTAAAAGCCAAGCGGCATGCCTTAACTTCACAACTTCAAGATTATGCTCCCCATTTTGAGACGATAATTAATCTCCACCCCCTTTCTGTGCTTGACTATGAAATATTTACAATATCGTGCGACTTAAATAACAAAAATTAAAAATCCTGCTTGATCCGTTCTTGTCTGGATTTCTCACCTGACATGTGTCTATTCCCCCTCGTTCATAACCTGCGCAGATCATCTGATTCGAGGTCGCATTCACATACAGTTCTGCGCATCTATCATTTGTGATCAAATGTACGATTGCTTTCTGCAAAACATCTGCATTGAAACCTGTAAGATATCTCAGGAAGAAGGGAAGTATTATTCAAGACACATTGTGTTGTTGGGAAATGATCTTACGGTGGGTGGTACTATTTTTAGAAATAACAAATCTGCCGTTATTGTTTACATACGAGGTCATTACAGGCAATGATATACAGCTATTAGTAAGATAATTCTCTGTATACATGTTACAAGGTATCGTTATTTCAAAATATCACGAAATATTATCTTGAACATAGTGTATACATAGGCCTATATGCGCGCCAGCTGGGTGCTCTCGATCGATAGGAGAGGAGATTGTGAACTTGAAGCTCAGAATCGTTAGTAAATCCAATGAGGGGTAAAAATACACCATTCGGCGCTTAAATCTGTAAATTAAATGAAAAGATGCTATATAATAAACTGCTATTACTATCACTATTACTATTGGTATCACTGTTGGGCCGATTATTATCATCATTACTATTATTATTATTATTTTTAAATAATTTGTTATTGATAATATAGAATTAATGACTGCTTTGAGAGAAATAGTTGTTTTTATACGCTCTCGGGAAGGTTATAATTGGGCTATTGCCCTCGGCTGAATATTAAAGCAGTCATTAATACTTTCATATGCCGAAAAAAAAGTCAACTTATGACACCACCTTGGCCTTTATCTAGTTTATCTGCACGGTTGTTTTTTATGAGTGTATCTTTGAGAGTAAACTAAAAAATAAAAAATAAAAAATAAAAAAACTTTTGTCGAAGATGAGATTCGATCTCCTGCGTACAAGCGATGATGTGACTAAAATCACCGCCTTAGACCGCTAGGCCATCGCACACTGATACCATTCCAAGCAGTTTTTTCTGCTGTATACATTAAAATGGATTGAAAACGGCTTCGCGTGCTGGATGCTTCGCGGCAGCTCCATATAAACGGGCCCTTCTTTTACTTTTGCAATGCATTGGCACGAACTTCACGATCAAGATCTATCGGCAGATGTTGTTTTTGGAAGTTTATTTTCGTCTTCATGTCAACAATACAAGATAAAATTGTCGGTAAGATCGATCGAGATTCAATTGTATTGAAATTACCGACCAATTCTTCGCACACGTACGGTATCCGCAATCGCTCAAACCATTTTTTAACATGTAAACCTATGGGTATTTCACCAAGACTGAACTATTTTCCCGGTAACCATGGTTACTGGGATTTTAGAACTATTACATGGGTTTGGAATTTTACAGGAATAGTTAAAGTTTATGAATGCAATTTCGACCAATCAGATGGCTGGATTAATCACTATTATATACCTCACTTAAAACAGCCATCTGATTGGTCGAAATTGCATTTATAAACTTTAACTATTCCTGTAAAATTCCCGGTAAAATTCCAAACCCATGTAATAGTTCAAAAAAATAGTTCTAAAATCCCGGTTACCATGGTTACGGGGAAAATAGTTCTAAAAATAGTTCTAAAATCCCAGTAACCATGGTTACCCATAGGTTTACATGTTAAAAAAATGGTTTGAGGGATCGCGGATACCGTACGTGTGCGAAGAATTGGTCGGCATTTTTAGTAAGGCAATATATCTCGATTTAAACACGGCAAAAATGGCTGTAGAAACTCTCCCAAGATTTCAACTTCTGGATGAGGATCAAATGCGAGACATGCTGACAGCAAGAACACCAAAAAGGGTACGTGAAATCTTCCATAATTTTTTTTCAGTAGGCCTAGATCTAGATTCTAGTACGCGACAACCAGATGCTGGTGATTGTAGTGATTTGTACGTCACACGGACAGATGCAGATCCATCCCGTAGAGATTACACACATCCCTATGCATTTCCATTGGCCACTGCGCACTCGATCATGATGTTTTAATTACCAGAGATTCAAACTAATATTGATCGTGATCCTGAAAGTGATACTCAATAAGTGAGGTGTCATATGAAAGTGCAGGTTTTTCTCCATATTCCCCAAAGGGGCGGCCCACCCCTAAAATTGTAAAAATATCTTGCTTAGACTAGAATCTAGATCTAGTCTACTCTCAAAGAAACACTCATAAAAAACAACCATGCAGATAAACAAGAGAAAGGCCAAGTTGGTGTCAAAATTTTTTCTGCATATAAAAGTATTAATGACTGCTTTAATATTCGAGAAATAGTTGTTTTTATACGCTGTCGGGAAGGTTACAATACACCAGTTTACAGTTGTGTGCGCCATTTTAAACAAAGCCAATGACCTAGAGGTCATGTATTTATGCGTAAATTAAGATTGCGCCCATGCAAATTTTGATGATATCACTGCCTACGCGCTGCGTTGTGCGCGCACATCATTATTTGCATGGGCGCAATCTTAATTTACGCATAAATACCAGAGGTCAGAGGTTATTGGCCCCAATTTTTGGGCCAATAACCTCTGACCTCTGTCTGCGCATGCGCACTGATACAACTGTAAACTGATGTATTGGGCTATTGCCCTCGGCACGCCTCGGGCAATAGCACAATTCTAACCTTCCCTTGAATAAGCTTGAATAAGCGTATAAAAACAACTATTTCTCTCAAAGCAGTAATTAATACTATATTATTACTATTATCATTATCCTGATTATTATCATTATTGTTATCATTATCTTTACCATTATCAGTATACCTGAACATGTTATCCTATATAAAGATGTTTTAATAAATAATAAATATATAAATAAACAAATGATATTATAATTTTTGTTATTATTAATTATATATCATTATGATTATTATTAGTAATATTAAAATTATCATCATTGTTGTTGCTGCTGTTGTGGTTGTAGCTATTGTCATTCACATTTAGGCCCATCTGAATCTGCCACTCATGATATGCTTACCGGCTTCGGTGTTACCCCATCCACTGACGGTGCACCTCTTGTAGTCCTTCACCTCGTCCGATGACTCCGCTAGACAGGCTGGCCTTACAAAAGCTGTAAAGTCCACTGGTTGCGATAATCTGATGAGAGCTAAATCCCCATCCGATGTTCGAGGGTCATATCCCAGATAGGGGATAATCTCGGCAGGAGTGATGTTTAGATGATGGTTGGAGGGGGAGGAGAGAAGCAGGTCACCCAATATGATGCGATCCACGCAATATGGAATATCGACCCTGAAAGAGTTTTCCCCCCAGTATACTTCGATTAGTCTTACTTATTTAAATTTGTATTGTAAGTTCTCTGACTTCTTTTTCGATGCAATTTCGATGCAAATTGTCCCTAAATTCTCTAAAGGAAATACTATTTTGCACCTCAACCTCATTTTTAAGTGAACATGTATAACATTATATGCTGCTTGTAAGTATCGGATCGGCTCACATGGTGCACCCGCAAGCCTACTGTATATGTATAACATTGTACTGATGTAACCCCATTTCATGTAATGACATGTAGAACATATATGGTGATGTTTTCCGAGATTGAAATTCTGTTCACCGGATGATACTTACACACAGTGGGCAGCTGTGGCAACCCATTCAGGACCTATCAAGGTACCGCCGCAGACTTGTCCTCTTTCATGACTGTAAAGATAAACCATCCAGGGGAATTCCCCTTCTTTAGCATCGGCCCCGCCCACCACTCGAGACTGGCCTAGGGAGTATGCTGGACGGGTGCCACAAATGGTGGTGTTTAAGTAATCTGTGTTAAAAAGACAAACAGATGACAAAGTCACCCGTCACCAGTTTCACTGACATTTTCGGTTTACATCTATCATGCATGTCTTGATCATAATTTCATATTGAACATAATAACAACGGAAGGTATAAGCAAAACAGGTATGAGCTAAAACGTCAATTTTAAAAAAATAATAAGCATCTAAAAATTACATTGAGAAATGAATTCTATTTCAGCTACATCAAATAGGACGATGGAATAACATGATATATACAAAAAACATTTCGAGGGTTCAGTGACACAAAGACGTAACACCATATTTTGCCAAAATGAGTATTTGATATCAACATGTTCAGAAAAATGTGGGCTTTCCAGGAAACACAAATACTTAACTCCACCCAACACCCCATTGAAGTCAATGGCTAGTGAAGCCCAAGTGCTCAGTGACACATAAACCTCTTTTTCTCAAAATGGCCAAAATGGAGTTACGTCTTTGTGTCACTGACCCCTCGATTTGAAAAATTTGCAGTACACACCCCCTTGTCCTCCTAAGCAAGACCCATCGGTGTCTTGTAGCGAATCCGTGAAGTGAGTACAGTTGATTGGCCATGGTTGTCCAATCGTTTCTTGATAGCGTTGTTCACACGCATCGGTCACATCTATACAGCCTGACAAGCATGGTCTTCTGGTGGGTCCGTTGTGGATGCATTCAGGGAAGAACGTATTACATACCAGCTCCATCATGTCACTGTGGCAACTGATGATGGAGTCCTAAATCATAGGAAACGAACAAGTAAGCGGAAGGAAATCAATTCAAATGATAAGTTATACTGTAGAGGTGCCGTGGTCAAGTGGTTCAGTCGCCGGACTGTCGATCACAATGTCCGCGGTTCGAGAGCAGCGGCGGCACCACTCTCCTTTGGCAAGACATTGATCTACATTTGCCACACTCAACCCAGGTGATGTAAATGGGGACCTGGCAGGAATTTATTCTTTGAAGTGCTAGAGCGCAGTAACTTACCAGACCAGCAACCTTATCTAGAGCGTCTTCTCTCGTGTCAGCAAAGGGATTCGGGAAGTAAGTGGAGCTATACGGAACGAGGTTCTTGCACACTGGAGGTACGTCTTCACATGGTGCTGTGTCAATGAAAATAATACCAAATTAGTATAGTATTAATGACTGCTTTGAGAGAAATAGTTGTTTTTATACGCTCAAGGGAAGGTTAGAATTGTGCTATTACCCGAGGCGTGCCGAGGGGTATAGCCCAATTGTAACCTTCCCGAGAGCGTATAAAAACAACTATTTCTCGAATATTAAAGCAGTCATAAATACTTTTATATGCCGAAAAAGAAGAAAAAAAGAAGAAAAAAAAACAAGAAAAAAAAAAATCTTTTGTCGAAGATGGGACTCGAACCCTTGCGTATCAAAGTAGATATCATGTAAGTCGGCGCATTAAACTTCTCAGCCAGCGCACTCTGTCACCATGCATAGTAGTTTTCTTTAATATATACATTAAAATGAATTGAAAACGGCTTCGCGTGGTCGATGCTTCGCCGCTGCTCCATTAAACAGGCCCTTCTTTTACTTTTGCAATGCAGATTGGCACGAACTTAGATCAAGATCTATCGGCAGATGTTGTTTTTTGTTTTTGGAAGTTTATTTTCGTCTTCATGTCAACAATGCAAGATAAAATTGTCGGTAAGATCGATCGAGATTCAATTGTATTGAAATTACCGACCAATTCTTCGCACACGTACGGTATCCTCGATCGCTCAGACCATTTTTTAACATGTAAACCTATGGCGTAACCATGGAGACTGACCTATTTTCCCAATAACCATGGTTATTGGGATTTTGAACTGTTTTTTAACCATGGTTACCGGGAATTTTCGGGAACAGTTAAAGTTTATGAATGCAATTTCGACCAATCAGATTGCTGGATTACTTAAGTGAGGTATATAATGACCAATATCGACCTTCCAATACTATAGCACTGTGAAAATAGTTTTATGTCGCCATTGTCCGAGCTATGCCAAAAGAGGACGTAACAACCAATGGGGCCATGGGGGAGAGCCCTTAAACAAAAATGAGTAATTCACAGGCATTAGTTATTGATGTTGTTCCTCTTTGTTATTATCATATATTTACATTCTCTATATATGTCATCGTCTGGTATTGTGTTTCTGGAAATAGAAGGAATTAATTAAATGAAAGAAATCTAAATTTAATATCTATGTGGCAAACAATTTTACTTTTGTGTTTATTTCAATTTTGTTTTACACCCGAAATGACCGAGTAGATAAATTATATGAAGGCACTAGTGCTTTATATCGGTTTGATCTATTAGAAACCCTTATAAGTCTGTGCAAGAGGTTGGATTCATGTAAACTTTCCAATTAAAAACTGAACCACAAATGAAATGATAACACAAAACTTGACAATGAAAATGCACATCTAATTCAAGTACTTACGGCAGTAATCCTCGTCTGAAAAGTCTAGACAATCGTTGAATCCATCACATGTAGCATTTTTGGAAATGCAAATTCCGTTTGAACAATTGATCATGTCGTCATTATTGCAATCTTTGGAACGAAAAAACAAATCGAAAAGAATTACAAAAAATAGGTCTATATTTTTGCTAGGGTACTTAAACTGCAAATATTCGATCATAAAATAAAGGAATTCAAAAGGATTAAATAGTAAATTAGCTGTATAAAAGTAATTTATTCTGTCTCTCTGTGTCTCAATGTCATGTAACATGTAAGTCAATAGACTCAATACTGAAGTAAGGAACATTTAGACAAACCTATTGACTCTTCGACGGACAGTATGACGAAAAATCCACCATGTTCTATGCTCCCATCGCTTTTGAATCTCAACCACACATAAGAACCAAATGTCTTAATAGGATCTGGTAGTTGGTATCCTGTTAATGCATTGGACCGTATTCTCTCAGTGGTGTTCCCTGTAAATCCTTGATAAACGATGAGGGCGTCATACGCTACCTCTACTTCGAAGGTGATGAAGGTGATGACAATGCTGTAGCCAGCTGGAGCGATTGCGTGCCACGTCAGATCAGTGTTGCTGTAGTACTCGAGTGGATAATTGGGGCTGTAGATATTCTCAGTATCTCCCAGGCCCAACACGATTGGCACTGTTTCATTTAAGCGATCTAGAAGGAAAAAATGGACATAAGATAACCTTCTTCTCACAGAAGATCAACAATGCAATGTATTGGAACCAGTGTTTTGGGATGGGAAGCGGCTGATACCCTTACATAAAAAAGCATAATGAATATCTCAAGGAAAGTGCAATGTTCCGATAGTCGCCTTTCCATCCAGAAGATCATTGGATGGACAGAGATGAGGGTGTTGCAACGCAACGGGTATCTGGGATGTTGGTTTATGTTTTTGTTCCTTCAGTCCAATACAGTGGGTTATTGCTTCATGCACGCATACACACATACACACACTCACCCACACGTACCCACGTATCTCATCCCATCGTCACATCTCGCAAAAATCACGGCTATAATATGTTTAAATCTCTAAATATCAGCATTAACTAATTAATGTACGCAAACCCAGTTTATAGTGCCTTCTGTTGAAGTAGGGGGGGGGGGGGGGTGAGGTGTAGGGCCAGTGTTCAAAGTGGATCTTTGGATTTGAGCAGAGTTAAAACAATGAGACATTATTTTGAACTCGATTATAACTTATATGCCAGCCTACGTTTAACCAGACTTTACTACCCGACCTAGATCATGCTTAGTTTAAGTTAAAGCTGATTTGGGAATGTGATTTTTGAAGAAAAACAAATCGGTTTAAAGGGCAGATCAAGACTGGATCTCAATCATGCTCGAGGCCGCTGTTGAAATTATATCAGGAAGCTGTAATGAATGGAGATACCGTCTCGAAAGAATTTTCCGAGGGAAAAATATTCAAGATTTACCTGGCTTAACAAAAAGAAATGTAACCCTCTCCAACCATCATTTCCATCAACAGCTGTCCATATCAATGCACAGTCCCTCTCTGGAATTCCAAATAGTATGAAATGTTACGCAACGCCATCTGCTTCCCTAATTTCTCTATTCACTCTTTTGCAAATATATGCAAGCATCGAGCTTTGAAGCCATGCGTGGCACCGAAAAATTAAGTCATGTTCAGTGAAGATGTATTTAGCTATAACATATAAAATACAGAATCAACAACATAAGACCAATGCAACTTTATATTAGTCATCAAATGCTTTTTCCATTCTCGGATAGCTCTACTGAAGACATGGCCATTTCAACCAGCGAAATCGACCAAGGAAATCGTGAGTTAGAGCAAATGAAAGGTTTTCATCATCATGATTTTCTTATCTAATTATTGACATTTTCCGAAAATTTCCGAAATTTGTACATAGCTAGGAAGGTAGTCTAAAGGTTTATCTTCCTATAGAACTAAATGAAATTGTGTTATATGTTTGCGCATTTATTGATTGAGGGCTAGAAGTTGTCAAGTTATCACCACTATTCACCCCAAATACGGGCACACAAAGCAAAAGCCGCCGTGCTCGCTGGGCTGGGCTGTGTGTGGAAAGGGATGACCTAGTGCTACTAGGGAGCTGTACGGTTTCGGAGGGGGAATAAGGGGATTACGGTAGGGGAAACAAAAGACGCGCGGTGCCACGGATGGCTTCAAAGGGGCCTCTTGGAGGGGATCTCCATTCATTACAGCTTCCTGGTTATATCAAGCTTCAGAATACGGGTCATTGATATGTATTTGGTTGAACCTAATTTACAGGATATAGTCCATTTCATAGAATTGTTCCCGCCTTTTCATCTTGTTTATTAAACAATGCCTTCCAATATATTGTCAATATCGTGTCTCATACCTGGACGTTCTGTGGAAGAGGGAGTCGATGTGGAAGACTGAAACTCGCAAAAGTTTTGGAAGTCCGAGCAGCAATCTCCTCGTGTAGAACACTCTTGATCACAGAAACAGTCACCTCGATTACAGCTTTCTGATAAATCGGTACAGCAGCTTCGTCCACAAGATCCGTTTAAAGGAATTTCTAGAGCAATAATAATGACGATGATGATGATTATTATGTAAATAAAAAATTAAAATAATCTTAATATCATGGCAATCATAATTATTATAGTTATTGTTCTCATTATAACAATGATCCTTAACAAAATCAGTTCTTTCTTTGAACGTTCCACCTTGTATACCTTCTTTAGCTTAGTATAAATGCTATCATTGAATTCTTTCATGCGAAATTGAGAGTATTGTAGTCTACATTTGTAATCGGATTTTGATGTGGGAGATAATTTCAACAACAAATATTTTCACATTTACAGGATTACTAGATATATTCAGGGTGAGGGGGGGGGGGGGGGAGGGGGTAGTGAGCATAATGATTTTTGTTTTGTTTTTGCCCTATGTGAATTTGAAAACCGCACAGACCATTTTTCGCTGAGTGGGGGGGGGGGGGGGGTAGTGTGAGCACTAACTACAACAAATTATATAAAAACCAATTCTTTCAAATATTTTTTGTTTTTAATTTTTTTATAATCTTAATTAAAAAACAAACAAAGTGACCTAATCTCCCATATCTTCTGTGAATTATCTGGGTAATCATTAGGGTAGTTTGGTGCAGTTATCTTGTAACTTTCGCCAATGCTAAGATTGATTCTAACGAATTCAGGTTCAGCTGCTATTACGAAGATAAACGGGAAATGGTATATTCCGTTTTTAAAAGCGAATCACACATTTATATAGTAAGTATCTGCGTAACAAACAAGGATACAGGTTATAGGTTATAGATTATATATATATGTTAGAGAGGGGAAACAAAATACGATTACAAAGCTAAGACAATTCTCTACAAGCTCAGTCACCACCATTTTTGATTTTAATGACGTCATCATAGTGAAAATTTTGATTAAAGGGCACATATCAGAAATTTCTTAATTTGCGTGTTATGCCTATGGAAGGTGAATTTCGTTCACATCATGAATCTACACGACATTGTGTTTTAGCAGTATGTCGCTTATTTTTGCTCTATTTTGTCTCAAATTTTAGTTGGAACAGCCCACCTATACTTGTTCCAAACAAGTATTACATGTCTAGTTATTATTATTATTATTATCAGTGTTATTTTTTTTTTAAATCCCAAAAGGATTCTTATTTCCGTTACAAATGCAAGTTTCGTGATTGGCTACTTTTAATCGTTTATCTTACTCCCTGTCAAGACTTCTTTGATGAATGGCCAAAACTGAGAGACTCTGGCATATATTCCTGGTTTGCCTGGGTCGGCACACCCATCACCCCAGCTGGTCGCTCCTACAAGATGCCATCTACCATCTGATCCTTCACATACCAAGGGACCTCCACTATCTCCCTGCATGGCGATTTTAAGGAGAAACCCGCCAAGGAGAAGGAAAAAAGATAAGATAAGGTGCTGATAGGGAGAAAAATTTAGCAGTATATACTTGCACAATAAGATCCCAAGATGCTTACAAATTTGATGGTTAGAAAAAAAATGAGTTACAATGTAATAGGAATTTCTTTTGGGATATTCCAACCCCGGCATGCGCACTCTATTGCCATAAGGGAGATTCTGGATTTTTAGCACATGTATTGTGTTAGGCTTATGATCATGTACATGATTGCTTACATCAATAGCATGCAATTTTTGTTCCGTCAATTAGTCCTATCTCTGAGGAAAATGTTATGTTCGCAATTACAAAATATTAGATCTTAATCCAGTAAAATATCTGTTAATACTGGCAGAATGAGGGGACACCTCCGGCCCTTGCCTCCCCCATCGAACGTGTTAAAAGCCAAGCGGCATGCCTTAACTTCACAACTTCAAGATTATGCTCCCCATTTTGAGACGATAATTAATCTCCACCCCCTTTCTGTGCTTGACTATGAAATATTTACAATATCGTGCGACTTAAATAACAAAAATTAAAAATCCTGCTTGATCCGTTCTTGTCTGGATTTCTCACCTGACATGTGTCTATTCCCCCTCGTTCATAACCTGCGCAGATCATCTGATTCGAGGTCGCATTCTCATACAGTTCTGCGCATCTATCATTTGTGATCAAATGTACGATTGCTTTCTGCAAAACATCTGCATCGAAACCTGTAAGATATCTCAGGAAGAAGGGAAGTATTATTCAAAACAAATTGTGTTGTCGGGAAATGATCTTACGGTGGGTGGTACTATTTTAGAAATAACAAATCTGCCGTTATTGTTTACATACGAGGTCATTACTGGCAATGATATACAGCTATTAGTAAGATAATTCTCTGTATACATGTAACAAGGTATCGTTATTTCAAAATATCACGAAATATTATCTTGAACATAGTGTATACATAGGTCTATATGCGCGCCAGCCTGGGGTGCTCTCGATCGATAGGAGAGGGGAATGTGAACTTGAAGCTCAGAATCGTTAGTAAATCCAATGAGGGGTAAAAATACACCATTCGGCGCTTAAATCTGTAAATTAAATGAAAAGGTGCTATATAATAAACTGCTATTACTATCACTATTACTATTGGTATCACTGTTGGGCGATTATCATCATTTTTATTATTATTATTTTTAAATAATTTGTTATTGATAATCACTATTATTACTATTATCATTATCCTGATTATTATCATTATTGTTATCATTATCTTTACCATTATCAGTATACCTGAACATGTTATCCTATATAAAGATGTTTTAATAAATAATCAATATATAAATAAACAAATGATATTATAATTTTTGTTATTATTTTCTTAGAATTTTTAATCAATGTTTATTATTAATATCATTATGATTATTATTATTATTATTAAAATTATCATCATTGTTGTTGCTGCTGTTGTGGTCGTAGCTATTGTCATTCACATTTAGGCCCATCTGAATCTGCCACTCATGATATGCTTACCGGCTTCGGTGTTACCCCATCCACTGACGGTGCACCTCTTGTAGTCATTCACCTCGTCCGATGACTCCGCTAGACAGGCTGGCCTTACAAAAGCTGTAAAGTCCACTGGTTGCGATAATTTGATGAGAGCTAAATCCCCATCCGATGTTTGAGTGTCATATCCCAGATAGGGGATAATCTCGGCAGGAGTGATGTTTAGATGATGGTTGGAGGGGGAGGAGAGAAGCAGGTCACCCAATATGATGCGATCCACGGAATATGGAATATCGACCCTGAAAGAGTTTTTTTTCCCAGTATACTTTGATTAGTCTTACTTTCTTCAATTTGTATTGTAAGTTCTCGGACTTCTTTTTCGATGCAATTTCGATGCATATTGTCCCTAAATTCCTAAAGGAAATAGCACCTCAGCCTCATTTTTAAGTGAAAATGTATACAATTGTACTAATAAAAACCCATTTCATGTATATATATATAAAAGTATATGATATGTAGAACAAATATGGTAATTTTTTCCGAGATTGAAATTCTGTTCATTGGATGATACTTACACACAATGTGCAGCTGTGACAACCCATTCAGGACCTATCAAGGTACCGCCGCAGACTTGTCCTCTTTCATGACTGTAAAGATAAACCATCCAGGGGAATTCCCCTTCTTTAGCATCGGCCCCGCCCACCACTCGAGACTGGTCTGGGGTGTATGCTGGACGGGTGCCACAAATGGTGGTGTTTAAGTAATCTGTGTTAAAAAGACAAAAAGATGACAAAGTCACCCGTCACCCGTTTCACTGAAATTTTCAGTTTAAATCTATGCATGTCTTGATCATAAATTTATATTGAGCATAATAGCAACGGAAGGTATAAGCTAAACAGGTATGAGCTAAATCGTCAATTTTTTTAGAATAATGAGCATCTAAAAATAACATTGAGAAATATATTCTATTTCAGCTACATCAAATAGGACGATTGCATGACATGATATATACAAAGAACATTTCGAGGGTTCAGTGACACAAAGACGTAACGCCATATTTTGCCAAAATGAGTCTTTGATATCAAAATGTTCAGAAAAATGTGGGCTTTTCAGGAAACACAAAGACTTAACTCCACCCAACACCCCATTGAAGTCAATGGCTAGTGAAGCCCAAGTGCTCAGTGAGACATAAACCTCTTTTTCTCAAAATGGCCAAAATGGAGTTACATGTACGTCTTTGTGTCACTGACCCCTCGATTTGAAAAAAATGCAGTACACACCCCCTTGTCCTCCTAGGCAAGACCCATCGGTGTCTTGTAGGGAATCCGTGAAGTGAGTACAGTTGATTGGCCATGGTTGTCCAATCGTTTCTTGATAGCGTTGTTCACACGCATCAGTCACATCTATACAGCCTGACAAGCATGGTCTTCTGGTGGGTCCGTTGTGGATGCATTCAGGGAAGAACGTATTACATACCAGCTCCATCATGTCACTGTGGCAACTGATGATGGAGTCCTAAATCATAGGAAACGAACAAGTAAGCGGAAGGAAATCAATTCAAATGATAAGTTATACCGTAGAGGTGCCGTGGTCGAGTGGTTAAGTCGCCGGACTGTCGATCATAAGGTCCGCGGTTCGAGAGCAGCGGCGGCACCACTCTCCTTTGGCAAGACATTGATCTATTTGCCACACTTAACCCAGGTGATGTAAATGGGGACCTGGCAGGAATTAATTATTTTAAGTGCTAGAGCGCAGTAACTTACCAGACCAGCAACCTTATCTAGAGCGTCTTCTCTCGTGTCAGCAAAGGGATTCGGGAAGTAAGTGGAGCTATATGGAACGAGGTTCCTGCACACTGGAGGTACGTCTTCACATGGTGCTGTGTTAATGAAAATAATACCAAATTAGTGACCAATATCGACTTTCCAATACTATAGCACTGTAAAAATAGTTTTATGTCGCTATTGTCCGATCTATGCCAAAAGAGGACGCAACAACCAATAGGGAGAGCCCTTAAACGAAAATGGGTAATCCACAGGCATTAGTAATTGTTGTTGTTCTCTTTTTTGGTTAAAATCGTATGTTTTCATTGTCTATATATGTCATCGTCTGGTATTGTGCTCCTAGAAATAGAAGGAATTAATTAAATGAAATAAATCTGCATTTTATATCTTTGTGGCAAAGAAATTTACATTTGTCTTTATTTCAATTTTGTGTTACACCCGAAATGACATAGTGGATAAATTATATGAAGACACTAGTGCTTTATATTGGTTGGACCTATTAGAAACCCTTATAAGTCTGTGCAAGAGGTTGATTTCATGCAAACTTTCCATTTAAAAACTGAACTACAAATGAAATGATAACACAAAACTTGACAATAAAAATGCACATTTGATTCATTTCATATGATTTATACTTACGGCAGTAATCCTCGTCTGAAAAGTCCAGACAATCGTTAAATCCATCACATGTAGCATTTTTGGAAATGCAAATTCCGTTTGAACAATTGATCATGCCGTCATTATTGCAATCTTCGGAACGAAAAAATAAATCGGAAAATATTACAATAAATAGGTCTATATTTTCGCTAAGGTATTTAAACTGCAAATATTCGATCATAAAATAAAGGAATTCAAAAGGGTTAAATAGTAAATTAGCAGTATAAAGTAGTTTATGCTGTCTCTCTGTGTCTCAATTTCATGTAACATGTAAGTCAATAGACTCAATACTGAAGTAAGGAACATTTAGACAAACCTATTGACTCTTCGACGGACAATATGACGGAAAATCCACCATCTTGTATGATCTCATCGCTTTTGAATCTCAACCACACATAAGAACCAAATGTCTTAATAGGATCTGGTAGTTGGTATCCTGTTAATGCATTGGACCGTATTCTCTCAGCGGTATTCCCTGTAAATCCTTGATAAACGATGAGGGCGTCGTACGCTTCCTCTACTTCGAAGGTGATGAAGGTGATGAGAATGCTGTAGCCAGCTGGAGCGATTGCGTGCCACGTCAGATCAGTGTTGCTGTCGTACTCGAATGGATAATTGGGGCTGGAGATATTCTGAGTATCTCCCAGCCCCAACACGATTGGCACTGTTTCACCGAAGCGATCTAGAAGAAAAATGGACGTAAGTTACCCTTCTTCTCACAGAAGATCAACAATGCAATGTATTGGAACCAGGGTGTGGGCCCGGGTGTGAAATGGGAATCGACTGATACCCTCTCATAACATAATGAATATATCTCAAGGAAAGCGCAAAGTTTTATACTTAAAAGCCACTATCACGGCCGTTTTTATTTTTCTAATTTTTTGTGAGTTTAACATTTTATATCTTCTAGGAACATTAACGTATACATTTTCAGGTAGCCATCAACTAGTTATTGCCAAATCCAGACTCTCATCCACCAACAAATCTTTTACAGTGGCTAGCTCGAAAACGTCCATTTGTTATCAGAAAATAAACATGTCTTGCCACTTTCAAAAGTTCCCTAAACTCATTTTACTTTCCCGTCAATAATATGATGTAATTTAGTTATTGTATAAGTCTATTTATTTTGTGTTTGTCTTCACATTGTGTAATTTAGTAAGAGCTATGTTTTTCCCGTTTTTTAGCGGACCTAAGCAGTCGATATTATTATCAATATTATTAACAGGAAAAATAAGATATCATGGCTTCTCCTTCGTGCACATCTTTGACGCAGTTATGTAGCACAGTGGTTTCAATATGAATAGAGGTAATTAACAAATTCACAATGTCACACAATATTTATCAGTTTCCAGGACATTAGTCATGTATGAATGTCTGGGATAAAATAAAGCCTTAATCATTTTTTTCTAATCTATACCGTTACACGAATATCAAAACTAAGGTTCAAATGCAAAAAGATAGAATGGTAAATGGAATAAAAGATACAAGGTAAAAGATATGAACCTCCTGTTTTAAAGAACAAGAAAAAAAAAGTATAGCAAATCTGTAGCGTACCTATTTGCATGACAGTTTCCACGAAGGGTAGTAACGTTGACACCCTTGCGTACACCCCTGGAAAGCCTGGGTCTGCGCATCCGAAACCAAAGCTTGTTATCCCGGTCAGGTGCCATCTACCATCGGAACCTTCACACACCATAGGACCACCGCTGTCACCCTGGCAAGATGATGAAAGGTGCAATAAGGGAGTTTACAGATAGCACATGGTACAAATGACCCCAAATATCCACAGATCTTTTACACATGGAGAAGTTCCACTTTGAGCATCTTAGAATAATAACTGCCAAATAAGTCCTAGATTTGCTTCATGAATACCTTTTGTTTGCCCTCTTGAAAAGAATACTTTCACCTGCGTTTCTTAGAATGTACCGTTGGTGCATACACTATAAATATGACAGACAAAGAAAGCGGACAAAATATACAGTTCCTCAGGTAGACAAAGGAACATCCCTTCACTGCTATTATGTAAAAATGTGTAGAACAGGTGTCACATGCATATTCACCTTTTTACATAATAGCAGTGAAGGGATGTTCCTTTGTCTACCCGAGGAACTGTATATTTTGTCCGCTTTCTTTGTCCGCGATGTTCATAGTGATAAATGAATAATGTTACATAACTTTCATGAGCGCATATCCAGTATTCATCTCTGTGCTTTTACCTTTTTGGTACAAATGACCTTTATCTGATCATGCTCAGACTGCAACCGTAAACTGGCTTATTAGTAGCAATCGTCTATGTAGAGTCAGAAGGGCGTAACTCTGTGTTGAAGGATATGAGTTAACGCCCTTCTGGCTCTCAGCAGACTGATTCCACTGTTGAAGATCACCATGGTTACGTGTGACTCGGGAATATCATATTTGCATTGGTTTACGACATATCATAGACACATTTCCTTACTGTAAAGCATTTCAATGTATTAATTTCATTTCTTATTTAAAGAATATGGATGAGAAATATCTTCGATACGTCAAATGTCGGTTCGTTTCTGATTTTTGTCGTATTTTTAATTGGAAGTCATAAATACATGTGGAAATGTAAAAAAAAAACCTTTTTTTCTTCTTCAGAGTACAGGAACAAATCATACGACATTCCTCTCATCAACCAATTAATTTCCGACGTAATAGATATATAAATAGGTAGAAAGAGAGAGGGAGAGGGAGAGAGGGAGAGAGAGAGAGAGAGATAGAGAGAGAGAGGGGGAATAGTTCTTACCTGACAAGTATCTATTCCACCCCTTTCGAAGCCAGCGCATATGAGAAACTCCGTGTCATAATCATCAGGGATATCGTATAATTCTTCACAGCGTTCTTTCTCAATCAACCTGACCACTGCTTTCCGTAGATTGTCTGCACCGTCTGAAAGAAAGGGACACATTTTTGCAATATGATGTTTACATTAATATACACAACATGATTAAAAACATTCACGAATGATGTTTACTGATCCAGTTCAATGATTTTCATTATAAAAATTGACTCTCTAATTCTTTCGGGTTTTGAAGTACGGTTAATGTAAACAAAACGTGGACGATTAGATGAACCTTTTTTAATAAACAGACTCCACACCAATTCCGACGGATCGATACTTTTCTATTCGGGGGTAATGCAATCTTTTATTCGGTCTGGTGTCGGTATTTTTGGTGTGACCTGGGTATCATCACCATGATAAAAATAGACTCCAGTTCCTCAAGAATTTTTTTTTTTAAATAGAAAATAGGCAAGAAGAAAAGGAATTAGCGGGGGAGAGAGGCACTTTAACACTTCACTTCAGAAAATGGTTTGTGGTGTGTCTGTTTGTCTGTACGTAAGGCTTCTGATCTATAATATTCATTCAGTATAATTAATTTGAAGACATTATGTACTGTGTATTAAATTATATTGTGTATTTCTGAGGGATGTACAATTTTCGTTACATTTTGATATGTTATGTAAATCAATGAAGATATATGATTTTTGTTTTTTTTTGTGCTGAATTAATGCAATAAAGATGCTACAAAAAAAAGAAGATTTTATTAAAATTCCAGCTCGTCACAAGAAGCAGGATCAAGATAAGTGTATTGCGTAGTTGAGCCTACCATGTTCAGTGTTACCCCAGCCGGTGATGATGCACGTCTTGTAGTCTCTGAGTTCCTCGAGGGTTTCTGAGAGACACGCTGGTCTCACGTACTCACTGAAGGGTACGGGCTGAGAGAGCTTAATCATAGCAATATCTGCATTCAGTGTGTTGTCATCATATTGTGGATGCATGAAGATATTGTCTGGACTTATTGCTAGATGATGCTCGGAACCAATAGAAAGATGAAGGTCACCCATAACAACCGAGTCAAGAAGATCTGATATACCCCTGTGGATTCAAATTAATTATTGTACTATAGGAAGTAATACGCTGTCTTACTTGGAATTTCAGTTTAATAGTGTCTGATACAATAGTTAGCATAACTGCAGCAATCATCATGTCAAATTGTGTACGAGAGAGTATGATACAATGCTCAGAACTTAATCATGCTTGTTAAAAAATTAGGCGTTGTCTGCTGCACTACATTCAATTTAAATTTAAATTCAATTCAAAAGACAGTTATTTTCTTCATAAAATCAAAATGAGCATATCCTGAAATATATATTAAAAGTGTATGAAAGTTAAGACATGTCCTAAAAGCGCACCCTTATCTATTATGCTACGGTCACAAAGGTTCGTACGAAAGATAATTTCGTACGAATTTCCCTGTTTTTCCATTGTCTTCCCGAATTTCCATTGTCTGAAAATTGTTCGTACGGCGTTCGTGGCAGTTCGTAATGGCATGTGTGACCGAGGCTTAAGAAGGCCATTTTGGTAGGCCTACAACTTGTATCAGAACTCGGGAGACTTCTACAACTTGTTAAGAAATGTTATTAGAGATATAGTTCTATTACATACCAGATACAGTGTGCGGCGGTCACAACCCATTCTGATGCGATGAGAGTTGCTCCACAGTACTGACCTAACTCGGAGTTAAACAGATAAGCCATCCAGGGGAATTCTCCTTCCTGAGCATTGACTCCACCCACAATCCGAGACTGATATGGTTTATATGCTGGTCTTGTTCCACAGATTGATGTGTTTAGAATATCTATGAACAAAAATCAGATCAAGCGCGTATTGATCTCATATTGTTTTCATCATCGAGGTAAGCGAACTATTCATAGAAAACTATCAACCTAGAATGAATCCTTAGCTAGGACCTCTACTTTCAGCAAGTTCTCCGAATATCTCGTGGATCGGAACTTCGCATGATGGGCATGAGTACGTTAGAAAGCGTATTCCTATTACCTACCACAAAATAAAACCATTTAAAAATACAAAACAGTCTGCAAGAATTAGTTGAAAGAAAAACAAACAACACAAAGAAAGCCTGCATATTTTGTGAGGCTAGAATGTAAATCTTAACGTGTGGCTAGCATGTGTAAAACAAATGAAGAGTTGCACAATTTAGCAAATGCCTTTGAGCTACTCTTAGGTGAAGACAGCGATGACCTCGATATCGATCCCTTCCAGATATTAATATTCTATAATCCAATGGAAATCACGGACGAAAATTTAAAGCATTTGACACCTAAAAGGATAGAACATGAGCATTTTACTTTCGTTCCAAGATAACAATATCTTTAACTATATGCTCTCACCTCCGTTTGGTCCAGAACACCTGCCAAAAAGATCTTCTTCCGTTTCCGGCAACGAATCACAAACCAGTGGCCATTCTTCTCCATTTACCACACCGTCGGCCACGGTACATAACTCCAACTCGGTCATACAGGATGATTTGCAGGGCTGAAGGGTTGGACCGAAGTGAGGACAATCAGGGAACAGCATGTTGCAGGCGAGTTGCCGAAGGTTGTTACCCTGAGGACAACTACTTACCACCTGCGGAAGACGTTGATGATGAATAGGATATTTAATGATGATGACGACGATAATTATGCCATGATTCAATCAGGCAACATCGGATAGCGGGCTTTAAATTGTTAATCTCTATTGCTGCTTCTCAGGAGGACGTTTCAGATAAAACAACACAAACAACAACAATGATAATAATAACAATAATAATAACAATACTAACAATGATTATAATAAAAACAAATTATAACCAGGACAAACGCCGAGTGCAGACTATCGCAAAAAGAGAAAATTTACCCACGATTAATTGTTGTCTCTGTGCATTTAAATGTCTTGACTGTTGCCTTATACAATGTTTCATTGATGTAAAATGTTCTCTGATGGACTTGATAAAGATATTGTGTTTGTTTTCAATAAAATCAGTCAATCATTCAAACAATTGGCGACAGGACGTAAAATAATAACTATTGACCTTTAAATCATACAGTAATATTCACTTTTCTTGAGGCCCTGCACGTTGTTCTTCAAACATTTAAGGTTAAAACACACTTCAACAGTTGTACTTCATTAGACTCATGTGACTCTCTTAATAAATATAATTAATCTACAGAAATAATGTATTTATATGCATTTAGAGTTATAATTATATGATTTAATGGCAGATAATCACTGAAACTGGCTGAATTAGGGTATCGAAATATGTAGGCCTTTCAGGTTTTTCAGACCCAAGACATGCTAGTATACATTTAATACATGTTTGCGAGTGCATTAGTGAATATGCACTACACGCAGGTAAGTCAAAGTAGGATAATGAATGAGACTTGTCGAGTTCATTGTCCGTCTCAATGTGACTCAACCAAGTGCAGTGCATATCACTAAAGCTATGGTCACAAATCAGAGCAGCGACCGACCGATCAGTAGCCTGCTCGGTCATTGCTGGAATTAGGCGACCGCCCAGGCACCGAGCGTATTTTGGGCGGCGAGTGAAAAGTGAGCAGGCGCCGCCCAAATTTTAACCCTGCGCTAAACTTCAGCGGCGACCGAGCGATGCCCTAAAAACGAGCGGTGCTTGGGCGGCCGCCGGGCAGAATTGGTTAAAAACTCGCCGCTCGGCCGCCGAGCAGGCTACTTTTGGGTAATGTGACCATAGCATAATGCACGAGATAACATGTTTTATAAGATGGGTCTACAATATAAGAATAAAGTCGAGAAATTGACGGTTTTTATCACCAAAATGTACTCCCCGTGCATATGGTTAAAAAATTAATACACGCACACAGTCATGATCCATTTCGACGCTTCTTATTGGTTACACTCTTGAACCCATTTGATAATACTACTTATAAAGAGCAATATTTCATTTGACAGTAAATTTCAAACTGTCAAATTTATTTGATTGTCTAATGGAAATTCGCTTTGCTCAAATGTACATACTACTTGAAATAACACGATATACACAGATACATGACATAGATACATGACATATATAGAGCTACCTGTTCTAAAATGATGTCTGCATCGTCTGCACTGGTAGCATGTTGGTTTGGGAAATAGGTCATATTGTAGGGCAACATCTGACTGCAGCTTGCGGGCACTGCGACACAGGCAGCTGTACATGTATTAATAGAGATTTAAAATCGTGTAAATGATATTACGTAGTAATCCTCTCATCGATTAAGCGACAAACCGAATGATAAAACGTGATATGTTTTGCCCCAAATTACAATTAATTTCATTCATGTGGGTAGAAAGAATATATAAAACAGACACCGGGGAGAAGAAAGGAACCCACAACACGTTGTACAAAATTCTCATTTCTTCGTGAGTACTAGACTAAATAGATCGGTTTACTAACATATTCAAATATATTGACGTTTCTTTCCTGGGGACCTAGTGACGAGGTGTTACATTAACCTGTTACTAATGAATCACCACAATACTTGGAATCCAGTCTGCATACCTCATTTCATGCTAAATCGGGCAAACCTCAGACAAGCCTTTAGGTTGTCAAGAACAACGCTTGTTTATAAAGTATGCATACAATTTGAATATGTTATTAAACCGTTCTATTGTGGAGGCGCGATGGCTCAATAGTCGATGCGCTGGTCCTCTTTGTTTAGGCATTGATCCCCCTTACAAAGTCCTTCTGAGAGTGCTCAAAGTCCTAAGTCTCCTAGCTGGTTGCTTTTGTACAGGTATAAACGTGTTTTCTTAGCAGTCAGGTAAAAAAAACAACTTCAAATCATGAAAACGTATGGGGTCTTCACTGATTGTTTGAGACTTAGACGTCGGCCTGTTTTCAGAACTAAGTATGACTTTTCATATTGCGAAAATATTTTGTTCACCGTTGCTGCCCAAATCTGACTGTATTTCTTATTCAGTGGGGAGGGGAGTGTAGGGTCAAACGGGTATTTGTGTTGGATATTATTCCATATAGCTTCAATTTGAGATTACACGATTGTGTATATGACTTACGACAATGATTGTAACCCTTTATAATATGTGTTACTCACGACAATGTTCCTCATCAATGAAATCCTGGCAGTCATTGTATCCATCACATGCAGCTGTCATAGGGATGCACTGTCCATTGGGGCAGTGAAAAGCGTTGCTCGCATTACAATCTGCACGCAGAAGGGGGAAGAAAGTACGAATCAATCACACAATATTATTATTCACTCTTTTAGAAATTGTCATTAATATACAATCATGTATTTAGTTATGGGCAGGTCCAGACCTACATCAAATAAATGTTCTGCTCAACTACTTATCATTCTACATTTACTGTTGGGCAGAATATGTAATGAAAAATTCCCATTCGTCATTAGACAAACAATGACGTACTTTTATCTGCAAGTCTCATTGTCCTTGAGGAAATATGAAATGTATCATTTAATTATTCTACATAGTACACATCACACACCTCAAGTAAAGTATAAGAACACTTTTAATGAAAGTGAGAGATAAAGTTCAACTCTTCTGTGCAATTTCTCACCTAGCCTTTCGACAGTTCGTACTTCTACGAAGAACCCGGATGCCGCAATCGTTTCGAAATCTGCTCTAAACATAATCCAAGCTTGATTATCATCATAGACTATATCACTTGGGGTGATAAAGCCTGACATCTCTGCAAGTCGGATACTCGCGTCCGGTGATGGTGTCTCTCCGGTACCAACAATCACCATATCCCGTCGAGCTTCGGTTTCGAACTTCGCGAACCGAAAGTAGAGTCCATGTTGAGGAGGTGCGGTAATCAGCCATAGAACGATTTGACTGTTCGGATATAGCATCGGATAGTTTGGCGAAGTGATGTTTAGTGTTTCCCCGGTTTCCATTGTAATGTAAGTTTCTATGTAAAATCACAAATTTATCAAAGAGCTGTAAAAGTCAGTACTGAGCAAATTATTTCAATATTAATCAAAGTTATGCATCCTAATGGCAATCATGCTTGTCATGTTATAGCAAAGTGAGCGAACACAAATCCCCATAATTAATGCATCTTAAGCAGAAAGAAACACGTTGTAATAGATCTACTTTTACATGAAATGAAATTTCTTTATCAGGTGGGCAGAAGATTGTTCTCTTTATCTGATAAAATTGAGTTATGTTAGACCCTGTATAGATTTAAGTTGAAAAGGGATTATTTTTGATCGTCTGGGATCAATGTTTAATTTTTACCAATAATTCATAGAACAAACCTGTAAACTGCACAGGGTAAATAGCGATAACGAAGCCCTGATCCCTAATGGTAAGATCACTTTCAAATGACACCCAGTACTGGTATTGGCGAGATACACTGGTAACACTCTGCAACAGATGGTGTCCATTCCAGCTATCTAAGATGCTGCCCTCATTGGTAGGATCATGCCCAGTCCCGATAGCAAGTCTGTCGAATGATTGCTCAAGGTTGATGACGTCGATGTCAAAGCGAGCCCCATACCCTTCCGGTGCGGTGATGGTCCACAGCTGGGTCACGTGATTGGGGTAAATGTTCGGGAAGTTCGGTGACGTCCTGTATACCACGTTACCAGGTACGAGAGTTATGGCTTCTTGGAGGTTGCCTGCAATGGATGATTTGGTATAGATAGGAGTGACGGAAACATTCTGTGAGAAATATAATTTGGTATAGATTAATCACCCTTTTCCAGCAGTTGATGTAGTATCTTTGGGAACGAATCTGGAAATACATAGTTTATCAGTTACAAAACCCAACCCATCTTGTATTAAATATATTATATTATCACATAATGCTATCAAGATAATATGATATTAATCTTAAAATATACAATATGATATTGATACACAACATACAAAAACTAGTAGAGAATAAATAACGGCTCATAAACACTTCATTGTAGGATTTGAACCTATTAAAGGTACTATGTCTCATTTGCAGGCCAAACAAATGAAAAAGTTAATTTCCAACGGCATTTGAAAGAAAATACTAATTTAGAGCTTCCCTATTAAAAAAGGGGGCTTGAAAATGTTTTTAAGTGGGAAAATAATGTCTATTAGTTGTCAAATCAACTTAAGTGCTACCAAGTCAGTAAGTAATGGTCTGATGTTCTGACCATTGTACCTAATAGTCGTAAGTTTTGTGGTGCACAAAGATTCAATAAGTTTAATTTTTGCCATTAAAAGAAGCGGGTTATTGATGTAGACAAATGCTCATGTACCCCTTACAGCTAATTTTATGTATGTTATTACCAAAGAGGAAGTAAAGCCACTCAGTCACTCAATAGTGTCTGACAGTGAAGTCTAGCAAGTAAACGGGGTTCCTTGCATAATTTGAATATTAAGATACTGCTAACGTTTACATTTCAAAAGACATATACATTACATATTCATAATTCCTGCAAATTTCTACATAATTTGATGTTGGCTGCAAAATGGACATAGTATCTTTAAATCTTTGGTCATAACGGTTAGGGTAGGCCTTGATCTTTTCAGACCACCTACATACATACCATCCAAAAGACAATCGGTAAATTGGATGTCATCGATACTGATTGGTCCTCGAGAGTATCCCGCCAACCTGGCCTCAATGAGAAACCACCCTGCTACACTCAGCTCGAATTCAGCAATGTTCCATCTATTTAATATCTTCCCTGGTAAACTCCACACTGGCTCAGCTACTGTCGTGTTCTCTGCCACGAATTGTACGCCGAGATCAAAGTCATCACCTCTGGATACGTAGTAGAAGAAGGTCAAGCATTGGCGGTGGTCACTCTCTGTCCCGGTGAATTTGCTGCTTACCAGTGTGGCAGTGTAATTGGATTCGTCCCCAAACGTCTCAATATAGATATAACTTCCACCTGTGGGGGTATCAAAATCGTTTTTAGATAGTAAACGCAAACAATTCTGTCAACATAAATTAAAATAAGTTCTATGGCAATTAGAATGAAACCTCTATTATATTGATAAAGTTCACAGGAAGAGCTCCGTTCTGTGCAAATTCGGAAGCTTTTAATGTTTGTGTCAAATTTGATCAAGTCACTTGCTTTGTGTGAGCTGCTTCACCGCTCGACTTTTCCTTCATACATGCAGGGTGTAAATTAAATTCATACGAACCTTCTCCCTTTCTGGTTTCACGAGGTTCTGTAATAACAAATCCATACTTCTGTTATATCATTTATCAGTTTTCCTTTGACAAAATAAACAACATGGAAGTAGTTTTATTTTGCGTCAAATTGAGCTAGTCCAATCATTCACGATAAAACACTTACTGTCGCTAAGCTCAGTGTGATCAACTGCTGGTCCGATGAAGTTCCGATGTTCACTTCCGGTGTACAGAGTCCAATCGAGGTTGTCTAATAACCGCTCCTGATCCCACCCACACCAGCCATTATCAAAATCACAGTCTATTCCACTAGAGATTTGAACTTCTCGCTCCATGTAAGAATAAGACTCTCCTTCGCTGAACTCATGGGATAATTCTGTGTCAAGAGAATAGAATAGAAGGTCATTGCTCCAAAATCGCAATATAAATTCTGCAATATTTTGGAAAACGTTAAAGGACGACATGGGACCTGTTTTACGAAGCCTTTTTTCAAAGACAAGTGACAAAAATCAGTGACGAACCTGCTGCTAACCAATCAAAAGCAAGGATTTCAGTAGCTTATAACAAAGACTGTCATTTGTCACTGATGACAAGTTTTGTGAAACGGGTCCCAGAATGTAAAAGAAATAAGAAATAAAGACATAATTTTACTTACCTTTGCAAGACGACCCGCTCGAAATAACCAGACAGTTACAAGAGTATCCGACAGAATTTTCCATACAAAGGTTTCCCGCTCCACACGGCTGGTTTGCGCAGAAATCTGAATTATCTTGAAAACCAAAAAGAACAAATAAGTACAGCATCATTTACAGGTGTTTTCAATTGATAATGTGAAAATTAGATAAAATTTAGTAATTAAGGCCTAGTTTCCTATTTGATAGCAATAATAATGTTGTTTACTAGCAATATCCCTGATATCAGTTTTTCATGTATTTAAAAATACCACATGACTCCATTATTTCAATTAAAGACAGTTAGGATAAAAAAACCCACACAATTGTAAACTTGGAGAAAATGCAGCAATTTATCATAAAATGATTCGTTTGGAATTGTGTCTTTTTTAGGACTGGAGGTATATGAAAAAATGTATCTTAGAATTGAATCTATAAATTATTACAGAGTTTCAATTAGCGGCATCAATAAATAAATATCTAGGATAAAACATGAGACGGATATTTTGAAAATAAAATATTTGAACATTCGTGAAAACAAGGACGAATTTGCTCTCTTCTCCATGTTAACATCGGTACATAACATAATAGGTATGCGAATGTACTTTGAACCACACTGCACGTCTACAACCTCTTCAAGTAAAAAACAAGTGTTTGCATAACCATAAATCTCAACCAAAATGCTTGAAAAATAAATCAGGAAAGTTTTACAAAAAACGATTATCCGATAATGTGTGAGTGGAAAAACCTCAATGTTCTGTTGATTCATACAATAATTGTTTTTAACGGAAGACAATATGGCTGTTCTACTCGTCTACATGTCTCTTTTGTGAGATACTAATCACTTGGTGGTACTTTTTCCTGATTTGCCTCCCAGTCATTACACTCTGGTATGTGTGTTAAACCATGTAATGAAACATACCTTCTCTGTCTACAAGGGCGCCCTCGGCAAGTCCACGTACCCCTAGTTGAAGGGGAATTTGCAGGTATGGCGTTACGTAGAGCTGAATCCAAGCGTAATCATCGAATATTCTATAGACATGGGAAACAGGTCCGTCTCTAGAGTTGACGATGACACTGGCCAGACTTTGAGGATCACTGCCGTGACCAATGATCAAGGTATCTCGAACCCGTAAGATGTCGAGTTTGAAGATGTAGATGTCGATGGCGTTTCCATCAGCTGTGTTAAGGATCCACTGGAATTCCAGGCCTGGGAAGCGTAATTGTGTGACCACGAATGGGATGTCCAGAGAGAGGTCGACTGCCAACACTTTTGAATCAAGAGAATTGAGATGAAGATGATTTCGTCAGTGTTTCTTAATGTTTGCGGTTTCGCAAGTCTTTAGAAAACAATGAATTTATACTTTTTTTTAGAGTGTTTTCAGTGAACAATCAGCATCCATTTTGCCACGGCCTGTGGTCTCTCTAATTACCTTTTTATAAGTTTTGACAGTTTTGATACCGTCGCATATTATACTATACTGATATAATATTCTTTTCTTTTGAAAGTAAATAAAATCAGATTAAAAAAGAACTCTAGACAAAATTCGCTTTCCGAATATGATGTGGCGGTTACCAGAAAATACATGTAGGTAGTGTTGATTTGTATGCCTGTGCCCACCAACCCTTTGAAACCTCGTTAAATTCAGTTTTTAAAAATTCATTTCGATAGAAGCAAAAAGTAAACGGAGACGGATGTGTTAATTGCCTTCATCTTACCGGGTTCAGGTTCGGGTTGAGGATCAGCTGAACTAATAAAGTCATAGTATTCAGAAACCTTGGTGTAGACACCTGGAGTGTTGGGTCTCCCGCAGCCGTATCCAAAGCTTGTGATACCGACCAGATGAAAGCGGCCATATTGATCTTCGCATTGGAGAGGTCCACCGGTATCACCCTGTTTAACACAGCACACACCATGTACATGAACATCAAAGCGTATATTATTAACCGTATCTGGAAACCTACCCCCTGGACATCCACCCCCGGATAACCACCCTCTAGGACGACTACCCCGGGACAACTACCCCAGGACAACTATCCCTAGACAACTCCTCCCTAGGACAACTAACCCCTAGGACAATTACCCCGGACAACTAACCTCAGAAAACTACCCATAGGACAACTACCCCGGACAAGTACCCCCGGACAGCTACTTCCTAGGGTAGTTGTCCGGGGTAGTTGACTGGGGGTGGTTATCCGGGTGGATGTCCAGGGGGTAGGTGTCCTAGAACACTATACCACATCCGTACTTCAAATAGTTTTCTGATGAACGCTGCATCTTGGTGCTAACATTTGAGAGGTACATCGATCAGTCTTAGTAAAGTAACAAGCACTGTACACAGAACGATGTGTATGGGACTACACAAATGGTGTCGGGGCGTGCTACTAACATTGATTTCCTAACCTTTCTATGCTCATTACTCAGCCAGTATACATTTTCTACCAAAATTGTTTGGCAAATGAAATTTATTTATAATCTTGAACATTCAGTGTAAGTTTCGTTTGATTCTGTGAGAACTCATTTTCTTTAAACAAAAAACAGAACTCACCTTTATCTTTAACTTTCTGAGATTATACAATACATCGTTTACCTTGTTTTAGACAGTGTTTACTGGTATCAAACTAAAAACTGCATCAGCACATTTAGAACATTACCTTTTTTTCTTTGACTTTCTGACATTATACTATACATCGTCAAAATCTGAGAGGTTTTTAATCAACCACGGCAGTGTTATAGTCAAATGTTTTTGGAGAGACTACAAACATGAAAATCAAATACCTCTCAAAGGAATAGCAAAGGAATGAATGCCTATTGTTTACTCTAAATGTCCTTCTTCTCTTCCTTTACCTGTTGGTGATGTCTCTGCCATTTTATTCATGCATCCTCTCATTGTGCAAACATGCATATCATTCCATTACTTTTCTACTTAAACACTGACACATGACTCTTTAGTGTGACTTAAATGTCAGGGGTGTGGATAAGGGGAATCATTAAAAAAAGTATTGCAAAAAAGGCCAGAGAGATTGACCAGAGAGATGGAGACATTAGAGAGAGAAAAAGATAGAGAAAGAGAAGGAGAAAAATAGATAAAAGAGAGACAAACGTAGATACAGATAGAGAGAGGGAGAGAGAGAGAGATATATAGATATAGAGAGACGGGGGGGGGGCAAGTAATGGGTGGAAGGGCCTACCTGGCATGCGTCCATTTCTCCAGACAAATGTCCTGCACAGAGCATAGTCGGTGTAATGGTACGGTCCGGATAAAACGACTGGCATTGCGCCTCATCAAACAATGTTATCGTTGCTTCCTGAAGTGTATCAGATACGGTGCCACCTGTGAACAACATTATAAATTCCCTCACATAATTTGAGGAATTATAGTAAAACATTCAAACAGCCTATTTTTTTCTCAAATAAGCTCATGACATTATTTTCACATCTTTCGCCATTCTATTTTCTTTACCAACGGCTTTTAACAACCTATTTTTCAGTGTTTCGTTATGTATATTTGTTCACAATGCTTGTATGAATATGTTCAACAATTACAAATTTGAATTTGATTCGGATGAATTGATTAATAAAAACATTAAGACGCTCACAAGCAGATATTACCTTCAGAGGTATGGCCCCACCCTGTTATGTAACATGCTGTAAATCGCGTAGACGCATCTCGATCTTGGAGGCAGATAGGTTGGATGTAATCATTGAACTCAAGGTTGATGTTGAACTTGATCACAGCGATGTCATTGGTGATGGTATTGATAGCATAGTCTGGATGAATAGCGGCTTCAACGTCTGTTTCGATGTGATATGGTGACGTCATGGATAGTTTAAGATCCCCCAGAACCGCAGTGTCGAACTTTTTACTGTGAAAGTATTTCGTAGCGATGTAAATGAAAATATTCATGATCGATTAAACAGTTCAGTTTAGCTGAAATCGACGATTTTTTTGTTGTTGAAAGTTCAAGAGTTTACAACTTAAGCGTATTCATGTAAGTTGAAAAGAAGAAGATTGATTTTTATTTCAGGATGCTACATATAGTTTTCTTTTCTTTTTGCCTAATTTGGTAATGAAGGTAGAAATATATGTATATACAACGCATGCATTAATCAATGTCATGAATGCAACCTCTTACGAATATAAGAAACATTCTTTTCGTTGTCTAGTACAGTTTTAAATGATTTCCAGTTATAACCAGCCCTCTAACGATAAACATTCATATAACAGCTTTATGGTTTATTGTCACCCCAAAAGCATCTAGAATTTTAGAATATAATATTGACAGTTGTTCCTTTAGTGAATTTGAATTGATTCTTACACACAATGCGCTGCAGTGACAGCCGTGGTACTGTTGATGACTACAGCAGCACATCGATGAACGTTGGAGCGATCTCTGAGAGAAACCATCCAGGGCCAGTCCCCGAGCTGAGTCGGTGAACCACCGATGATACGGGGACGGGACGAAGAGTAGGCCGGTCGGAAGCCACAGTCGCTAGCTGTGATATAACGATTGTAACAATCAAGTATTTTAACTTGAATGGTTTTGCACGGTCCGTAATTACGGATTTAAACAAGTAAATCACCTGAAACATACTGATAGAGGAGAGAGAGAGAGAGAGAGAAGAAGAAGAGAAAAGACAGAAGAGAGCAGAGGAAGGTACGCAGAGTTCTTAAAAGTCTATACAACAAAATAAAAACACGTTATTACATTTAAGACTGTAATTTACCAATAAGAAGTAAAATAAGAAGCGAAATATGAGTGACAACCCATAATCTTTCTAAAAAAGAAAAGATGATCACACTATTTCACGTGCATTTTGGGTCTGAAATAGGTATGGCACACTTTCTCACTGTACTTTTCTAGTGTATCTACGCAAGTATAAAATATGCACGATTTGGTTTTGAATAGATGATGGGTATGGGCTGGTGTTGCCCCTAAATCCGCGCCTGAAAATGTATCATACATAGCCGGCAGTAACTTAATCATAGTATATTTAGTATACCTGGGGAGTGTTTCACAAAGACTAACGTCGACTTTAAGTTGGACTTAACTATGGCAGGCAGTTCATGCCACTATACTACTGGCTATCATCATTTACTCTCTCAAGGAACGTACTCATCATGGTAACAAATCTACATAATTTACATTGTTTGATAATTCATTATTGAATGAAAAAACAAATTATCTAAATATCATAATGGTCAGAGTAAACAGTGGCATGAACAGTCTGCCATAATTTAAGTCCAACTTAAAGTCGATCTTAGTCTTTGTGAAACACTCCCCTGATATACTGTAGGATCTTACCTAGTTCACAGTTCATTCCGGTGAAACCAGAAGTACATATGCATCTATAGGAGCCTTCTGTGTTATCGCACTGTCCTCCATTTTCACAAGGATTGTTATCACATTCGTCAATATCTACAAGATAAGAAAAGTACAATTATTAATCTATCCAGGATTTATATTTCAAAAATTGAAGAAAACAAATCATGATGTACCGCTTTAGGATGCTGTATAAATATAATGCAGCTATTTCATGGCTTTATAAAAGTTGATTTAAAACTAATGTGTGAATCCAATTTGGATTTCAGAATTTGCGGCACAGATTTCTCCAAAGTTTTCCAAAACATTTCTCAATATTATCACGTATATTTTTGTCATACAAAATTTTTCATTAAGTTAGAACGCATTATGTAAAATGACTTATTTGAGACGATTTTACCTGTTTCACAGTTCACCCCCATGAAACCAGAAGTACATGTGCATGTATAGGAGTCACCATCGCCATAGCATTCTCCTCCATTTTCACAAGGATTGCTCGCACATGCTCCGATCTCTAAAATAATTTAAACGTGGGATAGGTGAACAGATTTCTCTCAGATATGTAGTTCAAAAACTGACTATTTGAAATTATTTATAGCTGAATGAAAATCGTTTTTCTAACCTCGTCCATTAAAACTTTAAACTGATATGTGCAGTGATTCTGAATGTCACTTCCTGAAACTATAAAAGCTGTTCCGATATCATGTAGGATTTTTGGTCGTTATGATAAAATGAACCTTAAATAGAAACGTAACTAAATAACCTGGAGCAAATTTCAGGTACAGGCCATATATTATTGCGTATGTACCTTGTCCGCAGTTTATACCAGTGTAACCAGAAGTACATGTGCATGTATAGGAGCCTTCTGTGTTTTCGCACTGTCCTCCATTTTTACAAGGGTTGCTCGCACATCCTCCGATAACTGAAATAATTAAAACGTGGGATAAGTGAACAGATTTATGTCAGATATGTAGTTCAAAAACCGACAATTTGAAATCATATATATCTTGATAAAAATGTACAACTGCTAACATTACGATAATAGTTTTTCTAACCCAGGCCATTAAAACTTTATACTGATATTTGCAGAGATTCTAGATTTCACGTGGCTCGACACTTCGTGAAACTGTAAAAGCAGACGAATCCCATATCATGAAGGAGTTTTTGGTCGTTAAGATAAAAGATCATTAAACAGAAACGTAACTAAACAACCTGGAGTAGATTTCAAGTATAGGTCTAATATTATTGCGTCTTTACCTTGTTCACAGTTCTCCCCCATGAAACCAGAAGTACATGTACATGTATAGGAGCCACCGTCGTCATTGCATTCTCCTCCATTTCCACAAGGATTGCTCGCACATTCTCCGATAACTGAAATAATTTAAACATGGGAAAGGTAAACAGATATATTTCAAATATGTAGTTCCAAAACCGAATATTTGAAATGATTTATAGCTTGATAATAATGTACAACTCCTAACATTATGATAAACCCAGGCCATTAAACCTTCATACAGATATGTGCAGTGAGTCTATATTTAATGTGGCATGACACTTTCTGAAACTGTAAGAGCAGTTCCGATGTCATGTAGAATTTTTGGTCGTTATGATAAAATGATCATTAAATAGAAACTTAACTAAACAACCTGGAGTAGAATTCAAGTATAGGTCTAATATTATTGCGTCTTTACCTTGTTCACAGTTCTCCCCCATGAAACCAGAAGTACATGTGCATGTATAGGAGCCACCGTCGTCATTACATTCTCCTCCATCTTCACAAGGATTGCTCGCACATGCTCCGATAACTGAAATTATTTAAACATGGGATAGGTGAACAGATATATTTCAAATATGTAGTTCAAAAACAGACCATTTAAAAGGATTAATAGCTTGATAATACTTTTCAACCTCTTAACATTATGATGATCGTCAACAGTAAGTTCTCGATTAATGACATAGGAATTAGCAAAAGCCGTTGGTGGTCGCGAGGGTGTGCATCGTAGCATCTACTTTTCACGCTTCGTTTTGGGATTCCTCCTCCAGCAAAATTACAACCGTCTAATTCATAAATATATTTCAATTTGATAAAAAGCAGTTTTATTTTCATATTTTGTCCTATTTACGTTTGACAACATACTCAAATATTATAGTATGACAAAGATGAGGCATTGTGGTCTTTCTACTTCAAGGAAGAAATTGTGGTTTCTATGAAAAGCAATTTGACTTTTGATCAATTTTGCTCAATCACAATTCTTCATATCACGGGCCCCCACAACTATAGAAACGAATTTACGAAAAAGCCCGACTGAGAGTATTTACTATTTTGACACGATTTGCCGGTATATCCCTCTTCGCAGGTACAGGAGTAGTCCGATGAGTTTAGGGTATCATTACATGTCCCTCCATTGGTACAGGGTTCGATCTCACACAGAGCTGGTATGAATTTGAAGAATAAAACACGAAATGAAGAATGCATGGTAAATAATTATCATCTCTCAAGCTTGTTAGACGGCTTTGAGTATGGTTATTAAAGTGTTATAATGAAAGAAGTCTAACGTGATACATGTTGTACCATAAATCTGTCGAATGTATATGATATTTTCAGAAATCATTATACATGTATTTACATTTCACTGTGATAGTTTTCAACAGTTGCGACACATGACGATAAGGAAAGGCTTTATTGTATGTGGCTGATCCTTATTTGTTAATAATTATACTTAAGATTTGAAGAATTAGTTTTAGAATTCCGCGTAGCATTATTTTTTTTAAGAGAGTGAATTATAGTTATTACGTGTAATGACGTCAACGATGGCGTTGTCATCCAATGCATCCTGCATGTTAGGTTTAAGGTTATCCAATGTGAGCTCGATTGCATTGCTTCGTTCTGTCTCCGCCAGGGGCATGTTAAACGACATCATAAGCTCGACCTTGATACTCCCCGAGCTGTGAAGTGATAAAGATGAAAGAGAGTAATAAACTATAAATAGTGCCATCTTTCGATCTGTTGCCATTATAGTAATGATGTAAATGATAAAAAATCGAGACGACACGAAATTTTACATTCTCCTCCAGTAACTGCAACTTTGGTCCGTGGCGATACTAGGAAAGGCGCGGGACGGTTGATGGTGAGATTTACTTTACATTTATCCCCCCCTCCCCCCCGCCAGTACGTTTTCCTCTGCACACACTAAAGGCATGAATTTGTTGTATACTCTACCGAACATTGAGTTTTATATGGATGTAACAATATTCTGAGACGATATAAACTTTATATTTCCAGAATCAATTATATTGTCACAACCACACAACAGTGTACGTGAGTTAATGCCCTCCTGTTAAAGGTATTACAAAGTTTTGGTATGGGATCATGAATTTGGTTCAAAATAACATAGTGGAAGCCTATGCGATCCTACAATATTCAGTGAACGTTGTCGCGAATGAAATCGAGTCTAAAGTTACGAAATTATAAATAATAAACTCTTTATGTTGTATAGCTCCCTCTCAAGGTCAAGATATTAATTTAGCTATGAAACAATGTTTCTTGATTAAAATCGACCAATTGGCTATTCCCGTTTGGAAATTGTATATCACAACTACATATTCTGATATTTTCATGGTCGCAGCTACCATTGTGCGGCCATAGGCGCTATTTGAAAATTATCAAAATTTACCGGGAGCACCGGTAAATTTTTATATTCAATTTTTATCGAAAACAGAAGTGTTTTAGGGGCTAATTTTTTAAGTGCATATACAACATCTACAGGGGCATCCAAATATAACAAAATTGTAAATATTCACTATCCACCCAATTTTCAAAATTTCCCAAAACTTTGTATTACCTTTAAGGCAACTCCTTTCGAAAATCAACTGAAGGCAATTTCGATAGCCTTGTACGTCACCTGTCGAAATGGGTGAACATGACAATGATATACCACGTAATTTAAACACGAGTTCTAAGGGACAAACAATAGGGTATTGAAATTGCCCTTGATATGAGTTTTTCGAAAAATGTTTCGATCGTGCTTTATTCAAGTTCTTTACATCACAAATCACCGTTAGTTTACAACATCTATACTATTTTTAAACAACGGTCATACAATTTGTACATGTGCTAAAATTTCATAGCTACTATTACTTTCATCCATACCTGACTGATATAACAGCGGCCCCGTTAAAAAGCGAGTTGTTTGCGTATGTCGCATTAATCTGAAAAGAGACAAATAAAAATGAATGAACCGAAGCAAAGCAAAGTTTGAAAAAGAAATGAATTCCATTCTTCTTAAAGTTCGCTTTCATTTGGGGTTAACAAACATACATATCCAAATATGAGCGAGGTAATACTTCAATCTTAAAACGGTCGATGCATCATCACCACTGCGGATCAATGTTGGCATTGTGCTAACTCTATTTCATTTACTTCTTTTTGAAAGTCAATAAAGGTAAATACCTAACACGTTAAGCGTATGTGTACCTTGAACTCTTCTTCTACGCAAATTTACATTATACTCCATGCCAGCAGAGAAAAGTGCACAGAATTAGTTACCAAGATCATCTAAGCATGTGATAGTCTCGATAAAAGGCAGATTACCCTTAAAAAAAGAGCAAGTCATTGATATATAAACATCAAGTATTATCGTTAAACTAGTGTCAGTGATATATATGATTTACCTACTTTATGAGTTTTATGCTTCTCGCACAATGTTCACATTATTTGTGAAGTTGTTGTAAGCGCTATGGTACTTTTTGTTCTTAACACTCCTAAATGATCAATATCATTATGTCACTACTGTTATAACATTTCCAAGAGAAAAAAAATAATGGTCTTCTTTAAGACCATGAAAGTATCATATTAATTACCGGATTAGTTGGTGTAATGTTCCAATTCATAATTTTGCATTTCCAAATCTTTTAACCGAGCATCAAATAATTTTCAATTATATCCTTTCCTTTTATCATCGCTGTTTCTAATCGCGGACAATACTGAATGAAATTCTACTAATCATTTCTTAAACAATTTATTTTAAAAACTATGTCACGTCCTGAGATTCCTGCTCTCAGTGAAAGATTTTCTTCATTGTTGAGAATCTAAGAATTTTTTTTCTCTGGGTGTTCTTTCGCTGACCGATCGCAAAGCACGAGTTACACACGAATGCACACTATGGCCCGAATTCACAAAGGAGGTTTGTCGACCAACCTAGGTTGATGTACGTCATATGACGCGTTTTGACGCGTTTTGACAAACCTAGATTTGTATTTACAGACCTAGGTTTGTAAAAACGCGTCAAAACGCGGCATATGACACACATAAACCTTGGTTTGTCTACAAACCTCCTTTGTGAATTCGGGCCTATAAGACGGCAAGCTACACACTGAGTGCAATATCATTCTTGACAAGATGGAATTTGATTGGTCTACTCACTGATGAAATTACAACATTGGTGAAATTCATATAAGCAGATGATGATTTATCTCCCAGATCATCGGTGTACTCCCGATCAGGCAGGGTGATATTGACTCCCAGCTCAACAATGCTCACTCCGCCTGAAAAAATCATTTATTCTGTTATTAACCAGTTGACTACTGAATTATCGTATTCCCATAGGCTTAACCCAGGGACCACCAGGTTCCAGTAAACAATGGGTTAATAACACTGCATTAATTATATATTTCCCAGCTTTTTGGCAAGGGAAGGGAGAGGTTATCTGCACCTGGGACAACTAAGGTTGCGTGAAATATAAGATTCTCTCTCGACAATTTCTTCAGGTCCTGTTCAGATTTTGATATTACATGATTGTCTAAACCAAACCAAACCTTAAGAATTGATATATTAATTCATTCCCAACATGTTTTTTTCATATACATTTATATAATTTCATATATTGATGTTTTAGGTTTTTGTTAGAAATAAATTTAAGACTACAAAAATAATCAATAACAATTGGGAATAGAAACGCAGTAAAAGATATAGACATTTTTTTAAACGTGGTATCGAAATCATTTTATTAAATTAAATGATTATACATCATATGTTATAAGCCTACACAAGACCTATAAGTGCCTGTCAAGTTCACCCCCCCCCCGCCAGCTACACACCAGCCCCAGATCAGCCACTGACTAGCTATTTCAAATCCCAAACAGTCACGAGATGTTCCAGAAAGGCTTTGTAATACAGTAAGATTAAGGATAAAGGGGTGTTTATGGACCAATTCTCAATTAGCACATGATACTAATTCCCCCAAAATCTACAGATCTTTACATCTGGGAGATGTTCCACTTTGTGCACTTAAGAAAATCACTGCCAGTTACATCAGTTAAATCAAGCAGTATAAAATACTTTGTCTTTTTCTCAAACCTAAATGTACTCTGTAAACTTATTTTATTACGTACATACTTATCAGTATTTCGTTACTTGTATAATTCATTTGTTTTATTATTTATTGCAATAATGTATGATTTATACATACCATTTTAATTTGTGAATATTTGAGTGGGAAAAAATATCAAATCCAAAACAAAAAACAAACAAAAAATCAAACATGGCCAAATCGATAGGATTAGAGTACTTCGTAAATTTGTTTCTCCCAATTTGAAAAGATTGCTCCCACCTGTATCATACAATGCGCAGTTGGTTCATAAATAAATAATGATTATACGACCATCATGACAATGGAACCAGTACGGGCTGGGGTGGATGGATAGTTATTCATTTCATGTACTTCATTTTTTTTCTTCAAAAATCTTTAGGAAACCCCAAATGTGTAGCAGATAGGAAAATTGTAGGAAAATACCCAGACTAAAGTCTTCTAGCAAGTGTAAGTAAATTTAATCAGAACTACGTCGATTTTGGCTTTCATTTTAGTGCAGCAGTAAATAATCTAATATACTCTATAATTTGGTGCAAATCTAGACTTTATGAAAGGTTTTACGAACCTCTTGGCGTAGTCATCTTAGTCATTGTGGTCGTCTTGAGGGTTTCGAAGACATCTCGAGAGTCGTCTATATTTGTCGTAAATCATTTAAAACAGAGGAAAAAAATGTGATTATAAATTTGTATTATCACCTCAGTGCCATCATATAGAAAATTGGGCGATTACTGTAAGGAAGGATTGTTAATTTGTCTTTGAAATTATTCACAAAACGCAGGCCCTGAATTAACAAACTAGAAATGGTGTGACAAAAATAAAAGGAATATGACAGCTTTTAAGCTGGCAAAAAATAAGTGAATTGTATATAAAAACCATGTAAGCCTGGAAATGACCGCGGAAAACATAGATCTGGCTTAAATGTAAGACTTTCCTAAGTATGTCGGTCTACTTGTGTTATGTTACATGTTTGATTAAGAAAGACGAGTAACAACAGATTAATCTTAAACACAGAGGCCTAAACGTAGATACACAACATCCTTCTTTGCCGATGATTAGACCTTTGAAATGCATTATAGTCATGGCAAGACTACGAGAAAAAATAGGATGTGAAATTCTGAGTAAACATATGATTTTACTCGTGATAACTTGCCATTAATGAAGATATGTAGTGCGACTCCCATAGCAATAATGATTGCCACTAGGAACACCATCAGGGAGATCATGATCTTGTATCGAGTATGGCTTTTCTTTTTCAGACTTGAGGGTACCCCATCTGAATTCTCTTCAACAAAGTGCTTGGACATCCTCCAGTTTTCTGGCGCCTTCGACATGGGTTTCATCCCAATCTCGGTTTGGTCATCGTATCCACGGTTGTCAACACCGTTGATGTCCTACATAACATAAAAATGATAATTATGATGATGATGATGATAACGATAATAATGATGATCATGATGATAATAATAATTAAAAAAATAATGATAATAACAACAGTACTACTAGTAATAATACATGTAGTAATAAAAAAATGATAATTATGATGTACTGTTTTAACACAGGATAAACTCATCTAGGCTATATCAATACTAATCCTGGGAAGGGCCCTGCAGTTATTACGTAACACTCACTTTGATACACCTGGGGGGGGGGCGGGGGGACAGAGACATTGTAGGATTTGTCCAAGAATGTAAGCAGCAAGCACGCAGACAATTTTAATTTCAATGTCAATATATTTATGTTTCCAACAAAACAATTACAAATCAATTACAAACATTTACAACCTTTTAGGAATTCATAGGGGGCCGCTAAAAGGCAATGCTGGTACAAGTGTTGACACCTCAAATTAGGAATAATGAGTAATTAAATTAACAAGTCCGTAACTACAAAAGGAACTACAAAGTAGGGGGAAAGGGAATGCCAGCAGAGACGAGAACGGGATAAGACTTTATATGACACAGATAGGAGAACACGGTCATAATACAAAGAGTAGACGATGCCAAATATGAAGAAAAGAACCCAAACGCCTTAACAGCCTTAACATAAATATATTAAAGCCACTATTAATTATTTAAAGATAATTTAATTTCTGGGAAAGGTGAAATAATTTGTATAACCTGTGAGCTTATTCATTCTTCCATGTCAGTGAGGAGGAATATCCTAGAAGAAAAGTCTCCTGGATGGATTGCTCTTCAAAAGCCACCATATTACAAAATTGTCAAGATTAGGCTAAAATGATTGGACCACAATTTCATGTCATTTGTTTGTGAAATCTTATTGATACATTTCTATGATGTGTCGTGGTCGAGTGGATACGTCACCCCGGACTGTGGATTACAAGGTAAGACATTGATCTGCATTTGCCACACTCGACCCAGGTGATGTAAATGGGTACCTGGCAGGAATTAATTCGTTGACATGCTAGAGCGCCGTATGGCAGCCATGCTAAAGCCGGGCTAATTATCGGGGACGCCAGGAGTGTCAAATCTGACAGATATGAGCGCTATACAAGAACCCATTATTATTATTGTCATTATGTGAAGTGCGTGTAACTTTTCGCAAAACTACGCCAACATTTTCAAAAAGTCACAATATACACTTATTCTTTTATGCTGTAAAATCAAACTTGTCCAATTACTTCCAGATAGTTTCTTTCACAATGCAATCGTATGACCATGATGAACCACAGTGGTGATATTTCTATATACAGTGCACTAATGATTAGTAAAAGCGTTAAAACATACGATATGTCGAATCTGTATATTGGATCTTCCCAGAAACAATTATCTTATTCAATTATTGGTACACCGTTATGGCCTGTCTGACCAACCTTGCCATACTGTGCCTGCCAAACGTCCACTTTCTATATACATCTGTTTGACAAGATAATTTTTCTACATTATTCATTCATGAAAATCGGTTTAATATTTCAGCTATGCAATTTCATTGCCACTGAACAGAATCTTATGACTATCGACTTAAAAATATTATCCACAACTAACTGGGGAAAAAAAAATCTTCAAATTTTGCTTTTCACGCTCTCGTAGATTTTCCTAAGCCTAGTTTGATATCCACGCGGTACGATTTAGCAATAATCATAACAAATAACAAACTGTTTAATTTGCAGATTAAATATTTACAGTAACTATTTAAGGGCTCTATATACACGATAAACTTAACATTTTAAAGCTCATACATTTGTATTTGTTTAGGGATGTCAGGGTTAATTTAAATTTAATATAAATTTAGAAGGCTTTAAGAAGTATATCCCACCTTTTTCTTGTCACTCGCCATTGCTTGTTAACCACAGCGATGGCAAAGGAAATCAGACAATCCTCGCTCCTCCAATAGTTCCGACTTATCTGGTGGATTTGATACTGACTTGAGGCGGAACGAACCGCTTTGGTACAAACAACAAATCAAAACTTTTGAACCAGGGGCATTTTGTTGACACAGCTTTCTCAAAGGCAATGCACACTATTAGCATGTCATGACGTCGAAAAATGATTAACGGTATTATTGTCAAACATGAAAAAACATTATTTGAATAGTGAGGGAGGGGGTGATCTGAAATTCTATGCAATTTCATATTCAATCTAGTTTTTAATGGTGTGTGGGTATGTGTGTGTGTGAGAGGGGGTGGGGTAACAGGTTATATTACTTATACTGGCCCTTGTCCCGACGTCATTGAGTCCTCGATTTCAAAGATCCCCATTATGTTTCATAAAATGACTATAACATGTAATTTCATTCCGATAGAAATTGTGTCTAATGATTTTCATACTTGCCCAACTACATTTACACTTTTAAAGGACAACTGAAAGTTCATCTTATACTTAATTATGAATGATTTATGTTAGTCGTAATCATTAGATTATGTTATTTATATATTTCTGATACTGTCTTTTCCGTTGTGTTTGTTATATGTTAAAGTAAAACTATTAATATTTCTGCAAACTATTTTCTTTTTCTTTCTTTGAGGTAATTTACCCCACAAGGCCTCTCAGGCTTTATTCTAATTCTCTCTTTTCATTTGCTAAAATAATTTGCAGGTTATTCTACAGTTCAATGTCATTATTATTTGAGTATTTGCATCAAAATTGTTAATGTTTATTTGTATATTTTTTTGCTTTTTATATGAGAAGGATTTTCTTTTTCAATATCAACTCCGTTAAATAATTAGTCAATATAAATGACTATTGACTCATCATGAGCAGAACAACATTTAAAGAGTATATCCCGCTTTTTCTTGGGTTTAAAGGTGGGCTTAAAGCACAAGTTGCAGCATCAATGCTTTAAGCACGTGTTTGTTATACAAATATTTTAAAAACAGCGCCTTGTCGGCATAATCAATCTCTAATATTTTGTTGGTATTATTTTGCATATAGTTTACAAATGGCAGTGCGTTGTAAAAAAAATATAAATAGCATATAGTAGTATTGGTTGAATGAGTACTCAAACTTTCCATGTCGAAATCTCATACTTTCCATACTCAAACTTTTCCATGTCGAAATCTTTACATAACGTAGAGGTGCTTTAATGCAACTGCTCCAACTTTCCAAGTGGGCGTTACATCGCATCCTAGTCTTACACCTTTCCACCGTAAAGTAGTTTGACTCTTTATGATTGAGTCAAGATGATTCGCTTTATTTGCTTTGGATGACAATGGGTCCTCTAAAATACTTTTGATTTCATCAGATCTCAAAATAGACTGTCGGAACAACAAGAAAATGGATTATTTACAGTTCCTGCAGTATCAATATGCGTATTTACACAGAGCAAACTCCTTTTTTCCCCAACAGTACAGTTCAGAGCCAACGCCTCTCAAGGATTTATTCTAGGTGTACGTGTTTCATTTCATCTTCCACTCCTCTCTCTATCTCCCTTTTTTTTTCTCTCTCTCTCTCATTCTTTCTTCCCCCTTTCCTTTCTCTTCATATCCCCATTTCACCTTTTGTGAACATTTAAAGTACCTTTTATATAATATATCCTTGTGTTGGTTTTTTCATTATTATCCTCATATCATGTTGTTATGCAAGTTTATCTCTCTCGTTTTTTCCGTAATTGTTTAGCTTTGAATTATATATGATTTGTTTAAGGTTAATCATCTTGAATAAATAACGTCAATCAATTCAGTTCGAAGTTTAAGCTCAAACGATGTCAAAACAAGTTGTTGGTAGTTGCCCTGTACAAATTTGGACCGCTAATGTCGTCCCTGATTTGTTGAACTTGGGTTTTACTTTGTAAATACAAACATAGCTACATGTCTGCATCTTCTAAAACTCTTCAAGGATCCTTTACTTTTCATGCAACACACCTCCACGTTTCTCCTGGATTTGAAGTGCAACTGCTTGTTAAATATTGTCTCATTGCTCAATTTGTTAGGCCAACACATTCAATTAAGCCCAATGAAATTGAAATGTCTGGATGCAATAGTCAAATTCCTGATGAACTCATAAAATGTCCCATTTCTTATTAATACGACTCTTAGCATGTTATAATAATATGTTTTTTCCCGTAATCCACAATACATAAAGTAGGGAAAGTGAAATCCTCCATGTTAACAGCATACCACTTCGATTTTTGTAACATCCACATATATATATATATATATATATATATTTCTTTTTCAGTTTTTCGCAGGCAATACGTTTGTTAATTAGTTGAATAGATTTGTTTCTGCATTTTCCTGTATCTAAAAATAAATAAAAATGATGTTTAGCTTTATAGGATTGGCGACTCCTCCTGAATGGATGAAATGCATTTTGGGGGGAGAGGAGGGGGTAACATGACATCCCTAGATCTGAGGACTCCTCGTAGGGTATGGTGCCCATGTTAAAAAAAGAATACATTAAAAATATCTCCTGATACAAGAATGTTACATTCATACATGCCGCAGGCTCTCACATGGTTATTTTTTCCTATGTTTACAGAATCGTTCATATCAATGTCAGTGGCATATTCAGCCTGGCTTAAAGTCATTGTAATCCCTACCTGGCTGAAGAATGTATGTCTGTACATATCTTTCGTGAATTGTTTTAGAAAGCGAACTTTTAACTATTACTTCCTCTCTTTTTCAAGCTTGCTTTTCAATTGGATAGGTGTTCCGCACGTAGAGAGTGTGTGCTGACGCCGTATGGCGCTGCTGTTAATCTTTGTATGCACTCCATATCCATTTTTTACTGTAAAGAGTTTGGCCCGAATTCACAAAGGAGGTTTGTCGACAAACCTTGGTTTTCGTACGTCATATGACGCGTTTTACGCGTTTTTTACAAACCTGGTTTGTAAAGAACAAAAAGAGGTTTGACGAAACAAAAGGAGGTTTGAAAACTCTGAAAACTCGTTTTTTCGCGAGCAATTTTCCTTAAATTCAACTTTAGTTGGTATGTGATTAGAATAGTATTTTCGTTTTGTTGTCTAATTATATCTGTTCTTTATCCTCCAAAAGCATATAGGGACTGAGAACGGTTATATTTGATATACAAGTATCGTGTATTCTTATCATTCAAATATTTAGAATACAGGTATCAAATGCAATTTACTTTACTGTGCCACGGCCACCAGGACGTCCTCCCCTGAGGTGGAAAGACCAAATCCGCCAAGACTCTGGATTAAGCCTGGAGGCTGCCCAACACCAAGCCCAGGCCAGAAATGAATGGAGGCAGACCACCCGTAGGAGCGCAAGGGGACACTCCGTCCTGAGCACTTAAGTCAAGTAAGTAAATATCAAATGCAATAGAGTAAATTCATTTTATTTTTCTCTATTTCCTCTTACATTTATTGTGTTTAAACATAGTCTATATAAATCAGATTCCGTATTATGTAATCATATATAGCTATTTATGATATTATTTTAGGTCAAGTCTATTTGGATACCTGATTTTAGTGATCCATTAACATAATAATTTAGGTGACATTACCTCATTTCCTCCTCTGTATTTGGTATTTATGAACAAACATTGGTAAGTATCAAATTCCGATTATTTTGTTTAACTTCAACAAATAATTGATTTCAAACAAATCAGGAAATAGAGCGTGAAGGTCAATGCAAATATAAATTAATGTCTTCTACCCCAGATTCCAAGCCAGGAGAGAGAGATCATACGTGATCATAAGCTGCTTAAAACCACACGGAAATGAACAAACCGCATTGGCAATTATCAAATTCCGATTTGTCTTTTTAATTTCACGATATAATCAATTTAAAAAAAATAAGGAGATAGAGCATGAAGGTCAATGCAAATATAAATTAATGTCTTCTAGCCAGATTCCAAGCCCTAACTGGGTGGAGCTAAGAGCGCGCGCCAAACTGCCTGATAGTAAACACACAATGAGCAATGGCCCTACTGCGCATTTAAGAGCAGTGAATCTCGAAACGATCGCACTGAAATTTTCTGTGTGTGAATGATATTGTATGTAAAGCTGATTAGTTTAAAGCTCTTTAAAGCGGAACTACACTACTTGTAGCAACTTGCGCTCTCTATATAGCCAACAATGCCTAAGCGGTGACCGTCGATCCCCCATGGTCCCCTTTTTCATATGTTAATTGATAGCTGATTTGATGAAATAACCACCTGTCAGTGACCACGCAGGGAGATCTAATCCCTCCTTGCCAAACTAGTGCAGATAGGCTTTAAACTAATCAACTTTAAAGAATTTTTTCCCTGTGTAAAAGCGGCGTTGGGCATCAACTTTAACTTACATTTCCTAAGCGAAATCTAAAAGCTAATAGACTGACGCACTTCATATTCTTTACTCTATTTCGTTTGCTCGAACTTGAACTTGTTGAAAAAAAAAGGATTTGCAGCAAACAAGTAAAAGGTATCTGGCGCATGATTAGACTTTGTCCCCTGTGCTTTCTTTTGACTCGGTATATAATCGAACTCCAAATCTTGATTCATCTTTGTGCTGCAGTTAGATGTATTTTGCGAACAATAAGTTTATTTTTAGGCATGATGATATTAAAACCACATCATTGCGTCAAAACTTGAGATTCTTGACCAGCACAAATTTTTTTTTATTTTAAATAGTCTACGCTTTAGAAGCTTTATCGTTATGGGACATCCAGTTCTCGGGAATAATTGATATCTTTTTCTTTATCCTACTCTCAATTTCTGTTTCTGCCTTTCCCTTTCTCATTTCTTCCCAACTGTGTTTTTTTTGTCTCAAATGACCGTTATATATATTTTGACTCCAGTGTATTTCTGACAGATATAGCAGGGAGGCCGGGGTGGGGGTATGTATTAATGGATCCGGGCTAACTCGCACCCGGTGACAACTCGGCCCTGCTGCAAAAAAGGTAATTTTTGGTCATTTTACCGTAACCCTAACCCTAAACCTAACTCTAACCCTAACCCTGAACCACCTAACCCTAATCCGGGCTAACTCGCACCCGGGGACAACTCGGCCTTGCTGCAAAAAAGGTTATTTTTTTGTCATTTTAGAGCTCCATGTGCTCTTCGTGTCCGTACTTGCAGATTTCATTCCACTCATCTTTCAGCGTTTGACTTCATCCAGTAATTTCTATTGATAACCATCAACTGAAAATGAAAATGAAAGCATAAAGGCAGTGTTTGCTTTATTCTCGGCAAACAATAAGAACATCCTGTAGGTCCCAATGCGAACCCTACGTCATAATATTGCTCTAATAAGTCAGTCACGTCAAATTCGCTGCTTTGTGTGTGTATTTTCTATAAGGAATCACACAAGCACTAGTTGCTTAACAACAGCATTACTTGCTTGGCCAGGATTGTCAAGACATCTTTGTTTTTTTCCTTCCGTGCCCGAAATCTACACATTTCGACGGAGTCATTGGAGGGATTTGGTAGTAAGGAATGGAGGTATGTATATGCTACAAGAAAGGGTAATGTTATATTCAATGTTTGGAAGATTTAAACTGAAGAAGACAGAAATGATGCGAAAGTACGATTAATATGATCATTGTGGTCTTACGAACATGAACAACAAACAATAAAAGAGAGAAAATTCGCTCCCCAGCAAGCAAATTCCTCGTCCACTACTTTTCATGAATATTTCTTTAATATTTTTCTTTAATAAATCTATATACATGTCAGTAATAGAAACTTTATATGTTTTAAATTGTAGTGTTAACATACTTTTACGCATGCATGTATGTCTTCATTGTTTGCTTGTTTTATAAGTGTTTGAGTAAGGGTAATTGGAAGAGAATGTTGTCAGAGCTCTCCAGGTTTGACTTTGGCGGATCCTCGCTTTGGGAATCGGCAAAGCAGTATTTGGGAAGACTCCAATTACGTTTCCAGGATAAGCGTGTAAATGTTACCACGCTACCCAATTGTTAAATGAACTTTACACTGGTTTCCAGTTACTGACATAATTCAACACCGGATACCTGGTTAAACTACCCCATCGATAAATTATTTTTTTTATATCGAAAATATTATGGTGATGTATAATGTCAATAGGAATTGAATAATGTGTCTTTTTTTTAATGTGGATTTGATAGTATTGATATGCCCTTCAGTCCGGGCCTATGTCACTTTTTGTTCGTTATTATGTATTTAATGAAGACATTGTATTGTTAAAACTTCCTATTTCTCTCTCTCTCTCTCATTCTTTAATCGCTCTCACTCTCTCTCTCTTTCTCTCTCCCACTCTCTTTATTTCGCTCTCTCTCTTTTAAAAGAGTTGAATATGTGTTTCTTTTAAACGTTGATTTGTTAGTTTTTTTTTATGCCATTCAATCTATGCCTACGTCACTTTCTGTCGTTATAATGTTTTGAGTGTCGATCTTGGTGAAACTTTCTTTCTCTCTCCCTCTTTCATCACTCCCTCTTCCCCCTCTCTCTTCCTTTTCCTTTCTCTCTCACACTCAAACTGCCAAATATCGAATTTAATATTTTTGTATTGTTATGTTTACTGATCATCTTTGTACTCGATTTATTCTTCTCTGTGCACCCTCTTTTCATTTTTAAAAGAGTTGAATATCTGTCGATTTTAAAATTCGTTGATTTATTAGTTTTGATATGCCCTTCAATCCATGCTTAACCCTAATAAGGCCGGGGGGCATTATGCCCCCCCCTCCACGATTTTTCTGATTGCTCGAGAACGCATATGGATGGCGCCCCGCCACTCGCTGACTTTTTTCTTTCGAGTCTTGCGCAACTTTTAAAAGAATTTTTTTGAAAATCGGACCTACGGTTACCAGGTCACGTGACCTTTTGTCTTTGCATGTCAGCCCGAAAATCGCTCATTTTCGTGATTTGTGTACAAAACATATGGAAAAGTCATTTTTCCTAAAAACAGATCAAACATGGGTTATTGGGTCTTGTTTAAAGTTTAGGTGGTTGTTTTGGGTGTCAAAATAGTTGAATTGTAGTAAGAAATAAAATAAAACAACAAAAACAATGAAATACATAAGTTAAAAAAACAATGAAATACATAAGAAATTATCAAAACAAGGGATAACATAAGGAATAAGCTGGCTCTTCCAAATTTTTGTGTTGTATTATTATTCAGAATGGTCTAATGAATATATGTAGTGAAAAAGAATGCCTAATTATGAATAATATATGATTAATGGGTAAAAATGTGAGTTTTATGACTTTATTTGCATAAATTACCATAAATATGCAAATGAGTGAATTTAAAAAAAATTTGAAATTATCATATTATTCTATACACTTCACTTGACATGCGTGCAAATTTTCGCGGCGATCGGCCGCTTCGCGGCCGAGATCTTAAGGGGGGGGGGGGGGGCCATAATGGCCCCCCGGCCATACTAAGACCTCAAATAGCACGGCCTTATTAGGGTTAAGTTACTTTCTGTCGTTATAATGTTTTAAATGTAGATCTTGTTAAAACTTTCTCTCTCTCTCTCTCTCTCTTACTCTTTCATCACTCCCTCTCTCTCTCTCTTTCCGTCTCTCTCTCATGCGCTCACCGTTTTCTCCTGATATTTCCCTCTCTCCTTCTCCCTCTTCTCCCTCATTCAGCGTTTCATAACAACATCTCTAGGATGATTCATCTTATAATGTACTGACTTGAACTATGTTATGCTATCAATTTGTTAAGATTAATGTATATTTTTGCAAACTCAAATGCGATTTATATTGTATTGTGAATCGATATGCAATACAGCTTCGGGCTGTTATGTATCGTTTTTAATAAATAATTTTCAATAAAAAACAAACAAAATATACTGGCTTCCAGTAACTGACAGAATTCAATACCGGATAGTTGTTCAATCTTTTAAATCTTTGTTAAAGGTAAAGACCAGTTTTGGAACGCCTCCATTTCAAAAATGAAATGGAAGCTCTTATTACCAATCTTGTGAAAGAATATGTTTTGACTAATACGTGATGATACAAAGTTTGCCGGGAAACCGCCTACTAATTGATATATTTGGTAAATTATTATATCTATCTGGACTGGATAGATATAGGGTATTCGCATATACATCTTTCTGTGTACAGTGCTTGTAACTTTACCAAGACTGGGTCAAATTTCTCATCATTTTGATGATTCCAGAACCTTGTAGTACACGCCAATACTTACATGCTAGATGATCAACCTTTTCTGTTCGATTCCACAACGTTTCTTTTACAATGCAATCGCATGACCAGAACTGGTCTAAACCTTTAAACACACTTCCTCATCTTTACATCTCATTACTCTTTCAGCAGCAGAGAACATCATATTTACCTCGACCTTCATCAGCTCCTTCCCTTTTCATTTTCAAATCCCGATAACAGGCTGGCTTCAAATCCTTTCAATTCGTTGCTTAGTGTCAAGCTATAGAACCATTATTCATTAGGACCGCTATCCATGAAGCGTGACAAAATGAATTATGAATAGCGGCCAATATCAATAGCGAGCAAACCATACAAAAATTACCTCGCTATTCATAACTCATAAGAACCGCCATTCATAAGGACAACTATTAGGGACTTTCAGTTTTGCACGACGAGAACGTGGACTGCTAGGTGTGACATCCTTTAAGGCAATGTGACGTCCTTTTAAAGTGACTTGGTAACATTGTTGAAGGTTGATGAAAAAAATTGCTTAATTTTTGTATAAAATGTTACTTACTATATTCCTTTTACTATACTAACCCTCTGACATGCTAAAAATCCTGAACAAATTCTCAAACCACAAAGATATCTATGGTTTTCTTTGACGGCGTCGATGTGAGGCACCCTCTAACAGTGATTAACAGTAAATTCTCCCAACCATTTTTGAATTTTCCCAACCGTTTTTCCATGACAAAAATACATAAAACAGGCTATAAAAATCTGTCAACACTTAACTGTCTGGAATGGAATGTAGAGCCATTTTATTGCTTTGTGACGATTTACATTCACCTAAAATGTAATTAAATTGTCCTTGTCTTGATGCTGAACAGGCTTTGACAAGTAGCAGAATAGAAGTAGAATAATATAGTTGGGAGAATTAAGGAATCGATCAGATCAGTTTTTCCCGATTTGTACCATGAATAATGATCCGTTTTCACTCAAATTTTCAGATTATCTTTAATTGTACATCTAGCATTGAAGTCACTACCTTAGCACCACTATCTCTCGTCTGAATAATGTTACAACGTCCCTTTAAGGCAATGTGACGTCCTTTTAAAGTGACTTGGTAACATTGTTGAAGGTTGATGACAAAATTGCTTAATTTTTGTATAAAATGTTACTTACTATATTCCTTCTACTGTACTAACCCTCTGACATGCAAACAATCCTGCACAAATTCTCAAACCACGATGATATATATAGTTTTCTTTGAAGGAGTCGATGTATGACATCCTCTATTAAACAGTGAGCTCCCAACAATTTTTGAATTTTCCCAACCGTTTTTCCATGAAAAAAAAGACATAAAACAGGCTATAAAAAATCTGTCAACACTTAAATGTATGGAATGGAATGTAGAGCCATTTTATTGCTTTGTGAGGATTCGTATCACCTAAAATATAATTAAATTGTAATAATATAGTTGGGAGAATTAAGGAATCGATCAGATCAGTTTTTCTAAATTTGTACCATGAATAATGGTCTGTTTTCGCTCAAATTTTCAGATTATCTTTAATTGTACATCTAACATTAAAGTCACTACCTTAGCACTACTATCTCTCATCTGAACAATGTTACCAAGTCCCTTTAAGGCCTTAAAAGGACGTCATAAAGGATGTAACACGTAGCAGTCCACGTTCTCGTCGTGCTACGCGTGACTCAATGCATAGCGGTCTTTTATAAATAGTATACAAATATACACTGTCTTGAGAGGTTCTGGTTAAAACTATGCGCAAGAGGTGACTCCAATAGTACTATTTGCTGAGGGGCGCAGCCCCAAAGCAAATGGTACTTTTGGAGCCACCGAGGCCCATAGTTTGAACCAGTACCTCGAATAGAGGCATGGTATATTTGTTTTATATCCTGCATCAAAAAATTATTTTATAAAAAAAACAAAAAACAAAAAACAAAAAAACATTTTTGCGAAAGAATTTTTTTAAAGAAAAAAGAAAAAAGAAAAACAAATGGTACTTTAATTGATTTCTTCAGAAATATTCTGAAAACGTACCTTTACAATAAATTCTTCTTAATTGTAAATATGCTAAGGGATAGGGCCTGGTATCCTCTAAAAAAAAACGGTATATAAATCCAATAATTATTATTACTTTTGTTGTTATCTTTCATTATTTAGCCGCTCGCTGCAATACCGCTACTAAATCCAATTCCATTCTGCAAATCCAGGAATATGAATGGTGATATTAATACTTTGGAAATGGTTCTCGGCACTCTGCACTTTGCTTACTAAACACGTCACTAAGCGAAGTTATGCACTGTGATTTGGCTTGTTGAAACGGTATTGTAAACAAGTACAAAAGAAGATAGAACTCAATTTGATTTCATTTCAAAACAATTTGACAATATTAAGCTTGGACAAGGTATCTTTAATAAATTCTTGGGAAAGGTGGAATATCTAAAGATAACACGTTCTCTGTGGCGTTTTGAGTTTTCTCCAATACAACGCAGCCTTCAACGACTCAAGGTGTATCTTCCATTAAAAGACCAGCTAAGGCAAGCCAGTGTTAGCTGACAACTCAATCGTACCATACCGATCTTTTAATACAAGAGAGGAAAGAGATTGTAAAGAATAAGAGGCGATAGGTCAAATTGCACCATTCGTCATGCATGACGATCAGTGTGTGTCGAAGGCGGAGTCTGTCTGTTATGTGGTTGCAAAAAAAAACGAAAGACAGCTTCTAGGGATTGGGTAACTTTGTCTCAGATTCTGAATCAAAATCCTTGATTTAGCTCATGCTGCAATGGTAATTATAAACATGTAGGTCTGTCAGGAACCCCATGACTTTTACAAGCCGATCGCCTGTCTGATTATCAAGATATTCATGATTGGAAATCGAAATCAAATTTTGTGTTTTCCTAGTAGTTTTCATAGCACTACATTCTACTTGGGAAAACGAATATGGTAAAACCGGTCACTCAAAGATTTTTACTTTTTAGAGGCACTTATTGGTCATTTTGAAGCGCAATTTTGTTAGGGCTTCAATATTACACCATATCACAGACACTGATAACATGTAGGGCCGTGCTTCTCAGTTTTAACATTGTTAAACGATGCCTTTAAAGCTTTGTATCGCTTTGACATCGCTCATATCAATTCAAGAAAATATATTTGGATCACCTGAAAAGCGACCACAGAATTTTCTTCATAATGCTCTTTACACAGACCGTTTTGTTTGGATATGAGATGACACATATCCATTTGAAACCCAAACGGCAGAAACCAACTTTACACAGCTTTCAAGGCTGGTGATACCGATATTTTCTAGTGCATGAAACCAATGGATTCTGACAAAAAATATTTGGAGGCCACTCAACCGATAACATTATTTATAGCTATAAACATAGACGTGTGGGCACATTTTGGCAAGGGGCATCTTCTCCGAAAACCAGGTTCTATTTTCTTGTGAGCGAGCTAGGCAAGTCGGCAAAAATGTAATTTCGTTATTAATAATCGATGGGTTTATATACCAAAATATTGTATTTTCAAAATTCGGAGGGGGGGGGGGGTGCAGTTCTAGCCCCTTCCCCGTCTTGTAAATGCCATTTTGACAGGCATATATTCTTTAGCATGTTTTGGACTATGACACTTAAAATATAGGAGAAATTAAGACATCATTAATATCGCCTATACACAATTATTATCAAAAAAATATTCTTGAAAATAAATATTTTATACGTACGGCCTACTTGGGTAATTTCCCCCAAAGAGCGTTTGCCAAAATGCATTCGCATCAGGATAAAGATAATTCTAAAGAAGCGAACTGTACAAGTCTAATCTATTTAGTAAAAGCTTTGTTCGTGAATGCTAAAATATGGCTTCAATCAAGTCATGTGATGCTCAAAGTTAAGGCACCTAACGAATAAAAACAAGAAATAACAATTTATTGTCATAAACTCTTCACAGAAACATGATTTGTTTGTCTCGGGCAAAACAAAAATGGAAAAAAAGGAATGTAAACTGAATTGGTAAAATAGAAAAAGAAAAACAAAGAATGAGGAGAAGAGGAAGACATTTTTTTTTGTTGAGAAGTGTGAATAGGTAGAGACTATTCGGTCATTCTTGTTTTGTCATGTTTATGGCACTTGTAAACATGGCGAAGAGGAGAGCATTTTTTTTTTTAAATTTCAGTTTTATAAGACAGATGCATTATATCTACTGACACATAATACCTTTTACATTTAGTAGGAATCTTTTCTAAGCGTGTAACCCTCGATGCAGTTTCCATGAAATCTACGAAGCCATATTATATTGGTAACACATCACTTTGAAAAAAGGAAAAAAAAAGAGAAAGAAAGACAGAAAGAAGAAAAAAGGAGACTAAAAATACTGGACAAAATGGTACTTGTATTTCGTGGGCTTTTTAGCCGTAATATCTGTCAGTAATTGAACAACATATCTATTTTCAGGGTCGTGCAGCTAGCCATGATAACCGTGGCTATCGCGACGATGGCGACCACCGCCAAAATCAGGACTTCAACACCGACTTCAAGCCTGAAGACGACCTCGGATGGTCAAACGGAAAGTCAAATGGATCATCGTCCAGGGGTTCCACTTCGTCCCATTACGTAATGGATGGTACTACGACCAAACCGGAGTCTCGGTACATGGTCGATGGTGCCATGGATCCCAATGTCGAAGAGAAGTTGAACCTTGGCATTCAGATGGGTCACCTGCAGACGAAGAAACGTGAAAACCGCGCCAAGAAGCAACGGTCAATTCTACGTATACTCCTGGTGGTTGTGGGTTTGATGGTGTGCGCTGTAATCGCTCTCGGTCTAGCACTTTACTACATCATAGATAGTAAGTGATATCAATCATAGGATTATCCTTGTTTATCAGTTATGTCTCAGTTTGTTTCTATACCAAATCGCATACACTGTGTGGTTACTGAAATTGTCCCCTTGTCATACGCTTTCCATCTGTTTTTGTTACACAACGTAGATTAGTAATCGGAATATATTAAACGAAATATTTCGGGATAGAATTTCTGAACTTATTACCAATATCAATGGAAGGAGACAGTTTTCCAATGTTATATAGTCAGGTGACTCATGTCTCATGTTTTCCAATGAAAACAATATCAAACCATACAAACGTCTTAATGTCTCTTCCGTTTTTTTTTTTTTTTTTTTACAACCCCTTCAATTCTCTTTCTCTCTCTCTTTCTTTCTTTCTTTCTCGTTCATCTTCTTCTTTTTCTTCTTCTTCAAATATTGCTAGATCAATCGTCCAACACTATGGAGACCACCACAGGCATCATACCAGGAACCCCACCCGGGACTTCTCACACATCTCCCACAGGTCAATGATCTCTCTTTACTTCCAATGGTTAAACCTCAATCACGTGTAACAAATATGACAGCTCACGCAATTTTTTTGATGTTAAACGTATGCTCTAAGTTACTGATGTAACAGAAATTACCAAAACTAATTTACTTTAATTGTCCAAATATTGAATATAGAATATAGAATTTAAAAAAGACATGCTTTAAATTTGTTAACCCCCACCCCCCCCCCCCCAAAAAAAAAAAAAAAACCGAGATGACAACAAATATTTGGACATCTCCAACAGGTCAATGTACTCTCTTTACTTTCTATGGTTAAACCTCAATGACGTGTAACAAATATGCCAGCTCACGCAAGCTTTTTGATGTCTTATGTTAAACCTATGATCTAAGTTACTGATGTCTCATAAATTTAAAAAAACTAATTTACTTCAAATGTCCAAATATTGAATATAGAATATAGAATGTAAAAAGAGACATGCTTAAAATTTATCATAAAAAACCCCCAAACAAACCGAGATGACAACAAATGTACTTTTTCTTCAGAACGCCGTACAGATGGCCATATAGATGTTAATCTCCGTTGTACATTTATTTTCGTTTAAGTGATCAAACCTTTGTCATCACTTATATTATCCCGCTTCCCATTTGGGGGACTGTTATTCCAAAGTAAATTAGTCGCATAAATTGAGATAACCATACATTATGTTCATTCTACAGGCTCACCACCTGGGTTCAACAAGACCGAGATTGAAGTAATGATCTCCCTGAACGACCGTAACTTCACCTCTGATCTCAATGATAACACGTCTGTAGCCTACATGGAGGTATCAAACGATATTGTGAACGCCGTAAGTATTTTTATTCTCCGACAAAAATAGTTCCGCGGTCAATTTTAACACTATGCGAGTTCGCTTCAAGTTTAAAACCAACTCTATATCTAACAATGGCCTTATTCGTAACATTAAACCTACTTGCGATCCTAGCCAAAAATCTTTGACCAAATTGAAACAAAAAGGAATTACCTGGAGCCAATGTCACCTGACCATTATTTTGTCGGATTACGTAGTCTCATCTACGGTTGTATTGCGATTATATAAGTTTACTTTACTACGTCAAAGATAAAGTTCATTCATAAATTACACTAATTCCTTCTAACGCTAACTGAATTGAATGAATGGCACCTATTATTTGTTTTTTCTTGTTGTTCTTATTTTTTCTTCTTTCTTCTTTATTTTTTCTATTTTTTTCTTCTTAAGTCTGCTTTTGCTTTTAAGTTTCTCTTTCTTTTATATATTTGTAGGTTGATCAGCAGTACATGAATGACAGCACTTATGATGGCGTGTCTATATTAGGCTTCAGGTACTTATCAATACCATTTAATATGTCTGCAAGTCTTTGGAAGTTAAATAGAACATATAACGGCAAACAAGAGTCCCGCCTCAATAGCAAATACATGACGTGATGTAAAAGAGAGATAATGTCCGTGATAAAAGTGTTAATTTCCTTCTTCTCAGCTCCCTCTTATGCTGTGTTTGCTCATATGGATTATTTGATATCTGTTATGAATCATATTGCAAGCTGATGGTCTTAAAGCTCTAGCAATGATAAACTGTAGTTATTGAACATTTGACACTGAAATATAATTAAAAAAGAAGAATAACTTCAAACAGATATCATACTTTCAATCTGTATAGTGAACTTTGCATTTCAATAAATCATTACGTTTAAATGTATAATATAGCTGAGGACCCAATCAGTAATATCAAATGAGGCCATATTGCGCAGTTATATTTATATAATATTTTATGTGTTAATGCTTTTCGATTAAATTGGTTAATATCACTAGAAGCATATCTTTGCAAATTTGATATGATTTTTAATGTTGACCCAAATTATCATATGATAATTCTTAAGAATTGTTTATTTCTGAACGAAAAACGATGTGAAACGTAATTTCTCTGAAAATCTCGTTTGCGATGCCATGTTAAAGTAACCTTTAACATTGAGGCACCGTCATCAAAGTACTGCAAACAGTGTAGGTCTATGTAGTGATGCATCCATAATAATCTTGTATATATATAGCACTCAACAGAAAACTTCGAAAAGGGTCATATTTGGAAAGTTCTCAAATTTTCGATTACTTTATTATGACCATTGTCAGGATATGCGATTCAAATTTATATTTATTATTTTCTTCCTTAGCCGTGGTAGCATACAAGTGATATTTATTGTAATATTTCAAGTACCGATGGAAGAAGAACTGCGCATCGATGTGATTAATATCATTTTGGCTGAGCTACAAAACAATATTATGGAAGCGGCAAATTCGATCTCAAATGATACATCAGTTCAAATTATCACACGTAAGTAATGTCCTAAATACAAGGCTACTCATATCAGTACTCGTGTAATGTACAACCACGTACACCGATCGCCAACTAAATTTAGCAATAAGGCGAAAAAAATGATGATAATGATGATGACGGTGGTGATAATAACAATAATGAAAGAATATAAATAAATTATAATAACAACAGTGATAATGAATATTTTACTTACAAAACAGGATAAAAAAATGGAACTACTGACCCCTTTTCGTATCCAAGATTGATGAATAGGATTAACGAATGTTAATAGTGAATGAGAATAATATGTATTCATAATGGATACAGAATATTACATGCATAGCTTCTTTAATTGTTCATGAATGTCTAAATGAACGATTCAGTTAGAATGACGGCTAGTCGTGATCTTAGATGCGTTTTCCCCGAATATGAATTGTAGGACTGGATCCACCTCTTGATCATGTCTAGATTGGTAACATTATGCAGCTGCAAAATGAATCCTCTACATATTTTTTTTTTACTAATAATCTAACATGCTTTCATGTCACCTACAATAACAATACAATTACACATGTCTTAGTTGCCTCCTCTCCATAAAGACACTATGAATATGACTGACAAAGAAAGCGGACAAAATATACAGTTCCTCAGGTAGACAAAGGAACATCCCTTCACTGCTATTATGTAAAAATGTGTAGAACAGGTGTCACATGTATATTCACCTTTTTACATAATAGCAGTGAAGGGATGTTCCTTTATCTACCTGAGGAACTGTATATTTTGTCCGCTTTCTTTGTCAGTCATGTTCATAGTGAGACCACCTGTCTTTAGTGGTCACATATGTTGTCTTCCTATATGGGAAGAACGTACAGTGTGCAATCTGATTAAAAAGGCCATCTTCTATAGCGACAAATATTTCAGTTGTCATTGTGTGGCCGTAAATGACAGGTTATCCTATTTATCGGATACAAGACATTTTCCTTCAATATAAGATGGCGGTTTAACAGTTGTTATTGATATGATTAATTTTGTACAGCTGTATGTGCAAACGAACCCTGTGCGTACGGTGGAGAATGTACTGCAGATGGGTCTAACTCATTGGAGTACACATGTACATGTGCGGCTGGCTACACGGGAAGCTCCTGTCTATCAGGTTCGTTTCATTTCAAATTTTACTTATTTTGTATTAGGGGGGGGGGGTCAAGATTTACGCATTTCAGATGCATTTTGTTTCCAGATGTCGTACATAATATATCTATCTTCCATTGGTGTAACAATCATTGTGAACAAAGAGATTATATATTATCGTGTGCCTAGTGTATTTTTGTGTGTAAATCCCTGCCTTTAGAGATTATATGCACCATGAATGAAAGAAAAGAAATACTTCGATACAGTAGGGATTTTAACCTGCACACAAAGTGCTTGAAACTTATAAGTCTAACGCTACTTTGTAACTATAATCTTACTAATATCCCTTACACCAATACTTAGAACCCGTCCCTAAGGCTGGTTTGGTTTTTTAAATTGCTTTTAAGAATGATCAGTCTACAAAGATCTAGTACCAATTGAAAGTATGATTCCTATTAATGTGTGAAGTAAATGTTTAGTATGTCAGTATTTGCTAGGAAAGGATGCCCAATTAGTCCCAAATGTTGCCCATTTCGACTTGAGATCGACATGTTTTTAATATCATTGGGACTCTTTGCATGGCTGGGGACAAGTTCTATACAAATAGATTAATCTTTGCAAATATTATAATTATCATAAAACATAATTATCTGTGTTATAATCTTTTTTCTTTCAAATAGACATTAACGAATGCGCTATTGCAGGAGCTTGTAGCAATCAAGGAGAATGTGAGAACATCATCGGGTCGTATGTTTGTGTATGTGCAACTGGATGGCAAGGAACAGACTGTGACATTGGTATGAAACGCACAAGTTCAATGATATCAAATGATGTACGATCATACCTGTTGTTAGGGACTTTTAGATTCTGCACGACGAGAACGTGGACTGTCCTTTTAAGGCAATGTGACGTCCTTTTAAGGCACAGGCAGTGACGTCACATTGCCTTAAAAAGGCAGTCCACGTTCTCGTCGTGCAGAATCTAAAAGTCCCTATTATTGCTGAATGAGCCCTCACGATGGCTTCAACGCGAAAAAAGACAGGAATCAAAGACATTGATTTCCACAATTTCATATGCTTGCATTGTTTTAACTTAATAAAGAGGAGTCTTGATTGCTCCCTTTTGCTCAAATGGATTCTGCATTCGGAAGGATGGTAGGCCTGAACAGAATTAGTGTGAATCTTGGTCTAAATGGTTTATTTTGTATTAATAATTGTATGATATGATATGCAGAAAATCAACTCAATATCAATACCCTTTTGTATAATATCAGATTTAAATCATGTTAGGTTTGCATAATATGTAATTGCAACTTTTGCACATTTCAAAAGGTGATAGATAGGAATGTTGAAAATTGTCGAAGTTTCGTGTTTAAAGTTAAACGCACACGTAAATATAAATAGTAGGTTCATATCAAAATGTAGACACACGATCCTTATGGCATCCTTATATTATATTTGACTCCAGATGAGAATGAATGCGAAACCGAGAATCTGTGCATGAACGGAGCGCTTTGCAGCAACCAACCCGGATCATTTAGCTGTGAATGTGCCCAGGGATACTCTGGAAATAACTGTGAACTTGGTAAGGTTTCCTTCATTCTTTAGGGGTAGGGGTGAGCGGAATGACAGATAACAAGAAATTTCAAACAAAGGCACCCGTAAAGAGTACCAAAGTGCTCATGTCATATTTGCTTGTCGTCCAGGTTACTAGTTCTAAACAACAAAGCCTGTGCATGTGATTCACTGCGTTCAAGCAACGGACTGGAGCAGGGCAAAGTCAGTATTTAGGACTGGTGTGATCGCCACACCTTTGTTTAGCAAACAATTGTTTGAAACAAGCAACCTTGACAACTTGGCCAGTATGACGTCATTTCATTGAACTCTGTTAGGTTTTAGATGTACGTTCGGACCACGGAGTCTCAGCTAATGACAATTAATGCAAACACCCAGCAATAGCAATAGCCCTGATTACTAATTGTAATTCAATAGACCATATTCGTCTACTGTTGCTATGTCAGACAAGCATTTGCAAGATTTTGAGTTGTCAATAGATCCTTATATTCAAGAAACATGCATACAATTTGTAAATTTGTCTATTTGATGGTCTATTTGGAATTCTTCTTGTAGAAACGAACAGTTATTTAATGATACTTAAAGTGGTTATTGTTTACAATCCCATAATATATACAAGTATATATATATATATATATATATATATATATATATATTAAAGCATCTTTAAATCTTGATTCATTTAAATCATATATTTGTTTGTGTGTCTTTAAAATATGTAACAGACGTTAATGAGTGTGAAACTGAGAATCCATGCCAGAACGGTGCGCAATGTATCAACGAAGTTGGAACATACGCGTGCGATTGTGTCGCAGGGTTTAATGGAATCGACTGCGAGAACGGTAGGTAACATCAACTTTTTACAGGATTACTTAGGACTCAAAACGTTACAATTTTGTTAAACGTGCGACCTGTTTAACAATTTTATGCAAACTTTTTGAACAAAATATTCTCTTGACAGCAAACAAGCTTGGCATTGATTAATTATAATTGTGATTAAGTTATGATAAAACATCGATAATTCTCTGTTTCATTTTTCGGGGACGCACTGTATAATAGACATGAAAGAAGTCTATGATACGATGATTTTACCTTAATGCATACCTTAGTCCTTTGCTATGTCGGACAAGCTTCTTCAGATAGACTTTAGGGTCGTCACTGATTAACCCAGTAATAGAAGCATGCATAAACTTCAGTATATTTAAGAATTGTTCTGTCGAGACAGAAATGTAATGGTCGTGTAATGGTCGTGTGATTGTGCATTTCTAGATATTGACGAATGTGCAGCTGACCCGTGTTTGAATGGTGGGACCTGTGTGGATGGTATCAACTCCTTCTTGTGTCAATGTACCAGCGGATTCATCGGCTCTCGATGTGAATCAAGTATGTACATCGTTCATAAAGACGAATAATGTATTCATTTGGGTTCGAAAGGATCACTCTGAGCACCTGGTTACAAAGACTCTAAATAATCAGAAATACTTGGAAAGGTCCACCCGAACTATACCTAGCCAGATTAGCAGGGAAAGCTCGATGAAGAGTGGCACAGATTTTCACTCTTCCAAAGAGCCTTCAACAAGCTCCTTGGCATGTGCGTGTGTGTAATTGGGTTTTTACAGAAGTGTTTTAATCAGATATGATTATTTACGTTTGGGGAATGACCTTTAATGTCACCATCCAAAAGACGTGACCTGCGTCCTCGGCTGAATCAGTTTGAAACTTCCATTGTTAGCTGGATTACAGGCGCACGCCACAACGCCCCGTTATTTGATCTTCTCTGATCCCTTTAAAGCCCCACTGTCCTTTTGTAGCTACTTGCTACCTCTATATAGAAACTTCCCCAATCGGTGCCTATTGGTCCCCCATGATCCTCTTTTTCTTATGGTAGTTGAGAGCTGAGTTAATGAGTCGCTGTGTGGTCTAATCCCTTCTGGCCCAGTAGTATTGGCGGTCTTTAAAAAGAATATCCAACAATGCTGATCATGCATCGCGGCACCGTTAGAAAACCCAAGGAACGTGATGCTTGTATAAGACTCACAAGACCTTTTGGCTGTTGATTGATTGATTTATAGTATAAAAAGTTATTAGTAATGACATAACATGATAATATAACAAAATGATTTAGAAAGGTACACCTTGGAAACATATTAAAGAGCATGTCGTCAGTTTTACTGCGAAATTTGTAATGATGGCAGTTCTTTTTTTTATTCTGTCCAATGACATGTAAAACACCCCCTTTAAACAAAAACGTTTGAAGTTATTGTATAATTTTAGATCCACCAGAGAAACAAGAGATATATGTGACGATGAAGATCTTTTTAACGTAATATTCACCTTGATTTAAGTGAGAGGAGCATAATGGTGCGGTATAGGAAAAGAACAAGAGAATAAAAAAGATGTCAATTTGACGTACATGTAATGAAACCTTTTTGTAAACTTCTAGATATTGATGAATGTTCACCCAATCCGTGCCAGAATGGCGGATCTTGTGAGGATGGTATCGGCGATTTCACGTGTCAATGTGCAGAGGGATTTGTTGGTTCTCGATGCGAAGAAGGTATGTTTTAGTTCTGAAGTGTTAGTTTCCCTACTACCCCTAATACTACAAATCATGTTCTTTGGAATATCAGTTGATATCAGTGAGGTAATGACCTTATTCTACATACATAACTATGCTGTATGTAACTGTAAGCAGTCTTTAAGTTTTTTTTATTGTTTTTTTTTTACATCAAACCGAGTACTTGAACTACCTTATCATATTAAATATACCGTTATTGAATTAAAATAAAAACATTTATTTTTGATAAACGAAATCTTCATACTGTTAATATACATGCTGTGAACAAGATAAACTGATGCCTTTATTGTTTATCATGAAACATTCTATTACAGACATAGATGAGTGTGGACGTGGCAACCCATGTCTGAACGGAGCATCTTGCATCAACACACCAGGTTCATACACATGTGAATGTGCTGATGGGTATACTGGAAACAACTGTGAATCTGGTACGCTAATGCTTGTATTTCAAAGATAGATACAACATCGAAAGTCTCTATCTAGGTTAAATGCTAAAATATTTAAAAGAATGCCTTCACTAATTATGGCTGCATATGTATATGTGAAGCTGATTGGCAAGACACTGATTGTGAAATTGGCAAGACTTTCAATTATTCGTTACGATTAATTTTAAATTCACGACATGAAAGTAGGGTTGGCTACCAGTTTGAGTGTCGTGAATTATATAAAGCCAATCGCTTGCTGTGTGGTTCGAATATATCTAATTCTGGAATAAATCACAAAATTATTTTATTCTCGGACAAGCTTCTTCAGACAGGCTTTAGGGTAGTCACTGATTAACCCAGTAATATAAGCATGCATAAACTTCAGTATATTTAAGAATTGTTCTGTCGAGACAGAAAAGTAATGGTCGTGTAATGGTCGTGTGATTGTGCATTTCTAGATATTGACGAATGTGCAGCTGAACCATGTTTGAATGGTGGGACCTGTGTGGATGATATCAACTCCTTCTTGTGTCAATGTACCAGCGGATTCATCGGCTCTCGATGTGAATCAAGTATGTATATCGTTCCTATAGACGAATAATGTATTCATTTGGGTTCGAAAGGATCACTCTGGGCACTTTTTTATAATGACTCTAAATAGTCAGAAATACTTGGAAAGGTCCACCCGAACTATACCTAGCCAGATTAGCAGGGAAAGCGCAATGTAGTGTAGCACAGCTTTTTACTCTCCCATAGAGCCTTCAAGGCAATGAACAAGCTCCTTGGCTATTCTTTGACCCCTTTAAAAAAATAATATACAACCATGCTGATCATGCATCAAGTCACCATTCGAAAACCTACGGAACATGATGATTGTCTAAGACTCATAAGACCTTTTGGCTATTGATTGATTGATTGATTTTTAGTATAAAAAGATATAAATAATAACATAATATGATAATATGACAAAATGATTTTGAAAGGGACACCTTTGGAACATATTAAAGAGCATTTCGTCAGTTTGAATGCTAAATTTTGTAATGATGGCAGTTCTTTTTTTTATTCTGTTCAATGACATATAAAACCCCCTTTAAACAAAAACGTTTGAAGATATTGTATAATTTTAGATCCACCAGAGAAACAAGAGATATATGTGACGATGAAGATCTTTTTAACGTAATATTCACCTTGATTTAAGTGAGAGGAGCAAATGTTGGTGCGGTTTAGGAAAAGAACAAGAGAATAAAAAAAATGTCAATTTGACGTACATGTAATGAAACCTTTTTGTAAACTTCTAGATATTGATGAATGTTCACCCAATCCGTGCCAGAATGGCGGATCTTGTGAGGATGGTATCGGCGATTTCACGTGTCAATGTGCAGAGGGGTATTTTGGTTCTCGATGCGAAGAAGGTATGTTTTAGTTCTGAAATGTTAGTTTCCCTACTACCCCTAATACTACAAATCATGTTCTTTGGAATATCAGTTGATATCAGTGAGGTAATGACCTTATTCTACATACAAAACAATGCTGTATGTAACTGTAAGCAGTCTTTAAGTATTTTTTTTTTACATCATAACCAGTACTTGAACTGCCTTATCATATTAAATATACCGTTATTGAATTAAAATAAAAACATTTATTTTTGATAGACAAAATCTTCATACTTTGAATATACATGCTGTGAAAAAGATAAACTGATGCCTTTTTTGTTTATCATGAAACATTCTATAACAGACATAGATGAGTGTGGACGTGGCAACCCGTGTCTAAACGGGGCATCTTGCATCAACACACCAGGTTCATACACATGTGAATGTGCTGATGGGTATACTGGAAACAACTGTGAATCTGGTACGCTAATGCTTGTATTTCAAAGATAGATACAACATCGAAAGTCTCTATCTAGGTTAAATGCTAAAATATTTAAAAGAATGCCTTCACTAATTATGGCTGCATATGTATATGTGAAGCTGATTGGCAAGACACTGATTGTGAAATTGGCAAGACTTTCAATTACTCGTTACGATTCATTTTAAATTCACGACACGAAAATAGGGTTGACTACCAGTTTGAGTGCCGTGAATGATATAAAGCCAATCGCTCGCTATATGGTTAAAATATATCTAATTCTGGAATAAATTAAAAAAAAAAAAAAATTCTCGGACAAGCTTCTTCAGACAGACTTTAGGGTCGTCACTGTAACCCCAGTAATAGAAGCATGCATAAAATTCAGTATATTTAAGAATTGTTCTGTCGAGACAGAAATGTAATGGTCGTGTGATTGTGCATTTTTAGATATTGACGAATGTGCAGCTAACCCGTGTTTGAATGGTGGGACCTGTGTGGATGGTATCAACTCCTTCTTGTGTCAATGTACCAGCGGATTCGACGGCTCTCGATGTGACTCAGGTATGTACATCGTTCATATAGACGAATAATGTATTAATTTGGGTTCGAAAGGATCATCCTGGACACTTTTTTTTATAACGACTCTAAATTATCAGAAATACTCGGAAAGGTCCACCCGAACTATACCTAGCCAGATTAGCAGGGAAAGCTCAATGAAGTGCAACACAGCCTTTTACTCTCCCATAAAGCCGTCAAGGCTACGAACAAGCTCCTTGGCTCTTCTTTGATCCCTTTAACAATAATATCCAGCCATGCTGATCATGCATCAAGGCACTGTTAGAAAACCTAAGGAACGTGGTGATTGTCTAAGACCCACAAGACCTTTTGGCTATTGATTGATTGATTGATTTTAGTATACAAAGATATAAATAATAACATAATATGATAATATGACAAAATGATTTGGAAAGGGACACCTTTGGAACATATTAAAGAGTATTTCGTCAGTTTGAATGCTAAATTTTTATAATGATGGCAGTTCTATTTTTTTTTATTCTGTCCAATGACATATAAAACGACCCCTTTAAGCAAACAAGTTTAAAGATATTCTATAATTTTAGACACACCAGAGAAAAAAAGAGATATATGTGATGATGAAGATCTTTTAAATGAATAATCATCTTGCTTTTAGTGAGAGGGGCATATTTTGATGGGGTATAGGAAAAGAACAAGAAAATAGAGTAGATGTCAATTTGACGTACATGTAATGAAACCTTTTTGATTACTTCAAGATATTGACGAATGTTCATCCAATCCGTGCCAGAATGGCGGATCTTGTGAGGATGGTATCGGCGATTTCACGTGTCAATGTGATGAGGGATATTTTGGTTCTCGATGCGAAGAAGGTATGTTTTGGTTCTGAAATGTTAGTTTCCCTACTACCCCTAATACTACAAATCATGTTCTTTGGAATATCAGTTGATAGCAGTGAGGTAATGACCTTATTATACATACATAACAATGCTGTATGTAACTGTAAGCAGTCTTTAAGTATTTTTTTTTTTTACATCAAACCCAGTACTTGAACTGCCTTGTCATATTAAATATACCGTTATTGAATTAAAATAAAAGCATTTATTTTTGATAGACGAAATCTTCATACTGTTAATATACATGCTGTGAACAAGATAAACTGATGCCTTTATTGTTTATCATGAAATATTCTATTACAGACATAGATGAGTGTGGACGTGGTAACCCGTGTCTGAACGGAGCATCTTGCATCAACACAGCAGGTTCATACACATGTGAATGTGCTGATGGGTATACTGGAAACAACTGTGAATCTGGTACGCTAATGCTTGTATTTTAAAGATAGTAGATACAACATCGAAAGTCTCTATCTAGGTTAAATGGTAAAATATTTTAGATGATGGTAATAATTCTTATGTTGGCGGTATTTCACTGCCATCTATATGTTATCACATGCGAGTGTATGTGTGCTTAAGGCGGGGAGGAAGGAGATGGTCCCTATTTGGAAAATTAAAACGCAAATAAAACATCTTATACTGCCCTCGCTTAGTCTTGAATCTAAAGCACGAGGGAAAGGTGACAGCCTTTTAACCCTATCTATTTATTATTTATTATTATTATTATTATTACTATTATTATTATCATTGCAAAGTATTATTCTAATGAATTCGATATCGTTGTAGTCTGCTTATATATCAAAAGTTATCACTATTTCTTTTAATGAAATAAATCCTACATTCTCAACATCAACAACAGACATACTGTATACCAGATGATCAATATCCAATTATCGAATTAATAGATGCAAACTGATATATTTCTTTGATTTTTACTACTGTAAAGGTATTGGTGGATGTGCAACCGGATGGTATGGCGCAAACTGTGACTTAGGTAAGATAGAACAAAATAATCTTTCATCGTGATACATTGATGGTTGACATTTTAACGCAATGAGAAGAGAATAACTTTAAAGTACAGTGATTTACTTTACATTATATAAACAACCAGCACTTACTCTTTCATTTTGTATGCAACGCAGTATCAAACTACAAGTAATCAATTATTTCATCTGAAACTATATCATGAAAAAGGTTTATTTTATATTAATTTATCGACCATAGCACCCTAGAAAAAGCAAACCAAATGATAATTTTTTCTATTTCCTATGCAACTTCCAGCGGTTTGAATATACTGAAGAAAGCAAACTGTAGAGATAATGCATGAAGACAAAAATGAAATAGTTTGATTAGACATTAGTTATGATATCAAGAGCTCCTTTATATTTCCTTTATGCCCATTCCATAAGAAAGTATAATCATACATTACCCTGGCTTTAGCCCATGCAAACTATGAATCACCACATACTATATGTGATTATTGAATTTATACTGTCAAGTTAGAGCAATACCAGTGATTAAATATTTCCAATCTTAAAACATTCTATTACAGACATAGATGAGTGTGGACGTGGCAACCCGTGTCTGAACGGGGCATCTTGCATCAACACACCAGGTTCATACACATGTGAATGTGCTGATGGGTATACTGGAAACAACTGTGAATCTGGTACGCTAATGCTTGTATTTTAAAGATAGATACAACATCGAAAGTCTCTATCTAAGTTATATGGTACAATATTTTAGATAATGGTAGAAAATTCTCATAATGGCTGTTCTAGGCGTTAACGCAACCTTACATGAAGATGTGTATATCGCATATATTAAGCCGATATTGGGATCAATGTTGCTAATGTCTTGGCAATCACACATTACAGAAATCCATGCATTTCTTGCAAAGTACATCTGTCAAGAATAATTGTTGTGTTCACGTTCCTACTTTATTTTAAGTATCTATCAATTCACTTTCATCTATATATTGTCAAATGCGAGTGTATGTGTGTTTGGGGCGGGGAGGAAGGAGATGGTCCCTATTTGGAAAATGGAAACTCAAATAAAACATCTTATACTGCCATCGCTTAGTCTTGAATCTGTAGCACCAGGGAAAGTTGACACCCATTTAATCCTATCTATTAATTACCTATTATTAATATTATTATTATTATTTCTATTATTATCATGGCAAAGTATTATTCTCATAAATTCGATATCTTTGTGGTCTGCTTATATATCAAAAGTTATCACTATTTCTTTTAATGAAATAAATCCTACATTCTCAACATCAAAAACATACATACTGTATACCAGATGATTAATGACCAATTATCGAATTAATAGATGGAAACTGATATATTTCTTTAATTTTTACTACTGTTCAGGTATTGGTGGGTGTGCAACCGGATGGTATGGCGCAAACTGTGACTTAGGTAAGATAAAACAAAATAATCTTTCATCGTGATACATTGATGGTTGACAATTTAACGCAATGAGAAGAGAATAACTTTAAAGTACAATAATTTACTTTACAACATATAAACAACCAGCACTTATTCTTTCATTTTGTATGCAACGCAGTATCAAACTACAAGTAATCAATTATTTCATCTGAAATTATATACCTCACTTAAGAAATCCAGCCATCTGATTGGTCGAATTGCATTCATAAACTTCAACTGTTCCTGTAAAATTCCCGGTAACCATGCTTAAAACATTTCAATATTTTTAATAACCATGGTTATTAAAAAAATAGGTCAGTCTCCATGGTTACCCCATAGGTTTACATGTTAAAAAATGGTTTGAGCGATGGAGGATACCATACGTGTGCGAAAAATTGGTCGGCAATTTCAATACAATTGAATCTCGATCGATCTTACCGACAATTTTATCTTGCATTGTTGACATGAAGACGAAAATTAACTCTCAAAAACAAAAAAACAACATCTGCCGATAGATCTTGATCTAAGTTCGTGCCAATATGCATTGCAAAAGTAAAAGAAGGGTCCGTTTCATGGAGCTTTTGCGAAGCATCCCTCACGCGGAGCCGTTTTCAATCCATTTTAATGTATATATTGGAGAAAACTGCCAAGCATGTTAACGGCGCGCGATAGCCGAGTGGTCTAAGCGTTGGTTTTCGATACACCTCTTGTTGTACGCAAGAGTTCGAATCCCGTCTTCGACAAAAATGTAAATTATTTTTTATTTTTTATTTTTTAGTCTATTTTTTTTTCGGCATATAAAAGTATTAATGACTGCTTTAATATTCGAGAAATAGTTGTTTTCATACGCTCTCGGGAAGGTTACAATTGGGCTATTCCCCTCGGCAAGCCTCGGGGAATAGCACAATTCTAACCTTCCCTTGAGCGTAATGAAACAACTATTTCTCTCAAAGCAGTCATTAATACTATACTATATCATGAAATGTGTTTATTTTATATTAATTTATCGACCATAGCACCCTAGAAAAAGCAAACCAAGGGATTATTTTTTCTATTTCCTATGCAACTTCCAGCGGTTTTAATATACTAAAGAGAAAGCAAACTGTAGAGATAATGCATAAAGAAAAAAATGAAATAGTTTGATTAGACATTAATTATGATATCAAGAGCTCCTTTATATTTCCTTGATGCCCATTCCATATGATATTTAAGGCGCCTATAAAGTATTATCATATATTACCCTTGCTTTAGCCCATTCAAACTATGAATCACAACATTCAATGTGTTATAATTGAACTTATACTGTCAAGTTAGAGCAATACCAGTGATTAAATATTTTCTATCATGAAAAATTCTATTACAGATATAGATGAGTGTGGACGTGGCAACCCGTGTCTGAACGGGGCATCTTGCATCAACACAGCAGGTTCATACACATGTGAATGTGCTGATGGGTATACTGGAAACAACTGTGAATCTGGTACGCTAATGCTTGTATTTTAAAGATAGATAAAACATCGAAAGTCTCTATCTAGGTTAAATGGTACAATATTTTAGATGATGGTAATAATTCTTATGGTGGCTGTACTAGGCGTTAACGCAACCTTTACATGAAGATGTGTATATCGCATATATTAAGCCGATATTGGGATCAATGTTGCTAATGTCTTGGCAATCACACATTACAGAAATCCATGGATTCTTGCAAAGTACATCTGTCAAGCATAATTGTTGTGTTCACGTTCCTACTATGTTTAAAGTATCTATGAATTCACTGTCATCTATATATTGTCACATGCGAGTATATGTGTGTTTGGGGCGGGGAGGAAGGACATGGTCCCTATTTGGAAAATTAAAACTCATATAAAACGTCTTATACTGCCCTCGCTAAGTCTGGAATCTGTAGCACCAGGGAAAGATGACTCCCAATCCCATTTATTTATTACTTATCATTATTATTATTAGTTAATTATTATTATTGTTATTATTTTTATCATGGCAAAGTATTATTCTCATGAATTCGATATCGTTGTGGTCTGCTTATCTATCAAAAGTTATCACTATTTCTTTTAAAGAAATGTAGCTTACATTCTCAACATCAACAACAGACAACCTGTATACCAGATAATCGATGACCAATTATCGAAGTTATAGATGCAAACTGATATATTTCTTTAATTTTTACTACTGTAAAGGTATTGGTGGATGTGCAAACGGATGGTATGGCGCAAACTGTGACTTAGGTAAGATAGAACAAAATAATCTTTCACCATGATACATTTGTAGTTGACAGCTTAACGCAAGGAGAAGAGAATAGTGTTAAAGTGCTATGGTTTACTTTACATTAAATAAACAACCACCACTAACTCTTTCATTTTGTATGCAACGCAGTATCAAACTACAAGTAATAAATTATTTTATCTGAAACTATATCATGAAATCGGTTTATTTTATATTAATTTATTGACCAAAGCACCCTAGAAAAAGCAAGCCAAAGGATCAAGTTTTTCTATATCCTATGTAACTTCCAGCGGTTTTAATATACTGAAGAAAGCAAACTGTAGAGAAAAGGCATAAATACAAAAATAAAATAGTTGGATTAGACATTAGTTATGATATCAAGAGCTCCTTTATATTTCCTTCATGCCCATTCCATAGGATATTTAAGGCGCCTATAAAGTATAACCATATATTACCCTTGCTTTAGCCCATGCAAACTATGAATCATAACATACTATGTGTGATAATTGAATTTATACTGTCAAGTTAGAGCAATACCAGTGATCTAAATATTTCCTATCATGAAACATTCTATTACAGACATAGATGAGTGTGGACGTGGCAACCCGTGTCTGAACGGTGCATCTTGCATCAACGAACCAGGTTCTTACACATGTGAATGTGCTGATGGGTATACTGGAAACAACTGTGAATCTGGTACGTTGATGCTTGTATTTTAAAGATAGATGCAACATCGAAAGTCTATATCTAGGTTAAATGGTACAATATTTTAGATGATGGTAATAATTCTCATGTTGGCTGTACTAGGCGTTAACGCAACCTTTACATGACGATGTGTATATCGCATATATTAAGCCGATATTGGGATCAATGTTGCTAATGTCTTGGCAGTCATACATTACAGAAATCCATGCATTTCTTGCAAAGTAGATCTGTCAAGAATAATTGTTGTCTTCACGTTCCTACTATATTTTAAGTATCTATGAATTCACTGTCATCTATATATTGCCACATGCGAGTGTATGTGTGCTTGGGGCGGGGAGGAAGGAGATGGTCCCTATTTAGAAAATTAAAACTTAAATAAAACACCTTATACTGCCCTTGCTTAGTCTTGAAACTGTAGCAACAGGGAAAAGTGACACCCATTGAACTCTATCTATTTGCTACTTATTATTTTTATTATGAGTTTATTATTATTATTATAACTATTATTATTATCATGGCAAAGTATTATTCTCATGAAATCGATATCGTTGTGGTCTGCTTATATATCAAAAGTTATCACTATTTCTTTTGATGAAATAAATCCTACATTCTCAACATCAACAACAGACATACTGTATACCAGATGATCAATGACCAATTATCGAATTAATAGATGCAAACTGATATATTTCTTTTATTTTTACTACTATAAAGGCATTGGTGGATGTGCAGCCGGATGGTATGGCGCAAACTGTGACTTAGGTAAGATAGAACAAAATAATCTCTCATCATGATACATTGATTGTTGACAGCTTAACGCAAAGAGGAGAGAATATTGTTAAAGTGTAATGGTTTACTTTACATTATATAAACAACAAGCACTAACACTTTTATTTTTGATGCAACGCAGTATCAAACTACAAGTAATCAAATATTTCACCAGAAATTATATAATGAAATACGGTATATTTTATATTAATTTATCGACCATAGCACCCTAGAAAAAGCAAACCAAATGATAATTTTTTCTATTTCCTATGTACCTTCCAGCGGTTTTAATATACTGAAGAAAGCAAACTGTAGAGATAACGCATAAATACAAAAATGAAATAGTTTGATACGACATTAATTATGATATCAAGAGCTCCTTTATATTTCCTTGATGCCCATTCCATAGGATATTTTAGGCGCCTATAAAGTATAATCATATATTACCCTTGCTTTAGCCTATGCAAACTATGAATCACAACATTTTATGTGTGATTATTGAACTTATACTGTCAAGTTAGAGCAATACCAGTGATTAAATATTTCCAACTTGAAACATTCTATTACAGACATAGATGAATGTGGACGTGGCAACCCGTGTCTGAACGGAGCATCTTGCATCAACACACCAGGTTCATACACATGTGAATGTGCTGATGGGTATACTGGAAACAACTGTGAATCAGGTACGCTAATGCTTGTATTTTAAAGATAGATACAACATCGAAAGTCTCTATCTAGGTTAAATGGTACAATATTTTAGATGATGGTAATAATTCTTATGTTGGCGGTACTTAACTGTCATCTATATGTTATCACATGCGAGTGTATGTGCGCTTGGGGCGGGGAGGAAGGAGATGGTCCCTATTTGGAAAATTAAAACGCAAATAAAACATATACTGCCCTTGCTTAGTCTTGAATCTGTAGCACCAGGAAAAGGTGACACCCGTTTTACCCTATTTATTTACTTATTCTTATTATTATTACTATTGTTATTATTAGGGCAAAGTATTATTCTCATGAACTCGATATCGTTGTGGTCTGCTTATATATCAAAAGTTATCACTATTTCTTTTAATGAAATAAATCCTACATTCTCAACATCAACAACAGACATACTGTATATCAGATGATCAATTACCAATTATCGAATTAATAGATGCAAACTGATATATTTCTTTTATTTTTATTACTATAAAGGCATTGGTGGATGTGCAGCCGGATGGTATGGCGCAAACTGTGACTTAGGTAATATAGAACAAAATAATATCTCATCATGATACATTGATTGTTGAGAGCTTAACGCAAAGAGGAGAGAATATTGTTAAAGTGTAATGGTTTACTTTACATTATATAAACAACAAGCACTAACACTTTTATTTTTGATGCAACGCAGTATCAAACTACAAGTAATCAAATATTTCACCAGAAATTATATAATGAAATACGGTATATTTTATATTAATTTATCGACCATAGCACCCTAGAAAAAGCAAACCAAATGATAATTTTTTCTATTTCCTATGTACCTTCCAGCGGTTTTAATATACTGAAGAAAGCAAACTGTAGAGATAACGCATAAATACAAAAATGAAATAGTTTGATACGACATTAATTATGATATCAAGAGCTCCTTTATATTTCCTTGATGCCCATTCCATAGGATATTTTAGGCGCCTATAAAGTATAATCATATATTACCCTTGCTTTAGCCTATGCAAACTATGAATCACAACATTTTATGTGTGATTATTGAACTTATACTGTCAAGTTAGAGCAATACCAGTGATTAAATATTTCCAACTTGAAACATTCTATTACAGACATAGATGAATGTGGACGTGGCAACCCGTGTCTGAACGGAACATCTTGCATCAACACACCAGGTTCATACACATGTGAATGTGCTGATGGGTATACTGGAAACAACTGTGAATCAGGTACGCTAATGCTTGTATTTTAAAGATAGATACAACATCGAAAGTCTCTATCTAGGTTAAATGGTACAATATTTTAGATGATGGTAATAATTCTTATGTTGGCGGTACTTAACTGTCATCTATATTGTAACGATCCGCTCCGCGGTCGTGACGTAACAAAGAGGCCTAACTTAAATGATTGTTGTTTTCAAGCGCGTCATCATACACCGACGCACAATGTTTACGTTAATAATTTGCATACGAGCGATTGACATTTGGATCCATTATTGAGATGCTTTAAGATGTTAAACTGTAATTGTTTATCAATATATCACATGAATTTGGATGGAAAGTTGTTTAGACAATGTGACTTGTTAATATTTACTGCAACTGATATGTCATTCAGAGTGTTGTATTTAATTAATGGTAAAATAAGAGATTTACTTAGATATTTTGCTCTGAAATAGCACAGTCTTCATGTTAAGTCCATTTTCGCTGCGCGCGTACTTTCCAAGATCGCTTAGCGCATCGATTTCCCCAACGTCTGCATTATGCCTTTATAACCCGTAACATTTCTAAAACGCGAGGAGTTGGAATTGGACGCTCGTCGGAATTAGAACTATTTAGTCTCTCCCTGGAAATCCCCCCCCCCCCCCCACCTAAGGACTTGTCTTGGAATTGGGCGCTCGTCGGAACTGGTACCACACATAAGATGTCTCTCCCTCCCTGGAATATAAAGGTACACAAGGAAGTCTACGCTGGAATTAAGATGCTGGAATTAATGAATCACTACTATTAAGATGCAGGAATATTCTAAGTCCACCTCTCCCCCTATGATGCTATGGAATTAAACTAAGACGGAAAACTCCCAAGTCCCATAAATCCCAATGAATCATTGCCCTTCACTTTTTACATGTATTCGAATATAATAACGACAATCGTATACATTTATTAAGTATAACTTATGAGCACAAGGTATTTGTGACAGTGGTGATATAAAAAGATGTAAATATTTGAAGTACATGCATTAATAAAAGTTGACCATTTTCTTTTGTCTTGAAACTGAAATTATGAGTCTATAAACACTTTGTCTTTCTTCTTGACTGGTACTCCTTCATAGTCGTATATTTCGACGAAACGAACGTAAATAAGTATTGTAGCTTCCCCCGTCTTTCCTCAAATAAAAGATAAGATCTAATTACTCTAACCGCTCGGACATTATAAATAATGTCGGCTGACGAATATCCTGACAGATATAAAGAATCAGTTTCCCCAGCTGGGAAAGAGAATAATCCCGACGTAGAGGTCGAGGTTGGAGACGGAGGCGGGGGCGGCCGCCACAATATGTTATCACATGCGAGTGTATGTGCGCTTGGGGCGGGGAGGAAGGAGATGGTCCCTATTTGGAAAATTAAAACGCAAATAAAACATCTTATACTGCCCTTGCTTAGTCTTGAATCTGTAGCACCAGGGAAAGGTGACACCCGTTTTACCCTATTTATTTACTTATTCTTATTATTATTACTATTGTTATTATTAGGGCAAAGTATTATTCTCATGAACTCGATATCGTTGTGGTCTGCTTATATATCAAAAGTTATCACTATTTCTTTTAATGAAATAAATCCTACATTCTCAACATCAACAACAGACATACTGTATATCAGATGATCAATGACCAATTATCGAATTAATAGATGCAAACTGATATATTTCTTTTATTTTTATTACTATAAAGGCATTGGTGGATGTGCAGCCGGATGGTATGGCGCAAACTGTGACTTAGGTAATATAGAACAAAATAATCTCTCATCATGATACATTGATTGTTGACAGCTTAACGCAAAGAGGAGAGAATATTGTTAAAGTGTAATGGTTTACTTTACATTATATAAACAACAAGCACTAACACTTTTATTTTTGATGCAACGCAGTATCAAACTACAAGTAATCAAATATTTCACCAGAAATTATATAATGAAATACGGTATATTTTATATTAATGTATTGACCAAAGCATTCTAGAAAAATCAAGCCAAAGGATCACCCTTTTTTTTTATTTCCTATGTACCTTCCAGCGGTTTTAATATACTGAAGAAAGCAAACTGTAGAGATAACGCATAAATACAAAAATGAAATAGTTTGATAAGACATTAATTATGATATCAAGAGCTCCTTTATATTTCCTTGATGCCCATTCCATAGGATATTTTAGGCGCCTATAAAGTATAATCATATATTACCCTTGCTTTAGCCTATGCAAACTATGAATCACAACATTTTATGTGTGATTATTGAACTTATACTGTCAAGTTAGAGCAATACCAGTGATTAAATATTTCCTATCTTGAAACATTCTATTACAGACATAGATGAATGTGGACGTGGCAACCCGTGTCTGAACGGAGCATCTTGCATCAACACACCAGGTTCATACACATGTGAATGTGCTGATGGGTATACTGGAAACAACTGTGAATCAGGTACGCTAATGCTTGTATTTTAAAGATAGATACAACATCGAAAGTCTCTATCTAGGTTAAATGGTACAATATTTTAGATGATGGTAATAATTCTTATGTTGGCGGTACTTAACTGTCATCTATATGTTATCACATGCGAGTGTATGTGCGCTTGGGGCGGGGAGGAAGGAGATGGTCCCTATTTGGAAAATTAAAACGCAAATAAAACATCTTATACTGCCCTTGCTTAGTCTTGAATCTGTAGCACCAGGGAAAGATGACACCCATTTTACCCTATCTATTTACTTATTCTTATTATTATTACTATTGTTATTATTAGGGCAAAGTATTATTCTCATGAACTCGATATCGTTGTGGTCTGCTTATATATCAAAAGTTATCACTATTTCTTTTAATGAAATAAATCCTACATTCTCAACATCAACAACAGACATACTGTATATCAGATGATCAATGACCAATTATCGAATTAATAGATGCAAACTGATATATTTCTTTTATTTTTATTACTATAAAGGCATTGGTGGATGTGCAGCCGGATGGTATGGCGCAAACTGTGACTTAGGTAATATAGAACAAAATAATCTCTCATCATGATACATTGATTGTTGACAGCTTAACGCAAAGAGGAGAGAATATTGTTAAAGTGTAATGGTTTACTTTACATTATATAAACAACAAGCACTAACACTTTTATTTTTGATGCAACGCAGTATCAAACTACAAGTAATCAAATATTTCACCAGAAATTATATAATGAAATACGGTATATTTTATATTAATGTATTGACCAAAGCATTCTAGAAAAATCAAGCCAAAGGATCACCCTTTTCTTTTATTTCCTATGTACCTTCCAGCGGTTTTAATATACTGAAGAAAGCAAACTGTAGAGATAACGCATAAATACAAAAATGAAATAGTTTGATAAGACATTAATTATGATATCAAGAGCTCCTTTATATTTCCTTGATGCCCATTCCATAGGATATTTTAGGCGCCTATAAAGTATAATCATATATTACCCTTGCTTTAGCCTATGCAAACTATGAATCACAACATTTTATGTGTGATTATTGAACTTATACTGTCAAGTTAGAGCAATACCAGTGATTAAATATTTCCTATCTTGAAACATTCTATTACAGACATAGATGAATGTGGACGTGGCAACCCGTGTCTGAACGGAGCATCTTGCATCAACACACCAGGTTCATACACATGTGAATGTGCTGATGGGTATACTGGAAACAACTGTGAATCAGGTACGCTAATGCTTGTATTTTAAAGATAGATACAACATCGAAAGTCTCTATCTAGGTTAAATGGTACAATATTTTAGATGATGGTAATAATTCTTATGTTGGCGGTACTTAACTGTCATCTATATGTTATCACATGCGAGTGTATGTGCGCTTGGGGCGGGGAGGAAGGAGATGGTCCCTATTTGGAAAATTAAAACGCAAATAAAACATCTTATACTGCCCTTGCTTAGTCTTGAATCTGTAGCACCAGGAAAAGGTGACACCCATTTTACCCTATTTATTTACTTATTCTTATTATTATTACTATTGTTATTATAAGGGCAAAGTTTTATTCTCATGAATTCGATATCGTTGTGGTCTGCTTATATATCAAAAGTTATCACTATTTCTTTTAATGACATGAATCCTACATTGTCAACATCTACAACAGACATACTGTATACCAGATGATCAATGACCAATTATCGAATTAATAGATGCGAACTGATATATATCTTTTATTTTTACTACTTTAAAGGCATTGGTGGATGTGCAGCCGGATGGTACGGCGCAAACTGTGACTTGGGTAAGATAGAACAAAATAATCTCTCATCATGATACATTGATAGTTGACAGCTTAACGCAAAGAGAAGAGAATAATGTTAAAGTGCAATGGTTTACTTTACATTATATAAACAACCAGCACTTACTCTTTCATTGTGTATGCAACGCAGTATCAAACTACAAGTAATTAAATATTTCAGTTGAAACAATATAATGAAATACGGTTTATTTCATATTAATGTATTGACCAAAGCACCCTAGAAAAAGCAAGCCAAAGGATCTTTTTGTTTTCTTCTATTTCCTATGTAACTTCCAGCGGTTTTAATATACTGAAGAAAGCAAACTGTAGAGATACTGCATGAAGACAAAAATGAAATAGTTTGATTAGACATTAATTATGATATCAAGAGCTCCTCTATATTTCCTTGATGCCCATTCCATATGATATTTTAGGCGCCTATAAAGTATAATCATATATTACCCTTGCTTTAGCCCATGCAAGCTATGAATCACAACATACTATGTGTGATGATTAAACTTATACTGTCAAGTTAGAGCAATACCAGTGATTCAATATTTCCTATCTTGAAACATTCTATTACAGACATAGATGAGTGTGGACGTGGCAACCCGTGTCTAAACGGAGCATCTTGCATCAACACACCAGGTTCATACACATGTGAATGTGCTGATGGGTATACTGGAAACAACTGTGAATCTGGTACGCTAATGCTTGTATTTTAAAGATAGATACAACATCGAAAGTCTCTATCTAGGTTAAATGGTACAATATTTTAGATGATGGTAATAATTCTTATGTTGGCTGTAGTAGGCGTTAACGCAACCTTACATGAAGATGTGTATATCGCATATATTAAGCCGATATTGGAATCAATGTTGCTAATGTCTTGGCATTCACATTACAGAAATCCATGCATTTCTTGCAAAGTAGATTTGTCAAGAATAATTGTTGTGTTTGCGTTCTTACTATATTTTAAATATGTATGAATTCACTGTAATCTATATGTTATCACATGCGAGTGTATATGTGCTTGGGGCGGGGAGGAAGGAGATGGTCCCTATTTGGAAAATTAAAACTGAAATAAAACATTTTATACTGCCATCGCTTAGTCTTGACTCTGTAGCACCAGTGAAAGGTGGCACCCATTTAACCCTATTTACGTATTACTTATTATTATTATTATTATTATTATTAGTTTATTATTATTGTTATTACTATTATCATTAGGGCAAAGTATTATTCTCATGAAATCGATATCGTTGTGGTCTGCTTATATATAAAAAATGATCACTATTTCTTTTAATGAAATAAATCCTACATCCTTAACATCAACAACAGACATACTGTATACCAGATGATCAATAACCAATTATCGAAATAATCGATACACACTGATATATTTCTTTTATTTTTACTACTGTAAAGGTATTGGTGGATGTGCAGCCGGATGGTATGGCGCACACTGTGACTTAGGTAAGATAGAACAAAATAATCTTTCATCGTGATACATTGATGGTTGACATTTTAACGCAATGAGAAGATAATAATTTTAAAGTAAAATGATTTACTTAACAACATATAAACATCCAGCACTTACTCTTTCATTTTGTATGCAACGCAGAATCAAACTACAAGTAATAAATTATTTCATCTGAAACTATATCATGAAATTGGTTTATTTTATATTAATTTATGGACCATAGCACCCTAGGAAAAGCAAACCAAAGGATCATTTTTTCTATTTCCCATGCAACTTCCGGCGGTTTTAATATACTGAAGAAAGCATACTGTAGCGATACTGCATAAAGAAAAAAATGAAATAGTTTGATAAGACATTAGTTATGATATCAAGAGCTCTTTTATATTTCCTTTATGACCATTCCATAGGATATTCAAGGCGCCTATAAAGTATAATCATATATTACCCTGGCTTTAGCCCATGCAAACTATGAATCACAACATACTATGTGTGATAATTGAATTATACTGTCAAGTTAGAGCAATACCAGTGATTACATATTTCCTATCTTGAAACATTCTATTTCAGACATAGATGAGTGTGGACGTGGCAACCCGTGTCTGAACGGAGCATCTTGCATTAACACACCAGGTTCATACACATGTGAATGTGCTGATGGGTATACTGGAAACAACTGTGAATCTGGTACGCCAATGCTTGTACTTTAAAGATAGATACAACATCGAAAGTCTCTATATAGGTTAAAAAGTACAATATTTAAAATGATGGTAATAATTGTTATGTTGGCTGTAGTAGGGGTTAACGCAACCTTACATGGACATATGTATAGCGCAATTAATTTTTATTTTTGACATTGTTGCTAATGTCTTGGCAATCACAAATGACAGAAATCCATGCATTTCTTACAAAGTTCATCTGTCAACGATAATTGTTGTGTTTACGTTCCTACTATATTTTAAGTATCTATGAATTCACTGTCATTTATATATTATCGCATGCGTGTGTTTGTGTGCTGGGAGGGGGAGGAGATGGTCCGTTTAACAAAAATTAAAAGTAAAATATAACTTCATATACTCCCCTCGCTTAGTCTTAACTCTGTAGCACCAGCGAAAGGTGACGCCCATTTTTATCCAATTTATTTATTCCTTATTATTATGATTATTATTAGTAGTAGTATTTTATTATTATTATTATCATTGTTATTTTTATATTTTATTCTTTTATATTATGTCTTTCTACCCTCTTTACATTAAACATAAAACAAAAAGCTTAAAAGGTTATTTCCAAGACAATTCATCTAAACAGTAATTATGGCAAAAATCAAAGGAAGTTGATGAAAATTGCTTTTTTCATCAACGTGATAAACTGAGCCCTTATTAAATATTTATATGTACAAATACGTTTACAGGTGGCGGGTGCTTTGCTGGTTTCTGTCAAAATGGAGGAATATGCTTGGAGGGAACCGATTCTTTACAATGTTTTTGTCCTTCTGAGTTCATCGGCCTTCATTGTGAAATAAGTATGTAGATAAAGTATATAGGGCAGGGAGGAGTTAATATTTTGGAAAATAGATATAGGCCTATCAACCTTTTTCGATCTGATCATAGTCAATTAGTCTTTCATGTCATATCATGGCCTTAGCTTCATTTGATTAAACCAAACCTCTCCAGATAAGATATCCTATCTGAGTTATTTTCAAATCCTTGGGGAAAAGTGTTATATCTCATGAATTTGTTATCGTTGTTGTGTGCCTATATATCAAAAGATCAACTCTACAAAACATAATTTTCGTTTCGCTTGCCTTCGAATTGGTTGAAAAGAAAGTGTTTTTGTGAGGTGAGATGTCGCAAATTACAAAACGTATCTATCTTGTATCCCCGGGAGGAATCAACATTGCAGTTACCCGTCATCGTGTTTATGCCACCTTCATACTATGATTGTATTATTATCATTTAAACCATATTGTTGTTTGTTTCATTTACATTTATAAAGGTTTTGATGAATGCAGCATACCCGATGTTTGTAGCAATCATGGAGTTTGTACTAGTATGGAGGGATCTTACATTTGTACGTGTGAAGATGGATGGGGAGGCACAGAGTGTGATATAGGTAAGAACTGGATAATAGACGAATGATGTCTATATGTAGAGGGATAAGGAGGAGGATGACATGACCTTCCATGGAGATATGTATATCGCATATATTTAGCCGATATTGGGATCATTGTTGCTAATGTCATGGCAATCATTCATTACAGAAATCCTTGCATTTTTTGCAAGGTGCATATGTCAAGAATAATTGTTATGTTCACGTTTCTACTATATTTTAAGTATCTATAAATTCACCGTCATTTTTATATTCGATACCAGACACGTGATAAGAAAAAATAATATTTGTTCATTTTTATTAGCTGCCCACGATTGCAATACTCTTTACGGATGAATAGTTTGATGTGATTACGGTCTTTCTCCTACAGGTATTGAGAGCTGTCCCGTTGATTTCTGTCAAAATGGAGGAACATGCCTGGCGGACTTTAACTCTGTTACCTGTATATGTCCTTCAGGTTACATTGGCACTCAATGTGAATCAGGTTTGTTCTCTTATTCGGATTCTACAGGTTCTCATTTAAAACATCAATTAAAATCATCTTCTTGATTATGTTATGGGGTAATGTTCAGTTCTTTGCTGAAATCCATTTTATTTCATAGTTTAAACATTTCATTTCAAACTGTACTCCAGTCATTTTGGAAAGGATCACAAAGACTAAGAGAAAATGTCTCATCGACGAGTTTACGTAAATATCCCGTGTTGATGTTGTGTACCACAGCATTGTGTATTTGGTAGGAAAATAACAATTTGTCATGATCTTTTCCTATTGATATCAAGATTTTAATGAATGCAGTAAGCACTCTGTTTGCAACTACCACGGTGATTGCGTGAACACGGACGGATCTTACATATGTATATGTGAAGCTGGCTGGGAAGGCACTGACTGTGAAGTTGGTAAGACTTGTAATATTTCGCCACGATTCATTTTAAATTCATGACATGAATAGAGAGTATCAGTGTCGTGAATTATTTCAAGCCACCCATTCACTATACGATTAGATTACTAGTATATCTGATTCTTGGAATAACTTACAAAAGCATTGTAAATAGATTCATTCAAGCATGCAAAATCGTCCTGATTGATGTTACGAAAGGTGCTTTAAATTCTAAATAGCAATAATAGTTTGTGAATAATTTGTGAATTGTGATTAACTAGATGATTTATACTGTACGGTCAACCATGTTCGGCTTCCAACAAAGGGCAGACTTATTTGAAATGTACAATGTGCACAAAAGTAATGTTTTATGACGATTAATACTATTTTGATCCAGTTTCGGAAATCTGAAACCTAACACAACAATAACAAGTTCTTTGTTTTGTGAATATGAATCCCAGTAAAAACGAAAATAATAGGGAGATGGTCCCTTTAAAAAAATTGATACTCAAATCTAACTTCCTTACCTGCTGCAGCTATAAGAGAATGTGGATATCGACCAGGCTTCTCTTCGTCCCGTCCTCGTATCATCGGTGGTTCACCGACTCAGCTCGGGGACTGGCCCTGGATGATTTCTCTCAGAGATCGCTCCAATGTTCATCGATGTGCTGCTGTAGTCATCAACAGTACCACAGCTGTCACTGCAGCACATTGCGTGTACGTTTCATTTTTTTGAGCAAATATCTAGCGGGGGGGGGGGGGGGTCGTTATTTCCATTGACTCAGCCTTGAATGAGCTCAGATTATCCTAAGTATTATTTCGAAAGTTTTACATTTTTATAGATATGAACTCAAAAAGATATTTTCTTTGATTCCTCTATTTCATCATTTTTTATATTTACTCTCTAGAATGTGATTTATTTACATATATCTACATTTTGGCAAATCAAAAGGAAAGTAAATATTGTAGTCCTAAATCTGGTAACACATGTTGGTAATTATTTATTTAAAACCTATGATGTTTTTGGAAGAACATGGCGATGCTGAATAACAGGTGCGAGACCTTTGTGTAGGTCTGAAGCGTATACTGATACTTACAAATGCTCGGGTCTTCATTTCATTAACAAAAATGTAAATTCCTCTTAATTTACTTCGTTTACACTTACCTAAAGTGGCCCTGTATAAATGACGATTGATTGCGAATATTTGATGTTTTCAGAGACAAATTTGAAACAGCGGTTCTGGGTGATCTGAAACTGTCCATGACCTCACCATATCACATGGAGTTAGAGATAATAGGCTTAGCCCATCCTGACTACGACAGTGAAACCATAGCAAATGACATCGGGATCATCAAGTTCAAGACTCCGATCAAGTTTGTCAATGATTACATCAGTCCTATCTGCTTAGGAGTGCACGATGATTATACCCAGTACAAGACTTGCTATATCACTGGATGGGGCCATACGGACGAAGGTGTTGAGACGTTCACTAATATTAGTTTTATTGCAATAACTTTATTGAATTGTTATTTTCATGATTCATTTACGAGAACGGTATAATACAACTACACCTTCTTAACTATGACTATGATTAACGCTCACCGATCTTCTCCGATATATCACTCGAAGATAAGAAATATATAAATGAATGAACGACCGCGACTGTTTTTTTTAAATATCAAACGAAGTTGATTTCAATAGTCTTGTACGTCACCTTTTGAAATGGGGGAACATGGCAATGACGTATTGGATATTGGAAGAAAAAGTTTGTTACACCGGTAGCAAAAAGTAATATATGTATTTGTGTGATACACTAAAAAATATGAATTGAACCTCACTTTGTGTTTTAGTCTCATGTATGTTAATTTTGCAATCACCAGCTTTTAAGCGGTGTACATATTTGATACAAGCAAATTAATAATATGTAGGCGTATATTTTATGTCTCTAATGGACATTTAGAAACTTCAAGCCCGTACTTTAATACTCTATTATTGTGTATTTTATACATTATAGGCGGTGCTGTATCTGACACACTACAAGAAGCTACTGTAAATCTATTTAATCATTCGGAGTGTCAAGAACGGTACTACGACCGCCCGATCACACCAGGCATGCTTTGCGCAGGTCATTTGTCAGGTCAGATGGATGCATGTCAGGTAAGTTGGTACCTTATCGCGTGCCAATGATATTGAGTTCTTTAGATACCTGGATAATTCAGCCTCTTGCTCCCCTTCATGCTGACTACCTTGAAGTAACTTTACACAGTTCTATTCACGTGAATTCAATGCACGTGACTACAATATATAAAATTATTGAATATATACCTTTTACATCTACTTTTGCTGCAACATTTAATTGACTTAAACAGGGTGGAATACTCTTGTGCATCTCATAATATGTTGTAGCTTTCTACTAAGGAATAGGAAGCATCCCATAGCGAATAAAAACTATCAGGTCCCAGACTATATAGTGTGAGTAAAAAAAAAGTTCACATACCACACAAATATGATACCAAATGATTCGGGATAAAACACTCTTTCTTGAGATGTATAATAATTTACTGTTCAAAGATGATTTTTAAAATAATTAGCAATTTTTAAGGTGTAATTTTTGTTTTACTCACACGGTAATGCCAACTTTTTTCAACATTATACAATGCCATGATACGTGTGATGTGTGTTCTGTCAAACCAAGGTAATACTGTATGACACCTCTACCATGTCCAGTGTTTGGATTAAAATGGGCATCTTCATCTTATAATTATTTATAAAAAAAAATTATTAAAAAGAATACCATGCATTCATAGATGAACATTGTACTATGTTTTCCTTCGAACCAGGGTGATACCGGTGGACCTCTCCAGTGTGAAGATCAATATGGCCGCTTTCATCTGGTGGGTATCACAAGCTTTGGCTACGGCTGCGGGAGACCAAACTTCCCTGGTGTCTACACCAAGGTTTCGCATTACAGTCAATTTATAAATTCCACAAGGCATACAATTCCAGATAGTAAGTATCTTCATAGCAGCAGAATGTAATTCATCAATGTATTAATGTAAGCGTTTATAGATTGAACTCTAGGATATGTTTGCAGATGTAGGAGTGACATCCTCATTTGAACTATTCTTTAGGCGAATGCCCAATTGTTCTCGAAAACTTGGAACATTTTGAAACTTTCTTGTACGTTTTCGGCCGTAGGATTTCTTTCAAAATTTCTTGGTTGTTCATGGGAAAATATAAACACATTGTTCTTCGAAATATACTTTTCATTTTTAGAGCGACATACCTTAATTTTAGGCGCCCATTCGGAGTACAATGTAAAAATGACCCATACTCAAGTTTGATGAATGTTGTTTCTTATTTGTTTTCAATACCTTTATTTAAATGATCATGTATTGAAGCCTAAATGCGAAAAGTTGGAAAGCAATTATGTGGTAAAGATGCAGATGATATATATTTTTACTCGAATTTCTTAACTACTCACTGATTACTCTCTCGTATTCCCTTTTTAGAGCACGACGAAGGTGTAAGCCATCTTACTCTTAGTTTGGGTGTTTCTGCGGATTTAAACTTTCCAGGGCCCTTCTTCCCACTGGACCCTTACCGTAACTACATTGGTAGGATCCTGATCATCACAACACACATCGCGAACACAATTGACTTAACCTTTTCCTTCGTGAGCATGGAACGACCATTTGACAAGCTTTACATCGGATACGGTGGGAATCCTAATGATCTCAGCTCCGTCATTTCGGATACTGATGGAGCCTTCGGAACTTTTTATCGGATCGCAAACCAGAGTGCCTGGATGAGGATCGTGTCTGATGGGGAGGTGGGAGGCTTTCATGCGACTGTTGATGCCATATATATTACAGGTGAATTAGAATACGAAGAGTTGGCATACTTTTATGCATTGCTTTTTAATTCAATCAAAGACTGTCAAATACTAAAAGATGTGGGTAAACGTCGAAAAGTTGTACAAAATTGTATTATTAATTTAATCAAAGACAATAAAAAGTAAATAAATAGTTTCACTTCGAATCGGAACTAAAAGATAATACAAACTTACTTTGTGTATTTGTATGGGATTTATCTGACTTAATCATCTTTCTATCTTGAAAGCTTTTAAAATAGTAATAGACCATTTTCGAAATGTAATCAAATTTAATGCATAAATCTTTGTTAAGTGCCATGATACCAATTATTTTTGTATTTCAATTGTCAGATTACAAATTGGATACATTATTTGTTGTGAGGAAGGACAAATATTATGACTTTTCCTACATAACAACACGGTATGTATGCAATTCGCATTCTGACTATTGAAATACAATTATTCGTAACAATTAAATGAACACATTTGTAACGAGGCACTTAACAAATAATTATGCATTTAGTTTTGATTACATTACGAATATGGCCTATTAAAAGAAAATTGTAAAAAATGAAGGAGTTAGACGATTCAGCATCTAGTTACGAGATATTCCTTTGTTTGTCTATAATAAATTGTGTTCCTTCGTTATATTCTGGGATGAATAAACATATTTAATGACCGGATATAATTTCCTTATCATAAGATCCATCGGAGGCATCGTGTAACAACCACTCATGCGATGCTGCGTGTGAAGAATTTTCATCGGGATACGTTTGCCTTGGTAAGTTTCGATTTTGAGATACACATTTATCATATGTTTCCTAAACAGTTGTCCTAAATTATTAGTGTATTCTGTTTGTCCAAGCAACTCAAAACCGCATGGCAATATTTAAAGGTAAAGACCAGTATTGGAAACACCCCAATTTCAAAAAAATGAAATGGAAGCTCTCATTACCAATCATGTGAAAGAATATGTTTTGACTAATACATGATGCTAAAAAATTTGCCGGGAAACCGCCTACTTATTCATATATTTGGTAAATTTGTTTCTCTCATGGTCTGTGAGAGATATAGGGTAGTCCCATATACATCTTTCTGTGTATAGTGCTTGTAACTTTACGAAGAATGGGCCAAATTTCTTATCATTTTGATGATTCCAGAACCTTGCAGATGCTAGATGCTAGATGATCAACCTTTTCTGATCGATTCCACAACGTTTCTTTCACAATGCAATCACATGGCCATAACTGGTCTTTACCTTTAAAAGGCACACTTCTCGCGAAATGTACTGTCGTTAAAACATTTGATGACCGTGATTGCGGTACTAAAGTTTTAATTCACCATTAAGAAGGCCAAGGAGAGACATCATTTTTAGAATTATAGATTTACAATTTTAGCATGTTGTACCCAACACTGTAAATATGGTATCCAATATTTTAAAGTGTCAACCTAGGAGTCGAAATAGTTGTCATTCCTCATGCCTTTTAAATGTGTGACTTTAAAGTGTGAGTTTTAAAAGGGATGATGGCAGACTCTTTTCATTTCTTACTTTTGAAATATCAAAGATCCGGATCATTTTTCGATGCTTTCGGTCAACTGTAATTTTGAGCATTCCCTGTGTGGTTGGGATCAAGTGAGTGAAGGGGATGATATCGACTGGATTCGAGGATCACCCAGGACAGAGAGTGATCATACCTATGGCAACTCAAGTAAGTTCCCTGTATATGTTCTGTTTATTTCCCTGTGTTTGATATGGATATTGATGAAGAAGATCGGTTGTACTGCTAAGTAGTTCATTTAAGACAAGATGGCTGATGCCAACGATAATGTACATTATAGGATTGGTGTTATAATATCGATATAGCGGGGCGTCTCCTACCAATTTAAATTGAGAAAACGCCATTAAAATTTTTTGTTCATTCATAGTTTATACTTCATTTAGCTTTAGCACTTTCTTGAATTAAACCTTACCTGTATAATTAATATGCTTATACTTGATTACTTTATGGTCCGCTGTTCGAGTCCCGCCGCGACTCTAATTTCTTTAAGCAATACGTTTGCTGCTATAGGTATTTTGTATTACTATATAGTCCTGTATAGTAGATGGGTACCTGGTAGGGATTTATTCATATAATACTTACAGCGCCTAAGGGCAGCTAGGTTCGATATAGCAAATGTAATAATATTACGTTGTAGGCGCCTTGGAAATTCATCGGTAAGGATACGCGAGAAATATGAATGTAGATATCATTATCATCATTGTTGTTTTATTACTATACTATTACTACACTACTACTACAACTACTTCTGCTACTACTACTACAAATACTACTACTACAGCTGCTACTACTAGTATTACTGCTACTGCTATTACTACTACTGCTACCATTATTACAATTTAACTACTACTACTACTGCTATTACTACTACTTCTACTACCTGGGTACAGGTAGGCCTTTCAATTTATATTCTTATACACGTATAACTCCTTTTTTTATCTTGGTAAATCGGTTGATTCCAGGTGGGTATTACTTATTCACCGAAACCTTATTCGCGAGCAACGACCGTATTTGTAGGCTCATCAGTCCAAGGATCACACCTCATAGCCCCTTATGCTTCAGCTTCTATTACAACATGCACGGTACAGGCATTGGGACGCTCAGCATTATCTATCTTGACGAACACAACATGACGACACAGCTCCTGTGGAACACGTCAGGATCGAGGGGGTACATGTGGCTAGTAGGTGAGGTAGATCTCAGTGAGCTGGGGCCAGGTTGGATCATCGTTGAAGGTACCGGTCACATGGCGGTCGATGACTTCAGACTTACCGACAATTGTTTCCCACGAGTTGGTACGTATGCCTTCGATTGTATATATCAATTTCATAATCGAGTTTTCCTTGTTTTTATGTCAATAAAGATTCTCTTTGACTGTCCAGTTTTTCTAACGTGTTGATTTTTTTCTCCAATTGCTGTGTGTCTATTCGAAGCAAGTTGTTCTGGGACCGGACTTAGCCCTTTTTGAGGATCTTTAATCTTTTTTCTTCATTGATGTATTTGCTTCGAAATATAGATGTTGCTTTTTTTTTTTTTTTAATCTATGAAGAACAAAACATAATACATCAGTTTTCATAACTTCTGTCAAACGTTCTTGGTAAATTTACATTACTTGATAACAAACTGGATCAATGATCTTTTATATTTCTCCCAGGTGATGAAGACAGTTACACAGTACTCCGACCTGGTTCGCCGATTTATGTAACATCACCTGACTTTCCGAATTCATATCCCCCAAACATCACCCGTACATTGCAGTTCCGTGTACAAAATGGAACGGGGGCTCACATCGTCTTTGAATCATTATCGTTGGAACCTGTGTTCGATACGCTCGCTGTAGGGAGGGGTCCTGACCCCACGAACCAGAGCACCGTTGTCTTTGAACTCTCCGAAGAACCTAACGGACAGCTTATTTCGGGCTTTATACCTGAACGGGAGTTCTGGTTCGTATTCAAGAGTGATTGGACAGTCTCGAGAGACGGATTCAGAGCTGTGCTCGTAGCTATCGATGGCAGTAAGTTGCGCCTTTTTAGTAACTCTATTCAAATAGTCCACGTAGAGTCTATTGAGTCTGTGCTGGTGCTAGTTCAAGTAGAGCACCTTCACTTTACTATTTTTTACGGAGCACAATATTTTTGTTTTCTTAGTGAGATTCCACCGTTGTGAAGCTGATATAACAAATTAGCATGGTTTAAAAAATTCTTATTGTCTGGTTAATGTGAGAATTCATGAATTTGAAAGCTTCATAGTAATCTTGAAATTATATGAACATTAAATTTTATTATTGCATTATAGTCTTATACTCATTAAAATCAATAAATATCTTTACAAAAACCACATTGCTGCATCAGAAAACCTTTATTAGGCCCATAATTGATTCCAATATCTAATACTGGAGCCAACACACACGTATCCAGAGTTATAAAGGCCAACCGGTGCCATGAGACAGGTTTCACTTAATTGTTTAGAATTGAGCTCATTCTTATAGTTTTTTCCGTTTTGGATGTTGAGTAGGCATTAAACACAAGACATTTAAGTATTGTTCCTTGTAGCTGTAGAGTGTATTATAAAGACGTGACCAATACAAACATTTCGTTTCAGATTTGACAAATCCTCAACCCTGGGAGTCAACTCCATCCCCATCACAAACAACTCCTGGTACGTTATCAACATTCTAATATTGATAAACACGATCGTGAATACGTTCGCAAAAGCGACCTACGGCAACAAATAGCCATGTGTGAAACCTATTGAAATAAGCGAACGTGACAGTGATTTGGTTTAGGCGAAAACACTTTGTAGAGTTTCATGTTTGATTTGATACGATTTCTGCATTTTCCCAAATACAATAACTAAAAAAGAAAGAACATGTGAACGTAAGGTATAATAATAAATATCCAAACAATAATACATTAATTTTGAAATTTTGTTTACATAATAACGAACTTAGCATTTCTATAACATATAATTATAAATTCAAATTATTGTTCGAACTATCCTTGGAAAAAGTGCAAGAGACCGCACTCATAGGCATGCTTGACTAGGATGGTGGCCTCAAAAGAAAAATCTTAAAGTGAAGCTTAAAATGAAATTGTGTTCATTCGATCTTTGTTTATGAGTTTGTGAGTGTATCGTGTATGTGTGTGTGTGTGTGTGTGTATGTGTGTGCGTGCGTGCGTGCGCGTGTGTGTGTATCTGTGTTTGTATGTGTGTAGCGAATGGTGGATGTGCACGAAGCTTTGTGTGGTATGGTGAAGTAGAAACAAATGTAGCCTTTTCAATAAATCGCTTTAGATGCAATGGTTCTTAATTGATCTATCTTTGCTTTCTCTTTGATTCACATTATATCATAGGGCTGGCTCCTGATAACATCTATCTTTCCCCAGGAAATACCACTGTTATTACTTCACCAAATTATCCCAATTCGTACCACAACAACGCCGAAGTTTTGTGGCATGTCATTACGAGCTCAGGGTATGGTTTTGTGGTGAATATCACGGAGTTTCAGACAGAGCCGTGCTGTGACTCTCTAACCATCTACACTGGAGGAACACCGAATTTTGATGAAAAAGTACAGATAACCAGCTTGAGAGGAAATTATTATGGTTCACCTTTCATAGTATATGGAAGCAATCTTTGGCTGAATTTTAGTAGTGACTTTTTAGTCGTTTCCCAAGGCTTCAGAGCAGAAATCAATACCATCCAATTGCCTGGTAAGTGTGTACTTATTCATGTCGATTTCGCAACTATTTCATTGTCATCTTTATCATTATATATAACCAATCTGTGGTCAGCAACGCCATTTATGATTTCAACGCATTTCCGACTCATTAAAGACTGATGATAGCATAGAATATTATAAGCACGTGCATTAATGTTATATTCACATTTCTCTCGTTCCACACATCCTTAACTTGGTTCAGTAATTAATTAGGTTATCAAAAGAGTTTGTTTCACTTTCCACCTTGATATGACACTTTACAAATACCGCTAAAAAACAGAGATGTAGAAACTTGTAAATTATCCAGTTATACGGGAGCGAGAGGGGTGGGGGGGGGGGGGGGTGGGTGGTAGAGCATCTTTTATTTAGAGTAGATGATTATGCACATATATTCTAATTGATCTTACCCTGTAATGAGGTGTGTTATTACAATGTAATCACTACGTACCAGAGTTAGTTTTCCCCGGGGCTTTCTGTCACGGCACATAAATAAAAACGCATCAAAACAAATGTAGGCTCGTTACCTAACATTCTGAATTGAGATAAACTAGCACTCACTTTCGAAGGCGTTATATGTTCTTTCATTACTCGTTGTTATAATTTGCTGACATCATGACGAATGTTGTCTTAGATTGCAACCATGGCGACGGTTTCCGATGCCCGGATAGTCGATGTATACCTAGTGATTTTGAATGCAATGGCGTTGATGACTGCGGAGACTTTACTGATGAAACAGATTGCCGTAAGATACCCAATTTCGCTCTTTCTCTAAGTTTTAACACTCGAATTATGATAAAAAGTTTTTTTTGCTGTATCAGAAAACCTTTACTAGGCCCATAATTGTTTCCAATATCTTTTACTGGAGCCATCACACATGTATCTAGAGTTTTAAAAGGACAACGAGTACCATCAGACAAGTTTCTCCAATTTTTTGAGAACGAACATTTTTCCTATAGTTTTTCAGTTTGGGATGTTGATTAGGCATTAAACACAAGATATTCAAGTATTGATATGTGTAATTGTAGAGTGACTTTTAAAGACGTGACCAATACAAACATTTCGTTTCAGATCTGACAAACCCTCAACCCTGGGAGTCAACTCTATCCCCATCACAGACAACTCCTGGTACGTTATCAACATTCTACTATTGATAAACACGATCGCGAATACCTTCGCAAAAGCGACCTACGGCAACAAATAGCCATATGTGAAACCTATTGAAATAAGCGAACGTGACAGTGATTTGGTTTAGGCGAAAACACTTTGTAGAGTGTCATGTTTGATTTGATACGATTTCTGCATTTTCCCAAATACAATAACTGAAAAAGAAAGAACATGTAAACGTAAGGTATAATAATAAATATCCAAACAATAATAAATTAATTTTGAAATGTTGTTTCCATAATAACGAACTTAGCATTTCTATAACATATAATTATAAATTCAAATTATTGTTCGAACTATCCTTGGAAAAAGTGCAAGAGACCGCACTCATAGGCATGCTTGACTAGGATGGCGGCCTCAAAAGAAAAATCTTTAAGTGAAGCTTAAAGATAAAGACCAGTTAAGGTCATGTGATTGCATTGTGAAAGAAACGTTGTGGAATCGATCCGAAAAAGTTGATCATCTAGCATATAAGTATTGGTGTGTACTGCAAGGTTCTGGAATCATCAAAATGATAAGAAATTTGGCCCAGTCTTGGTAAAGTTACAAGCACTGTACACAGAAAGATGTATATGGGACTACGCACACGTGCGCGACACGTGCGTTTATCTCTCACATCCCAATAGATAAACTAATTTACCAAATATATCAGTAGGCGGGGTCCCGGCAAAATTGTTATCATATATTAGTCAAAACATATTCTTTCACATGATTGGTAATAAGAGCTTCCATTTCATTTTTTGAAATTGGAGCGTTTCCAATACTGGTCTTTACCTTTTAAATAAAATTGTGTTCATTCGAGCTTGAGAGGAAATCATTCTAGTACACCTCCTATCATAGTTTATGGAAGCGATCTTTAGCTGAATTTTAGTAGTGACTTTTCAGTTGTTTCCCAAGGCTTCAAAGCAGAAATCAATACCATCCAATTGCCTGGTAAGTGGGTACTTTATCATTTCAATTCGCAACTTTAAAAAAAATAATAATTGAGAAGTTGTTATTGATCCAATAACATTTTTACATTCAACATAGACATAATACAAATATACATATATTTATATCCATTTAACAACAATAAATCAAAGAAGAAATCAAATGGATCTATAGTATAAAGAATAGAAAAACATCAGCGATCGTCAAAATCCCCCTCCCTAGAACAAAAAAGGATTTCCGTCAGCGTTCTATTATCTGCTAAACTGCATAAATGGGATTATGTTTTAAAAACTGGACATTTAGCGCCATTTTTCATTGTGCCTATCTATTTTGTTGCGTCTTTCAGCAATAACCCTTTCTACCGTCTGAAAATACTTAACATAATGTACACAAATAATGAACGTTGGGCATGTTTTCTGTAATGATACACCTCAAGATATATTCCTTTCCTAACAAAATCAGGAAATTAAAGGTGAAAACGTTTCTTACTTTGACAAGCTTGGTCAGCCCAAACAGGATATTTTTAGTTGGCAAAATCACGGGTAGAGAGAGTTCCGAAAAGCTCTGCTTTGGCATAACCAAAACTGTTCTATAACTTTATATAAAACAAAACGGTGTTCAATATTTTCATCATCATTATTACAAAAGTAGGAAGCTGCATTTTCAATTCTCTTAATACGAACCAACCAGACTTTAGTTAATATTAGATTATGGATGATTTTTAACTGACACATTCGTAATGTTGTATCTATTGTGAGCATAAATGGCAACTTAAAAAACTCAACATCGGTGGAATTAATGAAGGCTGTACAGATCATTGAGTTAGGCGAAAGTAGACGAAATATATGGATTGTTAAATTGTCTACACATATAATACATTTGCCCTTTGGACACGTCAACAGAATTTCTAACGATACCATCTCTAGTTACAGTTGGAATGGGGCTTAAAGGAAGCATAAAAGTGTGGAAGTTTTGTTGAATAAAAAATGTTTCCATGTAGAGGGGAGTTTCTTGTAACAGTCTAACAAAGTAAAATATTCTACAGACGAAAGAACTTTTTCTTTTGCATCTTTCCTATCATAGGTCGCCCGTATATATCTAGCATGTGCGCGATTTTCACAATTCCTTTGTCAAAAGTACTTGACTTGAAAATAGTTTTACCATCAAGAAGTTGTGGTTACTGGAAATTACCGTGTGATATGATCTACATCCCAAAGGTATCATCCCTCATCACAAAGCGAAACGTATTTGTTAACTTCAAATATCTGTTTTAATGGCAGGAGGAGATTTCTACCTCAACCTCGGAGATTCTTGGATCTTCACGTCGCCCAACTACCCATCCAATTACCAAAATTCACTCAGCGTCTCATGGACCGTCCATTCTCAACCAGGCAATGGCTTGATGATAACGTTCATAGACTTCGATGTTGAGCAGAGTTATGATTTCTTATTCATTGAATCATTGAATGCTACCGACGGGAGAGTGCGAATCGCATCTTTGACGGGGTCTTTTCTTCCTAGAAATATTCACGTCAACGTCTCGCCGATACAGATCCGTTTTGCCAGTGATTATGAAACTATCCAAAAAGGTTTCAGCCTTCGAGTGACATCTATACCAGGTTGTTATATCACCTTTCCAATTTAAGTTTTTTTCGTGAATTCCAGCAGCATTGGCATTTTTGAAAGATGTGTGTATCCAGGCGCGTACACAGGGGGGGGGGGGGGGGGGGGGGGGGGGGGGTTGGGGATTAACCCCCTTTGGTATTTTAATATGTTGTGTAAACCCCCCCCCCCCATAACCCCCTAAAACACCCCTTTTTTAATTTTTTTATTAAAAAATAAAAATAAAAAATTTTGAGACCAAAAAAAAAGAAAAAAAGTGACCTCTTACCCCCCCCCCGTTTATTCAGCGGCTGGCTGAGTCGTTGCGAAATTTTCGGCCCGATTTATAAATGTTAAAACCCCCCCCCCCCCCCCCCCCCTTGAAAAAATCCTGCGTACGCGCCTGTGTGTATCTGTATAATTTTGATGGATTTCGAAACGTAGCGCTGATCCATAATGGCAATGGCACAATATATTTCCATTATTATGATGATTGTTGTTGAATGTACTAGTATACACCAGTTTACAGTTGTATCAGTGCGCATGAGCAGACAGATGACCTCGGGTCATTGGCCCCGGAACAGGGCCAAATTGGCCCTGTTCCGGGGCCAATGACCTCTGACCTCTGGTATTTATGCGTAAATTAAGATTGCGCCCATGCAAATGATGATATGCGCGCACAACGCAGCGCGCAGGCAGTGATATCATCATAATTTGCATGGGCGCAATCTTAATTTACGCATAAATACATGACCTCTAGGTCATTGGCCTTGTTTAAAATGGCGCACACAACTGTAAACTGGTGTATTGTTATCATAAATATTATTGTTGTTATAGTTGTTGTTTTTGTTATTATTATTATAATCTATATTATAATCAATAATATTTGTTTATTTACACTATTATTACTATAATTACCATCATCGTATTATTATCATATACCTTCATATTATTGTTGACATCTATATTAACATCATCATTGTCACACCATCATTATTGGCATCTTCCTTTTATCAAAGTCATTATAAATATTATTTATCATTATTTCGTTATGTTCAGGAGGGTGTAATGACACAGAATGCTCAACAGGTGTATGCATCAGCCGGTCTACGATGTGTGATGACTATAATGACTGCGGAGATTTCAGCGATGAAGAGTATTGCCGTAAGAATGTTTGTTATTATTTCCTTGATCAGTAACATACACTAATTAACAAAATACATATACGTCCGATATTCCCATGTCAGATGTATTGACACAATAGAACTGCTCTTTCCTGACGTTCTCCTTTGATCTTGCAAAAAAGATTAAAAATATAAAAAAACATTATTTATAAGGTGAAGGACAAACTTACAATGTCTTATCGAATAAACATATCGTAAGACGAAAACAATAATATTTATATTGATCACACACGTATGACACCAAGCTCATTATTTCGAACCACGTATATGAAACGTGGTCTCCAATTTTCAGATGTAACTATTGGTTTCTGGATAACGTGATTTCCAAAATGTCTTTTTTATTTTATTTATTTTTATTTTGTTATTTTGCCTGGATAATACTTACAATTATATAATTATACTGAGATTCATTTATTGTTTATCACAAGTTGAGGCGTGTATACTTGGTTTGCAGATTTAGCGTTATCATTCATTTATGTTATTATCGCGGCAAATCGTCAAAATTGCATCCTCCCCCCCCCCCATTAAATCGTCGAACAGTTTCTTTCCAATTTGAAAACCCTACGGACGTCACAAACTACTTTAAATTAAATGTTGATCTTTGATTCTCACCAACAGCTCCGTGTACGGACATACCTTCATCATGTAGGAGTATAGTACCTTACAGCGAGACTTACTTTCCTCATAGATATGCTGAGAGTTTAGAAGCAGCTATGTATACAATGTACCAGGTATACATAATAGAGTTGCAAATTATAAATTTCTCACATTGCTTAAATATATAATGATTGTATTGAAGTGTCTTACCTGTTCAAATGCATTAATCGACAAACTTAGACAAAAAGATGGTAATGATTTTTTGAGTACGCATTAAACAATTTTGAACTACATTATTGTCCTTATATATATTTTTTGTTGTTATTTTGGTTGTCTTTACCTTATTTTCTCATCTTTAGATTATATGGTTTTGCTGTGATCTTCGTTAGTACAATATTTCAATGTTCATACCAAAATTGATTTCTTGCAGACTGAAGTTTAAAGTTTTATATTTATTAGTTCAATATTTTCTCAGTGATAGAAAGGCTTCAAAGGTACCGCTTGAAGATACCATGCGCATTAACTATATGTCACTGTTTACAAGTCTACTGTCCCCAAGTACTCTAACCGGAATAAAAAATGTATGATGGGAACACAAAATTTAAGCTTGAAGCTTGTATTGATAATTATGGTATGACATTGTCGGACTAATCAATTTTCTGTTTACATTGTTTTGAGATGTTGTTTGATGCGTTGTCTAATTCTGAGTTAAACAGTTTGTGTTGTGATGGTATTATTCCTATTAGATCCAGAGTACACCTGGAACAGTCATGTCCTCTAGAATGCTCGAGACGTTATGTCGAACGTTTTACCCACAATGCATCCATCATGGACCCACCAAGAGAGCCTGCCGATCGGCTTGTATTGAACTGGAAGAAGAATTTCGTGTCCCCTACGAGCTATACATTGGTGAGGATTGGCCTCTTGATTGTAATGGTCTCCCAGACTCAATAGGCAGCTCCGATGGATCGTGCACAGAACCCGATGGAGGTAGGATATTTATATTATTCATTGGTTTGAAATAAAGTGGGATGAAATAAAACAAAATAGTCTTAATTTGGCAACTTTGTAGAGAAGAACAAACAATACAACATACAACACAATAATCATCTGTACTAAAGTAACTGCTTTTGTCACATTATTACCTGTTTGGGTGGAGTTCTTATGGTTTTATTCGACGTGCTAATGTGATGGATCCCGTGACGTAATCTGGTAAATTGATGCGTGTAATTCTTGCGCCACAAATTTTCGTGATAAATCCATATAAGCGAATGTCAGTGTACATAACAACTAGTTGTGCCTGTAGCTATAGATCATCGAATGAAATTGTGATGTCATTGTAGATTTTAAATCGAAAATGTTGATTCTTGTGGTATTATTGCAAACAAATTTATTGTCATTAATTTATTAAAAACAAAGGATATTTCGTATCAAACAGAATTATAAAAAGCAATGAAGTGTATAAATATAATACGTGAATAAAAGATCATATGGAAATTTCCTTGGGTCAAACCAGAGTCATGGATCCAACAAGCCCAAGTCACTCCATGATTTTGGTCGAGCCAAATGCTTACTATATAACAAAAGTAAGAAGTGGACTGCATGCACTGCAGCTATCGAACTACTGAATTTGATGGGCCGTCTTGTTTAATATGCAATATCAAAAACAGACCCAAAGGGTGAGGACGTAGCTGTAAGGCCAAAAAAAAATTGTTTGGTTGTAATCGATTGCTTTTCTGGCGGGCGGGCGGATTTTTTTTTTTCCCCCATTTTTTTTTTTTTTAAATATTTTTTTTCCATAAAAAAAAATAATCATTGGGATTGTCAAGCATTTAAACAAACACAGTCTATAAAATACATTAATATGGTAAAAGACGAGTTTAATGTACAATGAATATCAAGACCAACGCAGAAAGTATTTTGGGCTTTGAAATACAGCACCTTTTGAACCTCCATTGTACTACTTATAGCTACTTGCGCCCTCTATGTAGCAAACAATGCCTAATCGGTGACCATTGGTCCCCCATGATCCTCTTTATCTTATATTAACTGAGAGCTGATTTGATGAGATAACCACCTGTCCAGTGACCTTGAAGGGTGGTCTAATCCCTCCTGTAAACTAGTACAGATGGGCTTTAAAATGAGTTTACGAATGCTCAGAACCTGATTTAAATGAACGGCATTTTGACATAGAAAAATAAAAATGGTAAGTTTAATATATACCTAATTGCGTACTGAAAAGTCAAAACTGGCAACGGGACGCATTTTGATCCTTGCAAATGCATAAAATGGTGTGTTTGACATTTAAGATTGCTCCCCCAAAACAATTAAATTAAAAAAATAAAATTAAAAAAAAATTGAATTAAAAAAAAAAAATGAATTAAAAAAAAAAAAAATATTAAAAAAAAATATTAAAAAAGGCGAGCGGCCCGAAAATGACGAGCGGGCGGTCGAGGACAACCAAATGATTTTTTTCGGGCCTAATGACCAAGGTATCAGTGTACCATTTTACTATTAAATAGAATCCATAATATGATTACTTCTTCGGTCATGTAACTCCTAGACTTAACTACCACAACTGATGTTAATTTGCATGGTGGTTTATCTTTTATTTGAAATGGACTTAGATTTCCTCAACACAACGATCTGTGGCACCCGTCCAGCGTACACCCCAGACCAGTCCCGAATAGTTGGCGGGGTCAACGCTAAAGAAGGGGAATTCCCCTGGATGGTGTACCTTTATGACCTTCGTCAGGGTCAGTTCTGCGGCGGTACCCTTATAGGACATGAGTGGGTCGTCACCGCAGCGCATTGCATGTGAGTACCCGACTAGACCGATTCCTCTACTTAAAGATTGCCCGTAGTGGTAATTGATCAACACACATACACACTTAAAGAATACTCCAAATAAATTGTACTCATTTGCAAGTCACAGGACTGATATCGAGTCACTATACTAGGTCGTATCATCAAACAGCTTGATGAAATTCGTATTACTCCTGACTGTGTACATTTACAACGACGGGTGGGAGGGGGGGGGGTGGGGGGAGGTGTACACGACCGGATCATTGCTTCTCATTTAAATATGACACATTTCATTATAAACAAATGTCATGAATAAAGACACATTGATGCACTTCTCCTTGATTTCGTTGGATAGAGACCCTCGCTTTTCCTTGGATCGCATTGTGATAGGGGACCTACGTCTCTCGTCGTATACAGCGTATCATCGTAGCATCCCACCCACAGAGGTAATCCTTCACCCAAGCTACGGTACCTTCGGAAACGATGCAGACATTGCACTCATCAGATTGTCAGAGCGTGTTGAGTTCTCGGACTTTGTGAGGCCAGCATGTTTGGCAGAGGCTGTGAACGAGACTAAGGAATACCACAGGTGTATGGTGTCTGGATGGGGAGACACTCGGGAAGGTACGGATTATATAAATAGTGAGGGGCGAGCGGTGCAACCGAAACCAGTGCAAATTATACCGAAGAAAATTATCAGAACGTGTTCAAGCAATAACGGACTTTAAATAATCTGATTGAATGAATTCCTGAAAAGTGGTGATATTACATCTTTTACATCTATTATCTCTTTTTTAAGAGGGCGAGAGTATTGCTTTGACTATATAAACTCATATCCTGTAGTTACTGCCTTCTTTGAATATCATTTGTCGCCCACATGACATCGAATAAGATCTAGGAAGTTTATCAAGTAAAGAACGATGCATATATGACAAAATATGTTCTAATGTCAAAACATGTCAAATTCCATTGCAGAAATGAGTGTATTACATAATTGCTTAATGATGGTTCTTTTACTATGATACATAATCACATTAATACTAATTGACTTTCAAGTTGTCATTCATTGTCGGATTCATCAGCAGCATGTGTGTTCCATGTGGCTTTTAACCTTGTCAACCATGTCAACACGTTTATTTCCATGTTACAGACGCTGCTGATATTATACAGAAAGCTGTTGTTCGTCTGATTGAGAATGAGGTTTGTGAAAACCTTTTGGGTGAAGGTCGGATCACAGAGCGTATGATATGCGCTGGATACGAACATGGTGGGATCGATACATGTCAGGTGAGTTTACTTTATTGTTAAATCATCAAAGAAATCGTGCCTTCTTTACACCAATGTCATAATGTGTTCTGAATTGTCTTTTGTCCTCACTTCCACCTTGACTGACTCTAACTTTTAAGAAGAATTGAAAGACACACATCTTTAATAAATGAATATCTATCTATATTCGTTTTTTTTATTGTGCTGTATGTCTGACTAGCATTAATTTGACACGAAAAGCGCATTAATACATTTCTATTGGATTTAGGATTATACAAATATATTTGTATTTATGTATGTACGTACGAACAAAATGTTCTTATAAGTATTTCTGGTAATTAGAAACCGCCTAGCAACACCCCTTCATTTGGATCCTTCGTGCTATTTCAGTTACAAACTCTTCATTATTGCTCTAGGGTGACAGTGGAGGACCAATGGTGTGCGAAGGAGTCGATGGTAGATGGCATCTTGTGGGTGTGACCAGCTGGGGTGAAGGGTGCGCCAACCCGTATTCTCCTGGAGTGTATGCCAGGGTCTCTCATCTGCTCCCCTTTATCTACAGTGTTCTTGAAGGAAGTAAGTACTGAGTTCTTGTCATCACAGGAATAATGAAAAATGTCGTGGCACGAGATAGTGCGGTTAGCCTTAATCATATGCTCAAGGAAATAATTATTGTATTCTCAATGTCATGAATTTATTTTATAGTGAGATGCAGTAATCATAGTATTGCAGGTCATATCAGGACGGCTAGCCCGAACCTTTGGCAACAATTACCCTCCGGACAACTATTCCGTCATGGCTAGGCTTTACGTGATACTGCGATCGACGCATGAACTTTGAATTATCCCATGCTTGAAAAGACTTCATCAAATCAAGCTAAAGCCCGCAGGCCGAAATATCGATATATCGGTCGGCAATTTTTAAATTTTCGGGACAAAAATATATAAATTGTGCTCAATACAAACATTTCGTTTCAGATTTGACAAATCCTCAACCCCGGGAGTCAACTCCATCCCCATCACAGACAACTCCTAGTTCGTTATCAACATTCTACTATTGATAAACACGATCGCGAATACGTTCGCAAAATCAACCTAAGCCAAAAAAAAGCCTTGTGTGATACCTATTGAAATGAGCAAACATGACAGTGATTTTAAGGCGAAGACACCTTGTAGAATGTAATGTTTGATTCGATTTGAATTATGCCCTTATTAGGCCCATAATTGATTCCAATATTTAATACTGGAGCCATCACACATGTATCTAGAGTTTTAAAAGGACAACCGGTACCATAAGACAGGTTTCATTAAATTGTTAAGAACGGAGCTCATTCCTATAGTTTTTCAGTTTTGGATGTTGACATTTCCTTCTCAACAGTACAATATGAAACACAATGTATATATAAATGATATAAGTAAAAATTAATTCAACATAGAGTATACAGTGAATAATTCAGATACGGAAGGAGGCGAAAACCCAGAAAGCATAGCAGGAGTTGGAAACGCCCATAATAAGTTAACACAGTTACCGAGAGCAGGGGCGTACGCAGGATTTTTTCAAGGGGGGGGGTTTTAAAATATTTTGCTCCCGAAAATTTGAAAATCGCGCCGGCCGGAAAGTCGCTCAGTGGGGGGGGGGGGGGGGGGGGGGGGGGGGGGGGGGGGGGGGGGGGGGTAAGCGGACACTTTTTTTTTTTTTTTGTCTCAAAATTTCAAAATTTGACATTTTTTACGTATGGGGGGGGGGGGGGTAAGGTCACCTTATTTAGGTTAGCCGTGGGTAAAAAAAAAAAAAAAAAAGCCAAAGGGGGGGGGGGGGGGGTTTTAGGTTTTTTTAGGGGGGTTTACATACATTAAAATACCAAAGGGGGGGGGGGGTTTGAACCCCCAAAACACCCCCCCTGCGTACGCCCCTGACCGAGAGAATATTATAGATATTATTATGAAAATTACATTTGATATAACAGAACGTTGATTAGGCATTAAACACAAGATATTCAAGTATTGTTCTGTGTAATTTTAGAGTGTCTTTTATTTCAAATTTCAAAATTTCAAAATTTGACATTTTTTTACGTATGGGGGGGGGGGGGTAAGGTCACCTTATTTAGGTTAGCCGTGGGTATAATTTTTTTTTTTTTTTTTTTTTTTTAATAAAAAAAAAAAAAAAAAGCCAAAGGGGGGGGGGGGGTTTTAGGTTTTTTTAGGGGGGTTTACATACATTAAAATACCAAAGGGGGGGGGGGGGGGTTTGAACCCCCAAAACACCCCCCTGCGTACGCCCCTGACCGAGAGAATATTATAGATATTATTATGAAAATTACATTTGATATAACAGAACGTTGATTAGGCATTAAACACAAGATATTCAAGTATTGTTCTGTGTAATTTTAGAGTGTCTTTTAAAGACGTGACCAATACAAACATTTCGTTTCAGATCTGACAAATCCTCAACCCTGGGAGTCAACTCCAGCCCCATCACAGCCAACTCCCGGTACGTTATCATCATTATACTATTGATAAACACAATCGCGAATACGTTCGCAAAATCGACCTACGGCAACAAATAGCCATGTGTGAAACCTATTGAAATAAGCGAACGTGACAGTGATTTGTTTTAGGCGAAAACACTTTGTAGAGTGTCATGTTTGATTTGATTTGATATCTGCATTTTCCCAAATACAATAACTGAAAAGGAAAGAACATGTAAACGTAAGGTATAATAATAATCATACAACTCACTCCCAGATTCTTATCAAATGATTTGGTCATGCGCGGTCACGTGTGATTCATTTACTGGGCCTACACACATGACATTACCTCGTATACGAACTCAAAGACGCATGCTTTCTCCCATTCCTTACTTTATACAACTTCTTAATACAACTTCTTAGTTATGCCCTCATATGTTCGCCATTGTGAATTTTTAAATGTTAATTAATTATTGCATAATGATTATGTCAAGTATTAGTATTGTGATCTCTCAAAGCTGTTTTAATTTGTTTTTAATTTGAATTCCAAGTCCTTTCACTAGCAATGATCGTATTATATATAATTATTTATGGTTATTGTATATAATTATTTATTTACTTATTATTATATACTTAAATATTTATTATTTTGTTTACTTATTAATGATTTAATTTATCCATGTGTTTTTTTACCTTGTTATTTTTATTGTTATGCATTTTATATTGTAAACTGACCTGTTTAGTCTTCGGACTTTTTAATCAGTACTTGAATAAAACCAAAATATCTATCTATCTATTGCACTCGTTTTCATGAAAAGGAGCGCAATATTTTCCAGTACTATTGAACTCGTTTTCAGACCGCGCAGTAGTGCGCGTAATGGTTAGGGCGCTTAATACTGCGTGCGCATAAGCCTATTCTTGCGCAGCACTATGCGTAAATAGGCGGTGTCACACAGAAAAATCCCGACCCATCTTGAATAAACCAGACTTTAGAAATCTAGTTTTTTCATTTGAGTCGGTGACAGACAGGCTACGAATAATCCGGATAACTAAAATCCGGATTTTTGATGGGCCATTGCGCACGCGCCGTATAGGTAGATAAGCATCATGACATTACACGTTCTATCGAAAGTATGCGCCGTTTAGGTAGATAAGCATTGTGACATCACACGTTCAATCGAAAGTATATGCGCCGTTTAGGTAGATAAGCATTGTGACATCACACATTTAAATGCGCGCATTTAAACGTGTGATGTCACAATGCTTATTAAAAGGGATTATTTCAACATTGGTGTCAGACAGAAAAATCCCTTAAAAAAAAACCTTAAAAAAAAATTTCAAGAGAGAATTATCTTGCTTCATATGAGGTTTTTTGAAGGGATTTTTGAAGAGATTTTTGAAGGGATAATTGATGTCAGACACCCAAAAAGAGGATAATAAAAAATGGATAACTAAAATTCGAATTTTTGGCCTCTGTGTGACACCGCCTAATGGGTGTAGAGGTAAGTGCGCTTGCTATATCTATACTTATGTGTGCGCACTAAATTGAGACTTATTAGGCGGTGTCACACAGAAAAATCCCTTCCCATCTTGAATAAACCAGATTTTAGAAATCTAGTTTTTTTCATTTAAGTCGGTGACAGACTGGCGACAGACAGGCTACGAATAATCTGGATAACTAAAATCCGGAATTTTGATGGGCCATTGCGCACGCGCCGTTTAGGTAGATAAGCAGTAGGCGGTGTCACACAGAGCCCCAAAATCCGGATTTTAGTTATCCGGTTTTTAATTATCCTCTTTTTGGCTGTCTGTCATCAATTATCCCTTCAAAAATCCTTTCAAAAAACCTCATATGAAGCAAGATAATTCTCTCTTGAAAGGATTTTTCAAGGGTTTTTAAAGAGATTTTTCTGTCTGACACCAATGTTGAAATAATCCCCTTTAAGGTCAATGTTAAGTCAACGCGCTATCAATGGCCCGCGCATAATTATATAAGCGCATTTAATGAGACGTATTACTTTGTGATGTCACAATGCTTAGGCCAAAAAAGAAAATTGTTTGGTTGTCCTCGATTGATTTTCTGGAGTAGGGGCGGGCGGGCGGATTTTTTTTTTTTTTTTTTTTAAACTTCATTTTTTTGTGTGTCTTTTTTTTTTTTTTTTTTCTTTTTTTAAAATAATTTATTTTCCTTAAAAAAAAAAGAATCATTGGGATTGTAAAGCATTTAAACCAACAAAGTCTATAAAACACTCTTTAATATGGTAAAACACTAGTTTAATGTACAATGAATATCAAGACCAACACAGAAAGTATTCTGGGCTTTGAAATGCAGCACCTTTTAAATCTCCATTGTACTACTTATAGCTACTTGCGCCCTCTATGTAGCAAACAATGCCTAATCGGTGACCATTGGTCCCCCATGATCCTCTTTATCTTATATTAACTGAGAGCTAATTTGATGAGATAACCACCTGTCCAGTGACCTTGCAGGGTGGTCTAATCCCTCCTGTAAACTAGTACAGATGGGCTTTAAAATGAGTTTAAGAATGCTCAGAACCTGATTTGAATGAACGGCATTTTGACATAGAAAAATAAAAATGGCAAGTTTAATAAATACCTAATTGCGTACTGAAAAGACAAAACTGGCTACGGGACGCATTTTGATCCTTGCAAATGCATAAAATGGTATGTTTGGCATTTAAGATTGCTCCCCCCCCCCCCCCCAAAAAAAAATAAAATAAATAAAAATAAAAAAATGAATAAAAAAAAAAAAAAAAAAATGCGAGCGGCCCGAAAATGACGAGCGGGCGGTCGAGGACAACCAATTTTTTTTTTTTTTTGCCTTATCTACCTAAACGGCGCGTGCGCAATGGCCCATCAAGAATACGAATTTTAGTTATCCGGATTATTCGTAGCCTGTCTGTCACGAGTCTGTCACCGACGTAAATGAAAAAACTAGATTTCTAAAATCTGGTTTATTCAAGATGGGTCGGGATTTTTCTGTGTGACACCGCCTATTGTGACATCACAAAGTAACACGATTCATTAAATGCGCGCAAATAAAAATGTGCGCAGGTCGTTGATAGCGCGTTGACCTTACACTGACCTTAAAAGGGATTATTTCAACTTTGGTGTCAGACAGAAAAATCCCTTTAAAAAACCCTTGAAAAATCCTTTCAAGACAGAATTATCTTGCTTCATAATGAGGATTTTTGAAGGGATTTTTGAAGGGATAATTGATGTCAGACAGCCAATTAAGAGGATAACTAAAATCCGGATAACTAAAATCCGGATTTTTGGCCTCTGTGTGACACCGCCTATTATCAGCCATAATAGGCGGTGTCACACAAAAATCCCGACACATCTTGAATAAACCAGATTTTAGAAATCTATTTTTCTCATTTACGTCGGTGACAGACTGGTGACAGACAGGCTAAGAATAATCCGGATAACTCAAATCTGGATTTTTGATGGGTCATTGCGCATGTGCCGTTTAGGTAGATAAGCATTGTGACATCACACGTTCAATCATTAAATGCGCGCTAATATAATTGCGCGCAGGTTATGATAGCGCGTAAAAAACCTTATGCCAGCCAATCACGTTAAACTTACACTGTCCTTTAAAGGGATTATTTCAACATTGGTGTCAGACAGAAAAATCCCTTAAAAAAACCCTTGAAAAATCCATTCAAGAGAGAATTATCTTGCTTCATATGAGGATTTTTGAAGGGATTTTTGAAGGATAATTGGTGACAGACAGCCAATTAAGAGGGTAACTAAAATCCGGATAACTAAAATCCGGATTTTTGGCCTCTGTGTGACACCGCCTATACTGTCACGAAACAATCTTGAATCAATTAGGTTTACATCAAATGACAAGGATCTAGGAGTTTCGTTGTATAAGACAAATGATGCATGTTTTCATTCGTTTATTATACGATCTATCCGCCCTCGTTGATGCGTTTTTGTTCAGTCTATTGTCTGTCTGCCGACCATCTCGTTGGTGTGACTTGGTCTAATATGTAACCAAAACATTCCAATAATGAGTAGGTGTAATAGGTAACCAAGGCTATCTAACTATTTCTAACTTATTCTCTTTGATAATAACTTTTCCAAAATGACACTCTACAAAAGTATAAGCAATAGCGAGGCTTTTATACGAGATTAGAAGAAATGCAATCCTTCCTCTATATAACTGTCATTCGAAAGACATTTCGCTTTTGTTCTTTTCAACCTCCATAATTTTCTTGAATAATAATGACATAGAAGACGCATGAAATTCTATCCTACTAGTAACGACATAATAATGTATATTTGCTTGTGTTATTATTATTTTTAATGTCTGTTGTAGTCACTGCTTATTTGTGAAATCATTTTTATTTTCACATTCTGATGTTATATATATGATATTTTGATAGACGTTACTGTAGTCAATGCAATTGTGGTGGTGTTAGTATCTTTTTAATGTATAGATATTGGAATAATATGGTCCAGTCTCTTCTTTTAATTCAATTATGTAGTGAAAATATTTAAACAATAAGATACATTACGGTTAACCTTTCATATTTTTCTCTCTTGTTGTTCTGTTTTTATGCCTGTGGACTCACAACTGATGTTCCTCCCATTGCTGACCAATTCACAGGAACTACTAATGCGACTTCATCAACAGGTATGGGTAAAGTGTTGTGAACAGAAACCTCGTGTCATTCAATTATAACTAACTATTGCTACCGCATACAGCAGTATTAATTCCCATAATACATTGCGCATCCAATACCTCGGCGATTATACAGACACAATAACTTCCGGGGATTCTAAAACACGTATTTTGCTATACTACTCCACTAATCCATTCTTTGTGATTCTTAATTTAGCTCGATAGTTACCAATTTAAAAAAATACAAGAGCAGTAAGTATATTTATAGGATTTATTAGGCAGTTTTAAGTGTACCTAGATGATAATCCGGAACGCAGCTCATAGTCGTAAACCGTGTACTCTCATAACCTCATATGCGCTACAAGTTCTAGACAAGGAGCCATTTAGGAAGCTTGCCACTTTAGACAGGTGGCCTTGGAAGATGGATGGCCGCTAAGACTACACACATGTTTGGTACATTGATATGAAAATAACTCACTGTCTGATTAAGGGGCATTTACATCCTTTTACATCTACCTAGACGTCACATCGTCCACATGTAAAGTTATATTGTGAGCTATTCATAATTTGGCTTAGGGATTATAATTTAGGTACAGTTAAAATTATGAGTTTTGTTCATGATACGGTACAATATACTACCGTATGAAATTGATGAATCGGGTGTTAATCTGCATTTGCCACACTCGACCCAGGTGAGGTTAATGGGTACCTGGCAGGAATTCATTCCTTGAAATGTTAGAGCGCCATAATGGCAGCCATGCTAAAGCCGGGGTAATAATCCTGGAGGGCCAGCAGTGTTGAGTCTGACAGGTGCGACAACAAGAACCCACTTTTATCATCATTATTATTATTATTATTATTATAGGTAAATGTTAATCCGCATGTCACAAAATCGTGTGAGCAGACCATATTTTGAAAAAAGATCAAATTTTTGTCCTTCTTCATATTATCCAAATTATTCTCCGAGCTATCTAATACCGTTCTATTTAAGACGATAACATTCCGATGCATTCTATGCATGGATTGTGATATATCAATTGCTTTCCAGAATGATTCCATTGGCCTTACAAAAGCATAATTTTAAAAATATTTTCTCTCTTTAATCTGAGAATCTCATTTCCCCCCTTTTATTTGCGATAGTTTATATTCATTTGGACCATGGTGATACAAGAGAAATAACCTCACCAAACTATCCTGCCGATTACTACGATAATGCTGTGATAGTCTGGGCGGTCTCTGCTCCACCGGGGTATGGCTTGAGGGCGCACTTCACAGATTTCAGACTGGAGGAATATTACGATTTCTTGACTGTGAACGAAGGTCTCACCCCTCGTTTCGAGGAGAGTGTAGAGTTGGCCCGCCTAACAGGCACGCAGGATCCATGGATCACTATATCTAATGGACCTTACGTCTGGCTCAGGTTCACCAGTGATGGTAGTGTGACCAATCCAGGGTTCAGATTGATCGTGGGTGTCGTGAATATATCAGGTACATCAATTACACCATATTGCTTCCAATGGAGTTATGCTTTCAATCACACATGCAACACCGAAAACCGATGAAATATGTCGGGATAATTATATTAAGAACAGGGGGCGTTTCATGAAACAATTAGTCAATGGTTTTCACCGACTGATATCATGTTCACCGATAATTCTTTTGTCACCGACTATTTCCAGGACTGTGATTGGTCAAACGGTGAACATGATATTAGTCGGTGAAAACCACCGACTAATTGTTTCATGAACGCCCCCCTGGAAAATAAAATCGAGGTTGTATCTGGAGCATATTTAATTCAATGATGGAATCGTACTTTTCTATCACTCACTGAGAATGTGGGTGTTTCTTTTGTTCTGTTCGTTTTAAGGGTGTGTGTTTTGTAACTCTAGAATACTCAGTCTCTATAAAATGGTATTTTCTCGAAAAACTACATGAATTATCCAGCGCTAGTAAGACCAAATGAAACTTATATTGGAATGGAATAATTTTTTTTATTTTTTTTTTAGCCTTTGTCTATTGGTATACAGTTCCCTTGTCAAATCATATTCTCATTTCTTCTTTATAGAGAGTTTCTTATGCCCTGAATTCGGATACCATTCTATTAATTTTATCCCCAGCACCAAGAAACGGATCCTGCTCAGACAGCTGCTGTGTGAACTCAGAGTATTCGTGTAATCCTGATGGTTGCTACTGTGACAGCATGTGTGTTGATAATGGAAACTGTTGTGACGACTACTCCGACGTATGTCCCACCCCTGGGAATGGAACTGCACAGCCTCCAACACAGTTTACTACGCCCTCGTTGATTTATACTAGTAATTGACTTTCACTATTTGATCATCGTGGCCCTTACCCCCAACTTCTCTTCTTTGTATTGGATGTAAAATTTCTGAGTAATTTCATAGGAGAAAAAATGAAATGGCGCATTTTCATCGTCAGCTATGCAATCTACTATTTAATTGTATTAATTTGTTGCCAGTAGGATGTATTTTTAGCCATATTCGTTTAACGATTTTCAGGTTGTACAAATCCTCAAATTCCATTTCTCTGCAAATTGTAACCCCAATTATATACAGATCAATTCTTTAAAAAAACGATTATTTTTTGAAAATTTATATAATGGTATAGTTGCAAATTAGTACTGTCTAAAAAACTTATTTTAAAAATATATATTACATTTAAAATTAGGTCTTGAATTATTTATCTAACCCTGATATGTTTTATACTTGTATAATGTACTAACCTGAATCAGTAAGTAAAATAAGGTCTCATATTAAATGAAAATGTAATAATTATATAACATAAGGAAAATACATTAGTTATTTCATGGTTTGCAATGCAGGGATCTAAAATGTTCTTTTGCCAATGCATGCGCATAATGTTACACTGAATGAATCATTGTATTTTCAGACGTCGTAATATCCAACACGACATACCAAATGCAGATACTGAATGAAATCGTAAACGTGTCGTCTCCGAACTATCCCAACAACTACAACAACTTCGAGAACATCTTCTGGCATGTTCAAGGCCACGTCGGGTACGTCCTGGCTATACGTTTTGGGAGAGTGGCCATGGAGTCGTGCTGTGACTACGTTAGTCTTCACGTCGGCAGTTCCGATATCTTCGAGGAAAGTACGCAGATATTCAACCTGACTGGCGACCTGAGTGGCAATAACTTACCAGATGACTATTGGTCTGGCAATCCCAATATGTGGCTACATTTCCATACGGATGGATCCGACACGGACCAAGGCTTCATCGCATGGACGCATGTTGTTCCATCCTTTGGTGAGAAACAAAAACCATTGAACAGACCTTACATGAAATTAATGGCGCGCATTTTAAGGCTAATTGGGTAGGCATATTTCAATGTAAACAAAATGTAGATCTATATTTTGTTTTAAATTATCATCTAATTCCACATGAATTATCATACAAAGAAACATCTGGACGAGCATCGAGCAGATTTCGTGCAGGTCATGCAGTCATTAATTTCATGCATATTTCGATCGTTAGATCAAGCGTTTCAAATAACAGTTCTTTTGGATGTCTTGTAATTGTTCGGAAAAAATCTAAACCTAAGTTTAGAGTGTTTTGTTAAGATTTATGTGTGAGATGGTCGAGACTTTGAGATCAATGACGGACAGGCAGATCCTGTGAGAGGGACAAGCAAACAGTCTCTTTATTAGTAGTAACCAGTAACTGACACATTACATATGATATAACAATGCTGATAATCTTGGAGATCATGGATTCCCCAAACCATGTCATTTTATCAAATATAAAACGAGTAAATTTGCCCTTTAAAAACCAATTGCCACAGTACAATGCAGCTGAAACTCTCAACATTAACACAGGTAAATACCTGACCCAAACACTTAAACAAATAAGTAACAGTCAATATAAAACTCATATAAAGCAACTAATTCACAAAGTTGGATAAGCCAACACACCAAGCTAGGTTTAATAACCTTATCATGCGACCTCTATAATCACTACTTAATTCGTGTTCAATAAACTATACCTTTAACTTGTACATTTTAATATCAAGACAATGCAAATATCCTAATAACATAAACTTAAGTAGGGCTATCCTGGTTCCCTCTTTTCAAAGTAAGCACATCTTATAGAATGAATAATGAAACTAACAATATCATAACAATGGAACAAAGATAAAATATCCCAAGACCAGAAACATCAGTAATTAATCTCTTTATACAACTTTCATCAACCACTCCAATCCAAATATTCATCTTCCATACTTTTCTTACTTCCAAACAAACTCCAGCAATCTCCTGGTCTATTAAACATTGCTCTTACTTCTATTATCCCATATCAATTTAACACGTAACAATATTCTTTTATAGCTACCTGCAAAATGAGAAATAAGGTTTACAATGATAGAGGGCGCTAGAAACCCTCTGATGGCTAAATAGTCAAAGTTCGATCATCACTGATTGATGTGCCATAATTAATATCCCCTTAGCAACCAAAATACAAACAACATGCAATGCTTTAACACTCAACTTCTGTCATAAGCACTTCTTTTCTATGCTCCCTTTCTATGCTCCCTATATTTCTCGCTGACCTCGTTCCTGAACCAAGACCTATACTCATCACATAAGTTAGAGCGTATAACTCTGGCCCTGGTCCTGGGACCAGGTACAACATTAGCGCGCACGCACTACACCCAATTTTGGCACCACATTCAACTACTAGTAATTGTACATGACCATGTACTACAATGTAAATGCATATAACAAATCATAACGCTAAGCATCACACATTTTAACATTAAATCCTCGCTTTCAATAAAGTCATATCAACCCACATGATACATCAAAATAATCACTGACATCGTTCTGATACAATACACATAATGTACATTACACATATTTAGCATGACAATATCAATATTTACTCAATATAAAACCGGTTCGAGTTTGGTCAACTCACCTGTGAGAGGGACAAGCAAAGAGTGCCGGCTCGTCTCAGCACCTTGCCCTCTACAGGTCACAGGGTAATTTCCCAACCCCTTACATATAGAATAAGATGAAGATTTGTAATTTGTTATACATTCTTATCAGCAATGCCTTTGTGAATGTAACTCTCTTTCCAGGATGCGATAGCGATCAGTACGAATGCCAAAATGGACAATGCATTTCAATGGGTGCTGTATGCAATGGAATCAATGACTGTTTAGATTCATCAGATGAATCTAACTGTGGTGAGTGTTCTTGTCTCCTTTTTGTTCTTTGTAATATTATATATGTGTATTAAGAAGCTGAAATTTACCGAAAGACGTTATAATTATGTTGTCCCGTTAGTCGTTGTCATTACTCACTGTCATCGTGATGTATGTTGTCTCAGATGGTAACCATGACGACGGTTTCCAATGCCCGGATGGTCGATGTATGCCTGTATGATGTGATTTTGAATGCAATGGCGTCAATGACTACGAAAAAACTTTGTTGATTAAAGATATTGCCGTAAGATGCCCAGTTTAGCTCAATTATAATAATAAATTTGGTTTATATATAGGCATGCACTTTTTACCATGTTATGCCCTTACCCTACATTAATTAATTTGAGTAACTGTGAGAACAAAATCGATAAGTGTTTACAACGTTAAAAATGTTTCTTTATTAATGTTGTAACACTCAAATCTAAATCAAAATGACTGTTTTGTCCATACTTTAATTGACATATACTTTAAACATTGTATACCGTAACTCTTCATTAATTACATGAAAGAAGTACTTGTCCGGAAAAAAATGCAGACATTTTCTAAATTCTTTTAAAAAAGGTTTTCAGATCCTTTAAAAAATACGTATTTATTCAATAACCAATATTTATGAGAAGAAAAAATTCCCAAAGAAATATCCCCAAAATATCCTTGAAAGACTCATGTACGTGACAATACACCTATGTCAAAAGCAATGCATTTGGGAGTTTTTCATTCCGAACTCATTCTTCTGTTAAGGTGGGTGTTGATCACAACCTGACTTAAAAAATAATGAGGAAAATATTAACATAAACCAAGGAATAATGTCAAATAATCAAAAATATTGAAATGGCGGTAATATCAAATGAGATACATTACGGTTAACTTTTCATATTTCTCTCTCTTGTTGTTCTGTTTTTAAAACTGCCTGTGGACTCACGACTGATGTTACTCCTATTGCTGACCAATTCACAGGAACTACAAATCCGAATTCATCAACAGGTATGGGTAAAGTGTTGTGAACAGAAACCTCGTATCATTCAATTGTAACTAACTATTGCTATCCCATACAGCAGTATTAATTCCCATAATACATTGCGCATCCAATACCTCGGCGATTATACAGACACAATAACTTCCTAAAATTATCATCCACTTCCACATGACTTATCATACAAAGGAACATCTGTACGAGCTTTGAGCAGATTTCGTGCAGGCCATGCAGTCATTAATTTCATGCATATCTCGATCGTTAGATCAAGCGTTTCAAATAACAGTTCTTTTGGATGTCTTGTAATTGTTCGGAAAAAAATCTAAACCTAAGTTTAGGATGTTTTGTTGAGATCTATGTGTGAGGTGGTCGAGACTTCGAGATCAATGAGTTTTTCATTTTTCGCATATATCATTTCGGAAACAAACCATTCTATTAATTTCATCCTCAGCACCAAGAAACGGATCCTGCTCAGACAGCTGCTGTGTGAACTCAGAGTATTCGTGTAATCCTGATGGTTGTTACTGTGACAGCGTGTGTGTTGATATTGGAGACTGTTGTGAAGACTACTCCGACGTTTGTCCCACCCCTGGAAATGGAACTGCACAGCCTCCAACACAGTTTACTACGCCCTCGTTGATTTATACTAGTAATTGACTTTCACTATTTGATCATCGCGGCCCTTACCCCCAACTTCTCTTCTTTGTAGTTGATGTAAAATTTCTGAGTAATTTCATAGGAGAAAAAATAAAATGGCGCATTTTCATCGTCAGCTATGCAATCTACTATTAAATTGTATTAATTTGTTGCCAGTAGGATGTATTTTTTGCCATATTCGTTTAACGATTTCCAGGTTATACAAATCCTCAAATTCCATTTCTCTGCAAATTGTAACCCCAATTATATACAGATCAATTCTTTTAAATAACGATTATTTTTTGAAAATGTATATAATGGTATAGTTGCAAATTAGTACTGTCTAAAAGCTTATTTTAAAAATATCTATTACATTAAAAATGTAAATTTTAGGTCTTGAATTATTTATCTAACCCTGATATGTTTTATACTTGTGTAATGTACTAACCTGAATCAGTAAGTTAAATGAGATCTCATATTAAATGAAAATTCAATAATTATATAACATGATGAAAATACATTATTTCATGGTTTGCAATGCAGGGATCTAAAATGTTCTTTTGCCAATGCATGCGCATAATGTTACACTGAATGAATCATTGTATTTTCAGACGTCGTAATATCCAACACGACATACCAAATGCAGATACTGAATGAAATCGTAAACGTGTCGTCTCCGAACTATCCCAACAACTACAACAACTTCGAGAACATCTTCTGGCATGTTCAAGGCCACGTCGGGTACGTCCTGGTTATACGTTTTGGGAGAGTGGCCATGGAGTCGTGCTGTGACTACGTTCGTCTTCACGTCGGCAGCTCAGATATCTTCGAGGAAAGTACGCAGATATTCAACCTGACTGGCAACCTGAGTGGCAATAGTTTACCAGATGACTATCGGTCTGTCTATCCCAATATGTGGCTACATTTCCATACGGATGGATCCGCCACAGACCAAGGCTTCATCGCATGGACGCAAGTTATTCCATCCATTGGTGAGAAACAAAACCATTGAACAGACCTCATATGAAAATAATGGCGCGCATGTTAAAGCTAATTGGGTAGGCATATTTTAATGTGAAAAAAGTGTACATCTATATTTTGTTTTACATTAGGCCTAAAATAAAAACTTGTTACATTGCCCTTTGGGTGCCAAAACATCGGTCGGTCGGTCGGAAAAGATTTTATTTTTTTAAACTTTTTATTGTGTCGCTCTCTTTGTGCTGATATTTTCAAATTTGAATGTTTTTTTTCTTTTTCCCGCCCTCTTTTAGCTGATATTTCTCAGTTTTTAATGCTTTAATACATGTGCTTCAGCATCATCATTCTATTGATATCTTTTTCACCTCATAATTATCCATTGTTTGCACGAGTGAGAATTTTCGAATAATTTGATTTTATGCATTTATATCCCATTTAAACAAACAAAATACATATATTTTTATATTTTTATTCATCAATAACAAAAATCTAAAAAACGGTTTAAAAAAAAAACTTTTTTAAAATGCCGACCGTAGATTTTCAGATTTTTCGGTAGGTCACAAAGGGCAATTCTACAAGTTTTTATTTTAGGCCTTATCATCCACTTCCACATGAATTATCATACAAAGGAACATCTAGACGAGCATCGAGCAAATTTCGTCCAGGTCATGCAGTCATTAATTTCATGCATATTTCGATCGTTTGATCAAGTGTTTCACATATTAGCTCTATTTGATGTCTAGCAATCGTTCGGAAAAAAATCTAAACCTTAATTTACGATGTTTTGTTGAGATCAATGGAATAAGGCGAAGATTAGTAATTTGCTATACATTCTTATCATCAGTGCTCTTGTGAATGTAACTCTCTTTCCAGGATGTGATAGCGATCAGTACGAGTGCCAGAATGGACAATGCTTTTCGTTGAGTGCTGTATGCAATGGAATCAATGACTGTTTAGATTCATCAGATGAATCTAACTGTGGTGAGTGTTCTTGTCTCTTTTTTGTTCTTTGTAATATTTTATTTTTTTCAACATTTTTGTATTAAGAATTTGAAATTTACCGAAAGATGTTATAATTATGTTGTCCTATTTACTCGTTGTCATTACTCACTGTCATCAATACTTAGTTGTCTCAGATGGTAACCATGACGACGGTTTCCAATGCCCGGATGGTCGATGTATGCCTGTATGATGTGATTTTGAATGCAATGGCGTTAACTACGAAAAAACTTTGTTGATGAAAGAGATTGCCGTAAGATGCCCAGTTTAGCTCTTTCTCTAAGTTACACTCGAATTATAATAACAAGTTTGGTTTATATATAGGCATGTACTTTTAACCATGTTATGCCCTTACCCTACATTAATGAATTTGAGTAACTGTGAGAACAAAATCGATAAGCGTTTACAACTTTAAAAAAGTTTCTTTATTAATGTTGTAACACTCAAATCTAAATCAAAATGACTGTTTTGTCCATACTTTAATTGACATATACTTTAAACATTGTATACCGTAACTCTTCATTAATTACATGAAAGAAGTACTTGTCCGAGAAAAAAAATGCAGACATTCTTTTAAAAAAGGTTTTCAGATTCTTTAAAAAAATACGTTTTTATTCAATAACCAATGTTTTTGAGAAGAAAAATTTCCAAAAGAAATATCCTCCAAAATATTCTTAAAAGACTCATGTACGTGACAATACACCTACATGTCAAAAGCAATGCATTTGGAAGTTTTTAATTCCGAACTCATTCTTCTGTTAAGGTGGGTGTTGATCACAACCTGACTTAAAAAAATAATAATGTCAAATAATCAAAAATATTGAAATGGCGGTTATCAAATGAGATACATTACGGTTAACCTTTCATATTTCTCTCTCTTGTTGTTCTGTTTTTAAACTGCCTGTGGACTCCCAACTGATGTTCCTCCTTTTGCTGACCAATTCACAGGAACTACAAATGCAACAGGTATGGGGTAAAGTGTTGTGAACAGAAACCTCGTGTCATTCAATTATAACTAACTATTGCTATCCCATACAGCAGTATTAATTCCCATAATACATTGCGCATCCAATACCTCGGCGATTATACAGACACAATAACTTCCGGGGATTCTAAAACACGTATTTTGCTATACTACTCCACTAATCCATTCTTTGTGATTCTTAATTTAGCTCGATAGTTACCAATTTAAAAAAATACAAGAGCAGTAAGTATATTTATAGGATTTATTAGGCAGTTTTAAGTGTACCTAGATGATAATCCGGAACGCAGCTCATAGTCGTAAACCGTGTACTCTCATAACCTCATATGCGCTACAAGTTCTAGACAAGGAGCCATTTAGGAAGCTTGCTACTTTAGACAGGTGGCCTTGGAAGATGGATGGCCGCTAAGACTACACACATGTTTGGTACATTGATATGAAAATAACTCACTGTCTGATTAAGGGGCATTTACATCCTTTTACATCTACCTAGACGTCACATCGTCACATGTAAAGTTATATTGTGAGCTATTCATAATTTGGCTTAGGGATTATAATTTAGGTACAGTTAAAATTATGAGTTTTGTTCATGATACGGTACAATATACTACCGTATGAAATTGATGAATCGGGTGTTAATCTGCATTTGCCACACTCGACCCAGGTGAGGTTAATGGGTACCTGGCAGGAATTCATTCCTTGAAATGTTAGAGCGCCATAATGGCAGCCATGCTAAAGCCGGGGTAATAATCCTGGAGGGCCAGCAGTGTTGAGTCTGACAGGTGCGACAACAAGAACCCACTTTTATCATCATTATTATTATTATTATTATTATAGGTAAATGTTAATCCGCATGTCACAAAATCGTGTGAGCAGACCATATTTTGAAAAAAGATCAAATTTTTGTCCTTCTTCATATTATCCAAATTATTCTACGAGCTATCTAATACCGTTCTATTTAAGACGATAAAATTCCGATGCATTCTATGCATGGATTGTGATATATCAATTGCTTTCCAGAATGATTCCATTGGCCTTACAAAAGCATAATTTTAAAAATATTTTCTCTCTTTAATCTGAGAATCTCATTTCCCCCCTTTTATTTGCGATAGTTTATATTCATTTGGACCATGGTGATACTAGAGAAATAACCACACCAAATTATCCTGCTAATTACTACAATAATGCTGTGATAGTCTGGGCGGTCTCTGCTCCATCGGGGTACGGTTTGAGGGCGCACTTCACAGATTTCAGACTGGAGGAGAATTACGATTTCTTGACTGTGAACGAAGGTCTCACCCCTCGTTTCGAGGAGAGTGTAGAGTTGGCCCGCCTAACAGGCACGCAGGTTCCAGAGTATGCAATATCGAATGGACCTTACGTCTGGCTCAGGTTTACCAGTGATGGTAGTGTGACCAATCCAGGGTTCAGATTGATCATGGATGTCGTGGAGATATCAGGTACATCAATTGCACCATATTGCTTCCAATGGAGTTATGCTTTTAATCACACAACACCGAAAACCGATAACATATGTCGGGATAATTTGATTAAGAACAGGAGAATGAAATCGAAGCTGTATCTGGAGCTTATGTAATTCAATGATGGAATCGTACTTTTATATCACTCACTGAGAATATGGGTGCTTCTTTTGTTCTGTTCGTTTTAAGGGTGTGTGTTTTGTAACTCTAGAATACTCGGTGTCTATAAAATGGTATTTTCTCGAAAAACTACATAAATTATCCAACGCTAGTAAGACCAAATGAAACTTATATTGGAATGGAATCAATTTTGTTTAAAGGCTTTGTCTATTGGTATACAGTTCCCTTGTCAAATCATATTCTCATTTCTTCTTTATAAAGAGGTTCTTATGCCCTAAATTCGGAAACATAGAAAAAGCTCAATATTGTGACGTCATCGTTGACTGAAAAGATGGATGCGATCAACGTAATTGTTGCAAGTAGAAAGAGAAATTAATTTGACCATAAAATGTCCATTATATATACGCAAACAATGTTTAGTTGTTCTTCGATCATATCCGAAGAGAGTAGGAGAAAAATACTGAGAGAAATAGAGAGGGGCTATAATAATAATTACAATGTTAACATAAACCAAGAAATATTGTCAAATGATCTAAAAAAATTGAAATGTGGGATATCAAATGAGATACATTACGGTTAACCTTTCATATTTCTTTCTCTTGTTCTTTTTTTTTAACTGCCTGTGGACTCACAACTGATGTTCTTCCCATTACTGACCAATTCACAGGAACTATAAATACAAATTCATCAACAGGTATGGCCTATGGTCAACAATTGCTAAAACTTTTTATTTAAAAATTAACATCCTAAGTCCTATTGGAAACCTCGAGGTTAAAAGTACTATGTCCCATTTGCAGGCCCCAAAAATGAAAAGGTTAAATTCCAATGGCATTTGAAAGATAATACTGATTTAGAACTTCCTTCAAAACGAAAGGGCTGAAAATATTTTTTTTTGGGGGAAAATAACGACGATAAGTTGTCGAATCGACATAAATGATTGCAATCACTTATGTTAATAGTCTGATTTTCAGACCCTTGTTCTGAATGGTCGTATGTTTTGTGCTGCGCAAAGATACAATCAGTTAAATTTTGGCCATTACAAGAATTAGGTTATTGATGTTGACAAATGTTGCGTATACCTGATACAGCTCACTTTATGTATTTTATTAATCTGTTACTCTCTTCTCACGATCGCAAGGGTTTAAAAAACATCAACCTAACGCAAACTGGATAGGCTTGCCCTTTCTCTGTTAATGTATTCGAACTTTACCACGTTGTATTGCGTAACCCGAACATAATTTCTAGGGAATATAGAATATTTAATTTACCCTTGAGTTGATATTTGGAAAGTCTTTGTGATCTTTTAATTATTTAATATGGAGTTCATTTATTAATCTTTACCAGATATACTTTTCCCGATATATTTGTTTTCTCTTAGCCACAATTATGCTGAGAGAAGGTGAAACCGCCGCGTTGGCATCGTACGGTTATCCATCTCAATTCTACTCAAGAGATTTATTCTTGACATGGAGGGTAGCACCTGTCGATGCCTCGCTGGCTATGATCGTCAAGATGGAGTCTGTAATCCTTAGGAGTTCCTCAGCTACTCTAGAAGTAACTTCGATAGATCCTAACCCTGGTGAATTCTACTCTTGGAAATTTCGAGGGGATTTGGACCAGCGCTTCTTCCAGACTGCCGACAAAGTGTTCCCGAGCGGTCAGCTTGACATACAGGCCCGTGGCAGGTTCACTACGGTGGCATTTAAGATAGAGGTCGTACCAGTGCAGTTGGAAGGTGGGTGTTAACAATATAGTCTCTAAAGTGTTCCTACAACAGCTTGCAAAATACATGCATCTATTCCATTCATGTGGGTAGGTGGTATGGTATCACTTTGGGTGATGTATTACAAATTGAAATAATTTACTGTCCCTGTCCGTACACAAGGCCTAGACTCTATGTCCCAAATCTGTTGTAGAAAATTATTTCAATGACGTCCGTACTTTTTTGGTTTATTTTGTGTTAAATATTGATATGCAGCTTATGTGAGCGAGAATGATACTTGATTCTCCTACATTGCGTCAAAATGAAATACATCCATGACATTGCCTTTGTATAAAGTCTAACATATCGATGAGATATAATGAAATAATTTTTTTTCATATTCACATATGTCCATGTTACTTACCAATATCTTAAGGAATGATAAATTAGTACAGGTCAATGCATTTTTTGTATTCCAATAAACGATGAGTAACTGTTTATGACCAACGTTGATTTTCATGATTTTAGACATAATAATCTGTGGCGATCACCTGATCACCGAAAGGAACTTGTGCGACGGAATATTGGACTGCTCGGATAAGAGGGACGAGGACAAATGTGGTAAGTTAGTCATGACAGAGCACCACCACATTGACTATCAAAAATCACTCGTTACTATCGGTATTAGAAAAGGGATTCATGTCATGCTAGTTTAATCATATGAATGAGTGTTGAATTATCATGATATTGATAGTTACCGTTAACGTATTCCCAGTATCACTCGTCTCTGGCTTAAATTCACTGAATAAGGAGTATATGAAGAAAAAAATAGTTTGAGGTATGATGTGTAGTGAAGCAACTTAACCTGTTGACTACTGAATTATCTTATTCCCATAGGCTTAACACGGGGACCACCAGGTTCCCGTAAGCAATGGGTTGATAAAAGTTGGGCTTGTTTGCCCGGGATAGCTTCATTTGTATTAATATTACACTTTATGCGGGACCATTAGGTTTATCATTACTCCAGCATTGTCAAGTCCCCTCTATTACACATGGGTCGAGAGGAAGGATTGTCCGAGAACGTAAGCACCAAACAAGGGCAGAACACAGAAGCTCTCTTACGAACGTCCCGAGCCTTCACAACTAGTCCATTACTGTTCATGTAGGATTTGGTTTTGTTACCTTCATACGTATATTAACGGTCATGGTTTGAATTTTAGAAAGATACGATTGACCTCACTGTAGATATGTGCGTACCTAAGGCCATCCTCTGACTTATAACTCCAGGTCAAAAGGAAGGGTTTTTCGTTTCCCAAACGGATCAACTCTTGATCTCGCCTTTGTTGTATGAGGAATACATCAGCATCACCAGACCTCTCCAACTCATCTGGACGTTCATGAACGTGGAACCTGAATTGAAGATACTCATCAATATCCGGAGTCTCGTTGTTCAACCTGAGGACAGCATAACACTAGGATCTGGTCCTGATCCTTATGACGAAGATAGTGTCATCTTCAAGGTTGGGTGTTACATCTTTCATATTTAACTTTTCTTGTTTTATTCATTATTTTAGTATTGTTTATTTTCAATGGCTCATATTCCAATGAGTTGAAGAAAAAAAATACATGTTAAAAATGTGCAATTGTACTAGATTTGTGTGAAATATTAAGTCAGCTTTCATTAAACTAATCTCATGAATTCCTCTCAACTAATAAACTAAATATATCAACTCAGGAGCAATTCCAATGTGAAAACAATTGCGTTTACTACTTATTATTTATTAAGCTTGAAAATATCTTGCATAATTACCATTTTACTTTAATGTGCATGGAATCAGGATTTTGATCAAATTTTATGAAGATGAATACAGAGAATGTATTTTCATATAGCCATTAAAACGTTGCTATCAATTGTTATTTTAATGTGAGCAATACACTCTAATGGTTGACAGTTGCAATCTTTATGAATATTGCAGTTTGAATCGACATATTTTCGTGATACGACCGGAGAGATCATACCAGATATTGCGCTTCAACTTCAATCTTTCTGGGTGCGATACGAGAGGGTCTCCGAAACGGCTAGCCTTGTCTTCCAAGTCAATACTGTGAGCGAAGAGCCATGTAAGTCCTTTGTTTTCTTTCCTTTTATGCATTTACTGTATGAGACATGTATAACTTTACGAATTCAATGGAAGCTTTAAATATAAAATGGTTTTTCGATATTTGTCCCTTTTATAAAATAGACATCAGACTTTCAGAGCTGCCGTTGATGTAATTTACGTCCTCAATGATTTTATATAAACGTATGTTCAACTATCGCAGGTTTTCTTACTTGATTCTTTGTGTTTTCTTTTTTGCTACCATGATTTTACATGCTCTACATTATGTATCGAGATTTGGTGGATATTTTGTCTTCAGTTCGATGGGGACCTACTCGAAAGCACCACATTACTCAAAACTACGCCTTTTCCACTGTCCAAGTTATTGAATAAAACCAAGAATGGTTTTAAAAGCTTATAACAATTCATAAAAATCAATGTAAATAAATAAGTTATTAAGAGATTATCGAGAATCCTTCTGACTTTATACGGGACGGACAATAACATATTTTTCATCTAAGAAGCAACCATCTTTACCTTATATTTCGCAGTACAATGCCCTGCAGATGAGCTACCATGTTCGGGACCATTTACAGGATGCTACTCGGAACAAGAAACCTGTAATGGCGTCTTTGATTGTTTTGATGGGCAAGATGAGGATGGCTGTGGTAAGATCATAAAGATTGCCAGTAAAACCAATATATAAATCATTAACTTGAAAATCAGCATCACCTTTCATTTCTCTCCGTGTGTCTGTACCCTTATCTCTCTTTGTCATGTTGATATTAATGCCGGTATGATTTCACATCTTTGATACTCTGTTATTATAATTTGCCTTTTTCTAGTACAATGATCTCAAAAGTAATCGATAAATGATAACTGAATATACTCACTTATGATTTAGGGGTCTAGCAACTTTGTAGGGTGTGCACGGAAAGATGTCACAGAACGGTTATGAATATGAGGAGAGATAAACATTTCTTCAATAACTAAATCACAGTTGGGCTGTATTATCTTACAAGTTTAGACATTGCAATACGTATTAGATTACAAGAAAATAGGCTACATAATATAGTAGCTCTTGTGAATTGCAAAATATTAGGCAAGTTCCAAAATATTTAATTTAAATAGATATATATATATCACATATGATTAAGTTTCTATCTTCTTTATCTCTGTCTATCTATCTTTATCTACGACATTCTGCGAACCCCTCTTCTCTCATTCCATCTGCCTGCCCTTCTGTATGTCTACGTTTCCTTCCTTCTTTTCCCATACTGAAATTAACAGAGTGTCCAAATATTTGGGAAGCTCGATGTACCCTACCAACAGTAGGAAGCCTTTGTATTCATCGTCTTGAGTTCTGTGATGGGAATGTTCAGTGCGGGGATGATGAATTGGATTGCAGTAAGTATTTATTTCAGTTCGGACTCCGTTTCCCCTCTGAAGATTTCTCTCCTCTCATATTGTTCAAGCAGATGGTTATTATTATATTCAAGTGTTCTTAAAACTCATATTAATGATAATTCGTTGAAGCATCTTTCTAGATCCCATATCAGTACACATTTATATCTTTGTTCAATTTTCTTTGTACATGGGGAAATATAATTGCCCGTTCATCTTTTAAAAAACATGTCAGTTTGTAACTGCTGTTTTATTCGATAATGAAATCAAATGAATTAGTTCAGTTCAATTCTTAAAGTCATATCTTAGTCTTTTGAAGTCATTTACCGAAACAAAATAAAATTGTTTTGTCATAATCATATCGACACACTCTAGCAATGCGAAATCAACTCGCCGTGAAAAACAAGAGAAGTATACACAGTTGTTTTAGAGAAGAAATCTAAGAAATCTAAGATGGATGATATGACTGTTAATAGTGCCTGTGTGAATCCTCTTGTAGCTTTCCAGTGCGACAATGGACGGGTGATTGCAGAGAGGTTTGTGTGCGATGGATACAATGACTGTGGAGACAGTACAGACGAACACCAGCAGTGTGGTATAAACTTTCGTTCACTTAGTTTATATTGATGTATTCATGTAGAATGTACATTTGGGAAAAAGCAAAAGATTACTACTAATATCAAAGGGACCTTTTTTCTTCTTTTAATGACAAACAGGAATTGGTACAATTACAATCTAACAGGAACAATGTAATCTGTTGCTACATACATTGGTTTAAATGTATCCTTCATGTTTCATACACTAATAAATTTTCCATTCAATCTTCATTGAGAAAGTCAGACAAAATCTCAGAAAATTAGGAAAATTCCACGTTCTTTAATCCAACGTCGCATTATGGTGGAATGTATTTGGAATAATTGTGAAGAGGGAATATCATGTCACCAGTAATTGTTTCATGGCATGGCCCCAAAATTTGCTCAAACCCATGATAATGTTCTGACGCTATGCGAGTGAATCATAAATTATTTCAGAGGAAGAGTTTTCTTTAGTAGATTTATTGCGGATTTTTACCTGTAGGATTTACATTGATTTATATTGTTTAGATGTACAGGTGTCGTAATCGAGTGGTTTAAGCATTTGTCTTGAAATGCAAATTTACATTTGCCGCTCCATACCCAGGAGAGAAATTGGGACCTGGTAGGATGGCTAAAGCCTTGTGTTAGTAATTGCCATATGCCCTCACATTGAATATATGGTAGGAAAACTCCTCAAATAGTTGAGATGGAGCACATTGTGCGCGCGTGAATGAATCCGATGATCGGGGTAATTAAATATGTGTAAAGCGCTCAGAGACAGTATTTCGTATACATACAAATCAAGATTATTATTATTATTATTATTATTGAATTCCAGAGTGTGCTGCGCACCAGTATGACTGTGGAGAGCGGTGCATCCTTCAAAATGATGTATGTAATGGTTATGTGGACTGTGCTAACGGCAGTGATGAGGAAGACTGTTGTAAGTATCAAACGGACGGTATTGGAGAGAAAGAAGGTTACTTTACATCATGATCTAGTCTGAGATACACATTGTGGTAGATTTGAATGCTCATTTACATATACATTCAAATCTCATCTTCATTTGACCTTACCCTTGCTCGTAGATGGATCGTATCTCTTGGATTTTAACGTTTGGGGTTTTATTACTGTCATTATTTTTCTTCTAGTTCTTCGTCTCTTTCTCCTCTTCCTCCACCTTCTTCTAGTTCATGTTCTTGTTCTTATTATTATTACTATTTCAATTATCATTGATATCAATATTAGTATTATTGTTATATTTTGTATAATTTGTATTCTGATGAATTATTGCTGATATACATTTATTTTGTCTAAATTGTTTATATTCTATGAATTCCTGCCTCCCTTTCTCCGTCTCTATTTTTTATTTTTGATGCTCTCTTTTGTTGTCTCTCTATCACCGTATTTCTCTAAAATTATCTTACTCCTTTATCATTAATCATACTTCTCTTATTCTCTTTAACCTGTCTATTTACCCTACCCTCTCTCTCTCTCTCTCTTCACTTTCTGTTTGTCTTTCTTTCACCCTCCCTCTCTCTCTCTCTTTCTTTCTCTCTCTCTCTCTCTCTCTCTCTCTCTATCTTGCCTTCACTTTCTGTCTGCCTTTCTTTTACCCCCTCTCCCTCTCTGTCTCTCTACCCCTTCACTTTGTTTTACCCACTTCCCTATCTACCTATCCCGCTTTCATGACGATGTAGCTTGTCAGAGCTTCGAGTTTGAGTGCGGTAACGGATCTTGTGTGCCGTTCTGGAAATTCTGCGACGGAAATTATGATTGTTCGGACCACTCTGATGAACAAAGAGAAAACTGCAGATGTAAGGATGCGTATAAGAACAGCCTTTTAAATATTATATAGATTTACATGTTCGCACTTTTAAAATTGTCCTTGGTAACTTCAAATGTACGGCTTATTTTCTTTAAAAATATACTTTGATATGTTATACGGTTTATTGATAAGCTGTTGATATTTTTTCATTTTAAGAAAGAGTGTTTCTTTCCCTGGAAGTCATTTATAGTTGGCACTTATCAAATTCATATTAGTCATACGATTGGCATTAGAACGCACGATAGTACGCTTTTCTATATACATTTTGCTATACCTTAGTAAATTCGTCTTATTAAATACATTCTACCCTCTTCTAGACTGTCCAGGAAATTATTTCCAGTGCCTAGACTTCTCGGGTTGTCTGACAGTTGATTTGATCTGCAACGGTTCACCTGACTGCATGGATGCTAGCGATGAATCTGACTGTGGCAACATGACTCCGAATAGGACTATGAATAACCAAACAGAACCTAGGACAACATGGGGGCCTGCACCATTACCCACCTGGAGACCCGAACCCGAAGGCACATGGACACCTGAACCTGAAGCCACATGGGGACCCGAGCCTGAAGGCACATGGAGACCCGAACCCGAAGGCACATGGAGACCCGAACCCGAAGGAACATGGGGACCTGAACCCGAAGGGGGACCTGAAGGCACATGGAGACCTGAACCCGAAGGCACATGGGGACCCGAACCCGAAGGCACATGGAGACCCGAACCCGAGGGCACATGGAGACCTGAACCCGAGGGCACATGGAGACCCGAACCCGAGGGCACATGGAGACCTGAACCCGAAGGCACATGGAGACCCGAACCCGAGGGCACATGGAGACCTGAACCCGAAGGCACATGGGGACCCGAACCCGAAGGCACATGGAGACCCGAACCCGAGGGCACATGGGGACCCGAACCCGAAGGCACATGGAGACCCGAACCTGAAGGCACATGGAGACCAGAACCCGAAGGCACATGGGGACCCGAACCCGAAGGCACATGGAGACCCGAACCTGAAGGCACATGGAGACCCGAACCCGAAGGCACATGGAGACCCGAACCCACTTGGAGACCTAAACCTGAGGAAACATCAGAGCCTCCGTCAGGTAACTTATACCAATGTAACATAAATCTATTCAAGTAGAAGTGAAAAGATATTGATTTTCCATTTTTGAGAATATAAATTAGTAGAATTCATGTCATAAAATTGCACTCCCCATTTTTATTTCGAAATAGAGAATAACATCGTTAGAAACTGCTAAATATTTTCCTCTTTACAGTGATATTTGAAGGATGTGGTCTTCGACCTGCTCTTGAACTGCACCGGGTGACCCACGGGCAGGACGTTACCAGTCTAGGCACGTGGCCATGGCAGATCGCACTCTACTGGGATAACGAGTTTGCATGCGGCGGCAGCATTATAAGTCCAGAATGGATAGTGACTGCTGCTCATTGTGTGTAAGTCTTGTGCATAAAGCTCACTATCTACCGACAAGTACCACTTTTTTAACTTAGTTTCGGCGTGAATACCCGAAATACATACAATAATTGTTTATAGCAAACAAGTCTGTTAGAAAAGTATTGATCAACGTGCTGAAAGCTTTCTATTGCGTGAGGGATGGATAAAAGTCAATTTTATGATTTTTCCCCCTTTTTTCTTATTGTATTTCAAAGGCCATGAAGGCTAAATTATTTGGGTTGATCGACAATAATTAAATGCATATAGTGTCTCAGGATTTCCCATCCACAAAACATGTCATACATTTCAAAATGATTCGAAGGTCGTCAGTGATTTATTCCTTTCGAATACCATTAAGAAATTACTGCAGTAAAAAATAAACCCCATAAACTCCCCCCAAATCATTCAGCCTACTACGTTTCCAGGCTTTGCCTCCTTATTTGTACTAAATAACTTAACAATCTCCATTGATCAACGCGTTGTGTACAATATTTGGAGTTTCTTTTTCCATCTTTTCCATTTTTTTTCAGTGATCCCTCTTTCAGCCTCGCAATCCAAGCAGGAACATTGTCGTACAATATCAGTGCAGGAGGACCGGTCCATCAAGTAGAGAATTACTTCATTCATCCACGTTATAATGACGGATCTGCGTTGGCCAATGATATCGCACTTCTTAAGTTGGTCCATCCTCTCACTTTCACGAATGAGATCGGACCTGTGTGCCTTCCATCTCCCGATGATGTTTTAGAAGTTGGGTCTTATGTCACCTTCACAGGATGGGGCAGCTACACCAGACGATACAGTGAGTTTCTCTTTTTAAATTCTAGATATTTACAAAAGCAAAAACACGTGTCAAAGTTTACAAAGCCGATGGGATCTCAGTTTGATTTGTTTAATACTTGTATACATTTTGAAATTACAGAAATGAAATGTTTCGTGAAGTAAAAACTTACTATGTAGGAAAGACAGTGCAAATTTACATTTCAGATCATCATCTCCATCAAATGTTTTTACAAGATGGTATTTTGATTATATAGAAAGAACCTTTCCAGAATGTTTTGTCGCTTGACGAATTTTAATAATTCAACTCTTGTATTTTCGTGAATTTCGTGAATAGAAGCTGTTAATTCCCTTTTCTGTACTCCTTTGATGTTTTTGATGTGAAATTGACAAATATTGATGTCTTTCTTCATGATCTCACAGGCCCCCTACCTGACTATTTGCAAGAAGCCCGTATGCCTGTCATACCAAATGACATCTGCCAACGGAACTTCAAATTCATCCCAGTCCTTCCATCAATGTTCTGTGTAATGTACCCTACGGGCTACAATGGCATATGTACGGTAAGTTTATTGTTCAGTAATAAATTATTTACCACTCATTATTGGATTGGAGGAATATTTAGTTTTAGGAGTAGAGGTCTGCTCAGACCTAGACTAAAAAATTGTTGAGTATCAATTAAAAAATGCCATGTTTACACCCTGCTTTCATTAATTAAGGAATTTGAATATTGTAGGCATATAGTGTCATCTTTATCTGGAAAGATCTTTACTGATAACAAAATGGTGACGCCTATAAATTCACAGGGAGATTTTTCTTTTAACAGTGTATATGATTTGGCTTAATTCACTCTGGATAACTCAACCAGGTACTTTGTTTTTTGCTCAAAACTTTTAGATTTTAAGGATACAGAGGATGCCAAATAATCACAATGCTTCCAATCTTATTCATGACCTATACTATGGTATGCGATGTAAGGGTAAATGTTAAATTGACATAATTCAATCCAACAGGGTGACAGCGGCGGTCCTATTGTGCAGCAGGACTCTGGAAGGTGGACCCTGTTTGGTGTTACCAGCTGGGGTGCAGTGTGCGGTGGACAATACCAGCCAGCTGGTCTGACTCGTGTCTCTAGTTTTATGGATTTCATTGCCTACACAATCCATGCCAATTAGAAAAGAATACTGAAAGTCTATGATTCTACACAATTAGATAAGGAAGCTTACAATATATGATAAGTGGATATCGAACTATAGGGCTTAGTATTAGTGTTTATTACTTGTATGATAACAATAGATTTGATTCAGGTGTTGAAATAAGTTGTTTTGACTCGATTTTAAAGCTTTTTAGATGTTAAAGATTTTACTGAATTTTGTATTCTAAACAATGTAATTATAACAATTAAAGTAATGTTAAAATGTATTTGTTATTTTTTATATGTGAACATTTATTTGTAATTTTGTATGAAATGTAGAACTTTATTTTGAATTTCGTTTAGGAGAGGAAAGAATACAAACTTATAAAAACAAAAAGCACCACAAAGCACGTCTTCAAACTCACTAAGCAGGCAAAACAGAAGCCATTTCCCCGTCTTTTACTTTCTTAAAAAGCAACATTATTTTAGGTTTTGAAGTGTTAGGTTCATCTAAAACATAATGCTTGTATAGATAATACTAGAATAGCGAACAGGTTCATAACCGCAAGTTTTGATTTAAGTTCTCATAATTATGTTTGACGTATATAGCATAGTTAACTTACTTGTATAATAACAGAACTTTGCCTCATGTCTGGTGGATAGAAGAGCATAAATGATATTGTTGTACAGTGACTTGTTAAACGGGATAAAGTGAGATGAATATTAACACGGCGCTGAGGCTTATAAACTTAAAAACTGAATTCTTAAATTTCAAAATGTAAAATTTAAGTTACAGACATGACAGAGTCTCGTATAACCTAGCAATGTGTTGATTTAAGTCAGCTTCATATCGTACTTAGATTATGTTTGGTAAGAATATTTAAACTCATGAGCACCTAGTTGTCCAATATTATTCCATCGCAATACTATTTGTGTTTCTGTCGTTTTAGTTTATAATTATATATTTAATATACTTCAAGGTGTGTAATACTGCATACTCATTTACCATAAATGTGTAATTATTATAAATGTTCTTTAGGGTAATGCATGGAAATCTAAGTATCATTCATACTAATAAGTTAGGTCAGTCGTGTTTTATAATTTTCGACATTCACATTAAAATCAACAGGTAGCCAGTACTTAATGGGATTATTAGATGTGAAAAATATAGAGTGGCTGTAATTCTTTGTATTTCTAATTAGGTGTGTAGCTCTGAATGAAATTTTTCGTAGGGTGTGTATTTCAAGTTTTATTTGTCATAAACAGTGTAATTCGAAAGTAAAGAATCTTTCTCAATATAACGTCTTACTCTGAATATTACCTAAGGTGCGTAGTTTTGAATACGCTTTCTTATTATTTATGTAATTTCGCATATATTTCGCTTGTAAAGAGAGTAGCTACACGCTTATAATACTGCTGCTAAAACCATTTTCATACCGCAACGACTCCAAATTCAGGAATGTTTTATCATTTTCAACAGCTCCAATATAACATTTAATTTTCTTTCCAAGCAGACGTGTTTGTAATTTCTCTGCGTTTTTTGTTGTGGTAAAATAATGTGTACAATAAATATTCGTTTATCGTCGCAGCAGTTTGACAAAAGGAAAATACGATATAAATTCCTCAAAATAGTTTTGTATTTCTTTTTTGAGCGTCGAAATCTCGATTTTTACTATATCATCATACCTTAATTTGGTATTTCAAAGCCTGCTAAATTCCCTTAACGATGACGTTCCATTCGTAATGATTATATAATCGTGGAATGAGCAGTACACGTTAATATGGGGTCAATCAAAAGTGAAATGTTCCAAAATGCATTAGTATTGTCAATAGTGAATTCTTCATTTGTTCGGGGTCGGATTGTGCTTAAAGGTCGGGTGACATCCAAATATAAGTTGATTCCTGTTGATGCGCTTGGCTGCATACAACTCAAATTTTGTTATTCAAACATCTAAATATATTTCATAGATTTTTTAAATATTACACACAATTTTTTTCTTCAGACCTGCTTAAATCCACCCTTAAAAATGCTCCGGATCTCATTCATCTTGTGACATCAATGTCAATCATTAGTGAGCTAACCCCGCCCCCCCCCCCCACTCAGTCTTATTTAGGGTACGCATATGCGTGTTCCAAGCGACCCCCCCCCCCTTTTTCAGCAAAAGTCTCGTGTGTAAAGTCAATACGGGTCGACCTTTTTCTTTTGTTACGAAAGGACATTTTGGTAACACGCATGGAGTCCGTCCGTTCTCGGAGTGGGGGGGGGGGGGGGGGCGGGGAGCTAACAAGAGACAGTGGTATGTAACTTACCCCAACTAAGCACATGCTAACAAAAGAATTAACTTCTTTCATACAATACGTCCACATTACCTGTCGTTTCCTGGTGATGCTACAGCACGTCTGACCTGGAAGGTGAAAGAAAGGAGTGGAATCAAGCCGCTTTCCTTTGACCCCATGCTCCAAGCCGCCGAAAAGTCATGCGCTAATATGCGACTGTTGACCAGGTGGCGAGATAAAAGAGCGCATGAATTTCAGGCTTTAGAATACCTACATTAGGAAATGGTAACACAGCAACTGTTCACTGTCCCTTTCTATGATTTCTCATCAATTGTTGAATGTGTAAAGAGTAGAACAAGCGAACACAAACTTGTGTAATTTCACAAAAAATTTACAAAAAAACAGTGCCAAAATACAAAAGCAGAACAACAAAATAACAATGGCAACATCACACAGAAATATCATGAAAAAATAGAAAAATGTATCGAAGATAAAAATGTTTAATAATAATAATAATAAACGCAAAAAAGAAACGTGCGCTTGAACATGTGGATTTAGCCGGTAGAAAGATATTCGGCTCCATGACATTGTTCATCAAACGTTACAAAATTCAAAATTTAGCGGGACAAATATTTTATTATTATTTTGTTTGCCATTAAGAACTTATCGAAATACAATAAGTGCTATTGACTCACTAATGAGGTATACAAACTAATATCCTTTAAATTCATATCAATATTCGATTTCAATGAATTCTTTAGGTATTACATGATTTATTGAATAATTGTAGGCCTTATTAATTTAGAGTTAATATTAATACTTTTTACATTTTTACTTCTATCATTTTTACCTCTGGCACTTTCACCTCTGAAATGTTTAACTTTGACATTTGTACATCGGACGTTTTTACCTGGTTCGAGATTGCATGATCACTCCCTCCTCCCCCAACCCCCCCCCCCCCCACTCCCAACTTTCACGAAGCGTAATTAAGTACAAGTTTGAAGACAATATGATGTCTTTGAAGTTAAGACAGTTTTGTGGGACGTTCCCGGTACTCCGTGTATTAAAGCAAGAAAAAGGAGTGGACATAACGGTCCCTACTATACTAATTCAGTAAAGACTTAACCTGGGTTAAGATATATAACACAAGAACAAATCCCATACCAACTTCCTTTGTGAAAACAGGTTTTGAATAAAAGCTTATTAAGCCCAGCGGAGGGTTGACTCGGACATTTAGTAGAATACGGGTCATGGCATTTACAACATACTTTACATGAAAGAAGTTATTGTGATAAAAAGTAAACACAATGCAAGGAACCTGCTCCGAATATATTCGTATGCAAATTATATGCATTTACTGATCGGAATTGGCCCGGCCATTGGCATCACGTGACTTATCTAAGTCATTGGGACGCATCGTAGAATGCCAAATATGAGGCGACGCTTGGACAGACGATACACACTTCGTATGATTTTTTTTTATAGCGGCCTGTTTAACTTGTCATCGCCAATTGCGTAAGTAGCATGTTCATATTTATTTGGTTTGATCATGGACTGTATAATGATTATATGGGAGGACGATTTACTATTTCGACATGTTATAGAATCTTGGAGTGTTGTTATTTCCTATATTTCTTCTTCTGTTTGTCCTTCCTCCGTTGCCTTCGGGGAGCGGCGGTATACCGCTATAAGGGTCTGGTCGGATCACTGAAAGGGACAGTGATAGGGGGAAGGTAGATAGTCAGAAAGCTACAACGTGTAGAGGATTGAAACAACCTGGAATAATTTAGAACACCGATGCACTCGGTGCATAGTAATATAACGATAGGTTTCTATCTCTATCAAACTGCATTTCGCAAAGTAAACAGTGAGGTATCAGGATCTTGGTTTTGATACTATGCGGATGGAGAGGGGAGGGGGGAAGGGTGTAGGGGGAGCAAAAGATACAAATTTCTAAAGTGTGATCCCAAATTCACTTGATATAATCATAACCTTTTTGTGTGTAAGTGGTAAATATGCCTGGCCGGGAAATCTAGTTTCCTAGATTCAACCCAGGATAGTTATATAATTACAGGGCCCTCAGGGGAAACAGTATTTATTCTGATGAGGCTACCCTGGGTAAACTTGTCATATTATCATTATCATTATTATTTTTATTGTTATTATCAATTTTCAATATTGTGTCATCTTTATTATACTCATTAATATTTAATATCGATATTATTAAACTTATTATTCCTATCGTTTTTATTACTATTATTTAATTTTACTTTTTTACTTTTTACTTCTTTTTTTTTAAATTTTATTAATTTATCTTGTACAGTATTCGCGGAAGACTTTGTCCGTCTGGTAGTTATAGTGTTAAGTGTAGGTATAATTCCTGGCTGGGAGATGGTGACCTGTGAATGATGAGCCTACCGGGCCCTGTCCCTTAAATTGTAGGAGAACGGCACGCCCAGTCAGACTTTCTTTCTTTATTTCTTCCTTCTCACTCTCCATTCATGTAATATATTTTGTATATATAATCATAGTATCGTTGTTGTTTTTTATTTCAAAAGAATGCATTTTGTGTGCCATATAGTTATTTGTCTTTTCCCATTAAAGAATGGCACCAACAGTCGGTTCCTTAAAGGCTGACCATCCAGTTTCCTAGATTCCACCCTTTTCTTGTATTTCAAGAATATTCCCTTGTTGGTGTTCATGTTATTGAGTATAGATATAATGCCTGGCTGGGAGATGGTGACCTGTGAATGATGAGCCTACCGGGCCCTGTCCCTTAAATTGTAGGAGAACGGCACGCCCAGTCAGACTTTCTTTCTGTCTTTCTACCTTCCTTCCATCCTTCCTTTATCTTTTTTCTTTCTTTGGTAGAGCTTAGCATCCTTTTTTTCATCACATCGGATTGATATCTTTAATCAAAGATCAATAATATTTGCTATGTTGTGCCATAATTAAAATATGTTATAACATTTCCAAATGTTTGAGAGCCTTATCGTTGTAGCCAGGGTAGTTATATATTTACTGGGCCCCTCAGGGTAAACATAATTTATTCTGATGAGGCTACACTGGGTACACATGTCATATTATCATCATTTATGTGTGTATTATCATGTTGTGTGTATTGAGACTATGACGGTCATTCTGGTAGTCAGGATGTTAAGTGTAGTTATAATGCCTGGCTGGGAGATGGTGACCTGTGAATGATGAGCCTACCGGGCCCTGTCCCTTAAATTGTAGGAGAACGGCACCCCCAGTCAGACTTTCTTTCTTTCTTTCTTCCTCTCATTCTCCATTCTTTTCTTTCTTTCTCTGGTAGGGCTTAGCATCGTTTTTTTTTCTTCAAGATTTCATAACGTCAAAGATATTATGTAATAGTTGTTTTATGTAATTACTAAATCGTTGTTGTTTTTTAATCAAAAAGAATGGCTGTTAAGATGCATTTTTGTGCCATATAGTTATTTGTCTTTTCCCATTAAAGAATGGCACCCACAATCGGTTCCATAAAGGCTTACCATCTAGTTTCCTAGATTCCACCTATTTTCCTAGATTCCACCTATTTTCTTAAATTTTAAGAATAATCCCTTGTTGGTGTTCAAGTTATTGAGTATAGGTATAATGTCTGACTGGGAGATGGTGACCTGTGAATGATGAGCCTACCGGGCCCTTTCCCTTAAATTGTAGGAGAACGGCACGCCCAGTCAGACTTTCTTTCTTTCTTCCTCTCATTCTCCATTCTTTTCTTCTTTCCCTGGTAGGGCTTAGCCACGTTTTTTCCTCAAGATTTCATTATACCAAAGATATCATGTAATATATTTTGTATACATAATCATAGTATCGTTGTTGTTTTTTTAATTTCAAACGAATGCCTTTTAAGATGCATTTTGTGTGCCATATAGTTTTTTGTCTTTTCCCATTAAAGAATGGCACCCACAGTCGGTTCCTTAAAGGCTGACCATCCAGTTTCCTAGATTCCTACCTTTTCTTGTATTTCAAGAATATTCCCTTGTTGGCTGTCATGTTATTAAGTGTAAGTATAATGCCTGGCTGGGAGATGGTGACCTGTGAATGATGAGCCTACCGGGCCCTGTCCCTTAAATTGTAGGAGAACGGCACGCCCAGTCAGACTTTCTTTCTGTCTTTCTACCTTCCTTCCATCCTTCCTTTATCTTTTTTCTTTCTTTGGTAGAGCTTAGCATCCTTTTTTTCATCACATCGGATTGATATCTTTAATCAAAGAT